CCACTATCTTCTATAATGCTATTTGAATGTTTGGTTTGTTAAATGTGATATGCCGTGTGTAATGCCAATTTTTATAGTTTACTCAGCTACTTGAGTCATCTCTCTCTCCCCATGCCGCTTTCCACACAGACCCAGCCCCGCCCCCCGTCACTCAAGGAACGCATTTCTTTTTCGTCGACCGAGACACTTGCGTTCAGTCTCCATGGCCAATGATGCTGTTTTTACTTTGCTTCTTAATATAAATCCATTAGTGTTATAATTACACTATTAGTTTGTGTTTCTTATATCAGCAAACAGCTAGTTTGTATTTTCTTAGCAAGTTGGCCCTAAATCGTGTTAGCCGCACCTGCTAATCGCTAGTTAGCTGGCTAGCTAATAAATGTACTGAGTCAGAGCAAACGTAACTAGCTCTACAACCTGGTAATACCAGTGATGGTGTCAGATCCCACTCTGAAACTTTGATATGCCCGTAGAGTATATTATGTTCAACAATATAATTGTAAAATGAGCTAAATCAATTACAATTGGAATATATTCAATATTCATGTTTATATTTTTCAATATTAATACATTTACACTACCGTTCAAAAGTTTGGGGTCACTTAGAAATGTCCTTGTTTTCCATGAAAACATACATTAAATTAGTTTCAATAGGAAATATAGCGAAATGAATAGGAAATGTAGTCATTGACAAGGTTAGAAATAATGATTTTTAATTGAAATAATAACTTTCCTTCAAACTTTGCTTTTGTCAAAGAATCTTCAATTTGCAGCAATTACGGCCTTGCAGACCTTGGGCATTCAAATTGTCAGTTTGTTGAGGTAATCTGAAGAGATTTCACCCCATGCTTCCTGAAGCACCTCCCACAAGTTGGATTGGCTTGATGGGCACTTCTTACGTACCATACGGTCAAGCTGCTCCCACAACAGCTCAATAGGGTTGAGATCTGGTGACTGTGCTGGCCTCTCCATTATAGACAGAATACCAGCTGACTGCTTCTTCCCTAAACAGTTCCTGCATAGTTTAGAGCTGTGCTTTGTGTCATTGTCCTGTTGTAGGAGGAAATTGGCTCCAATCAAGCGCCGTCCACAGGGTATGGCATGGCGTTGCAAAATGGAGTGATAGCCTTCCTTCTTCAAGATCCCTTTTAGCCTGTACAAATCTCCCACTTTACCACCACCAAAGCACCCACAGACCATCACATTGCCTCCACCATGCTTGACAGATGGCATCAAGCACTCCTCCAGCATCTTTTTATTTGGTCTGCGTCTCACAAATGTTCTTCTTTGTGATCCGAACACCTCAAACGTTGATTAGTCTGTCCGTACTACTTTTTTCAAATTTTCCTCTGTCCAGTGTCTGTGTTTTGCCCATCTTAATCTTTTATTTTTATTGGCCAGTCTGAGATATGGCTTTTTCTTTGCAACTCTGCCTAGAAGGTCAGCATCCCGGAGTCGCCTCTTCACTGTTGACGTTGAGACTGGTGTTTTGCGGGTACTATTTAATGAAGCTGCCAGTTGAAGACCTGTGAGGCGTCTGTGTCTCAAACTAGACACTCTAATGTGTTTGTCCTCTTGCTCAGTTGTGCACCGGGGCCTCCCACTCCTCTTTCTATTCTGGTTAGAGCCAGTTTGCGCTGTTCTGTGAAGGGAGTAGTACAGTGTTGTACGAGATCTTCAGTTTCTTGGCAATTTCTCGCATAGAGTAGCCTTCATTTCTCAGAACACGAATAGACTGACACGTTTCAGAAAGTTCTTTTGTTTCTGGCCATTTTGAGCCTGTAATCGAACCCACAATTGCTGATGCTCCAGATACTCAACTAGTCTCAAGAAGGCCAGTTTTATTGCTTCTTTAATCAGCACAACAGTTTTCAGCTGTGCTAACATAATTGCAAAAGGGTTTTCTAATGATCAATTAGCCTTTTTTAAAATGATAAACTTGGATTAGCAAACACAACGTGCCATTGGAACACAGGACTGATGGTTGCTGATAATGGGCCTCTGTACGCCTATGTAGATATTCCATAAAAAATCAGCGGTTTCCAGCTACAATAGCCATTTACAACATTAAAAATGTCTACACTAGTCGCTCTGGATAAGAGCGTCTGCTAAATGACTTAAATGTAAATGTACATTTCTGATCAATTTGATGTTATTTTAATGGACTATGGGTCCAATTAGTCATGTCTCAAGTTCCATTTTCTCAATTCCTTTCGGATATTATTGTGAGCAATCTACTGAGTAAAGCCAATGCATTTTCTACAGAAGTTTGAGAAGGAATTGGTTTGTTCCATTCTAGAGGGCAAATCGTAAATCAGGGCAGGCCATGATAAGATTGTAAGTTATCCTAACCATGCCTCATTGGTACCTCCAACGCACTTGTCACTGTGTGATGAATGTTTGTGAAGGTGAAAGTAGTAATTTCCCCTTTGTTTTTCCGACATCAAGAGGCTGTGTTTAGCCAATTCATTAGACTGAGTGAAAAACAAATATTGCTATCTCAATTCCAGATATGACCTTTGATTTTGTGTGGGGTTTTTGTATGAGTCATCCAGAAATACCTCAACCTTCGGAAAACGGAAAACTAGCCGTTATTGGCAAGTGGTTTGGAACTCTCTTTCTTATTGGTCTTCTAACTAATTTACTGCCTGGTGACTTCACCAGGCAGGCCAAAACTCCATCCCACCAAAACAGGCTGAAATTTCAGGCGATCTTTTCAAACAGTTCTTACACTAAAAGGACATTATCATCAATTTCACAGTATTATTCCAACCTCATAGTGTGGAAATATAAATAAAACACAGGGAAATCATGTTTTTGACTGCACTGGGCCTTTAAACATATTTAATGCAGAACCCTGATACCTCAACCTTTTTCTTTGTATCTGATAGGCATTACTGGCGACACAGCCTGTACTTTTATTTCCTGCAATCAACCTAGTCGTGATTGCGGTAATGTATTTAAAAGTCCTGCCAACCACGCAGTATAAACGACACCTTACACCTTAACCTCTTTGGCACGCATTAACAAATCATTAACATCCTATTGTTGTCTGACATCAAACTTGTCCTTGTCTTTATGAAAAGGTATACACACATAAATGGCAGTCTGCATGACATCGCAGCAGCCTGATCCAAATAGTAATGTTACATGCTCTATTTTCTGCACCAAAAAACCAATCTGTTTAAAAAGGTATTTAAGAAAGCTATGTCAGTCTAGCAAGCCAGGAAACTAAAATAAACTTTCTCTAAACAACGTGTTTGTTTGCGTTAGCTTGTTAGCTAACGTAGCTATCTAACGTTAGCTGGCTAGCCAGCTCGTATAATACCAGAACATATCTGACAACGTTTTGAGCTTAACTTTATTCACCATAACAGGACAAGTAAGACATTACAAGGTAATTCTAAAAAAATATATATTTACAATTATGGCGAGCTGCTAATTTACTGTATGAAAGCAGTGGATTTCTGTCAGATTTAGAGCTTGCTCTCACAACAATCGCAACAAGAGGGTCAACGTTGAATGTCTCTTGCTCAGTTGTGGCAAGCAATGGCGATATAAGAGGCGAATGCCGACAAGATGTGGTACAAATGTAGCTGTTTGAAAGGGGGATCATATAAACATTAGGCTTGGGCCGTATCCAGTTTGTCAAACCGACCTTGTGCTATGCCGGGATATTCGGTAATGCCGGCACTGAACACAAGGGCCGCTATTTTCAACCCCCACTGAAGCTGTCAGCATGCTTCAGTTCGGCTGGAGCCTGGCCCAACTCCGCTAGCTGAACCGGACGTGTGTGCTCGCATACTCCCTTTAAATGACCTTCGCTTGAAAAACTTAGAAAAAAGCTGAAATGGTACCGTTTGTCAATTTTGAGATGCTGTAGTCAGAGTTAATCTAAGATAACTCAAGAAAACTGTCATTCATTTTGACGTTTTTGCCGGAGAGATCTTAGTCGCGCAATTTTACGTCTAACTATGTCATTATAATATATGCACAAACTCTACCGAACTGTTTCGGCTGGGAAGCATGCGGACCCCTTTAGCCTCTGCAATCCGAAGGTTAGCAATGCTAACAAGTACATGCATAATGCTAACGAGCACGGTGTGAACATTTTACAGTCTCCGATCTAAACTATTTGCAAAAATGCTACACGGTTTGCTGCACGCACAAAACTAATATTAGACAGCAAGGCTCTTGATCCATGAGTGGATTCTCTGCTGTTAGGCTACCAAGTGAAGCTTGATTTTTGGAAGAAGCTAACATTTTTAGACGGTTAACTTAATAGTTCTAAGATATCTAGCTGGCAAACATTTAGTTGTGAATTCCATACTGTAACTAGATCACCTGGTGCATGCTGGACAACAGTGGGTGACTCACAAGGCTCCGGTCTCTCGTCGTTGTGTGATTGTAAACAAACACCACGTGACTGGGGAGTACCGGTAAGCTTTATAATGAACAATTGCGTTCTGCATTTCACCTGCCACAATCTTTATCTCCTAATGTATTGCACAAGTTGACTGCAGGTATTTACTTAAAGTAACTACAAATATTCAATGTATAAAAAAAAAAAAAGAAGGAAAAAAATAATAAAATAGTTTCGATGGTGTTAAAAAACCATCCTGTGGCAATTTCCAAATACCCCGATATATGTACACCGCCCAAGCCTAATAAACATTGGCCAATTATTTTTTCTGGCAATTCTTTCGCTCTTAAGTGGTAAACAGTTTGACATGTTGATTTGACCACTGCGACAAACATACAAAATACTTGTATCCTTTGTTGTCAAGCAGAGATGCCACCTGCCTGAGATCTGATTTATCCTGAGGCCAGAAGATCCTTGATTCTAGAAGCCTATTTACATTAGTTGCCTCCTTTTGCAGCACAACAGATTTGTTTAACTTTTCTATTTACGTTGTCCTTGCTTTAACCGTTCTGAATGTCTGTCTCTACAGGAGTGAGTGACCCAGTGGGCTGGTTGGCGTGAGGGGAGAGCATCAGCCATGGGTGAAATTGAGGGCTCCTACAGGGCCATACAGACCCCTGGCACCCGGCTGGGGGCCCAGTTCAACGCTGGGATCAGTACCTTGGAGCCGGGCCAGAGCCTCAGTGATGCCTTGGGAACAGGGGGTAAGGGCCAAGGCAGGGGACTACAGCTCAGGGTCCAGGGCCTGGACGACTCCCAGGAGTTCTACAACTTGGAGGTGAGTTGACCATAGACCTAATTCACGCTGCGGTCATTATGGTTCTTGAATACTCTTTATTGATCTTCAGAGGGGAAGTTGGATACCATTTGTAGAACAGATCCATGCAGCTTCATTTATATGGTCATAATTAAATAAATCAAACGTGTAGTTTGTTACATATATGGGGAGATCAAAACGCAATGCATGTCTTTTTGTTGGTCAGAAAAATCACATTGCAACAGTGAGACCAGGGGTGCATCTTTCCTCTTTGTCAAGTAAGAGAAAGCATTCTGTAGCAGAGGCACAACCGCAGACTGGTCTCTGTCCCCAGGTCTCTGTCCCCAGGTCTCTGTCCCCAGGTCTCTGTCCCCAGTTCCCTGGGCCACCCTGTGCGTGTGGCTCTGGTGGTGACAGCTGCCACATGGCTTTGGTCCACAAATCCCTTCCTCCTTTAAGACCGCTTACTGCTGGGACGCCCTGGTGTTACTGTATTCTGATTAACACTATAGAGCTGAGCTGGGACGCCCTGGTGTTACTGTATTCTGATTAACACTATAGAGCTGAGCTGGGACGCCCTGGTGTTACTGTATTCTGATTAACACTATAGAGCTGAGCTGGGACGCCCTGGTGTTACTGTATTCTGATTAACACTATAGAGCTGAGCTGGGACGCCCTGGTGTTACTGTATTCTGATTAACACTATAGAGCTGAGCTGGGACGCCCTGGTGTTACTGTATTCTGATTAACACTATAGAGCTGAGCTGGGACGCCCTGGTGTTACTGTATTCTGATTAACACTATAGAGCTGAGCTGGGACGCCCTGGTGTTACTGTATTCTGATTAACACTATAGAGCTGAGCTGGGACGCCCTGGTGTTACTGTATTCTGATTAACACTATAGAGCTGAGCTGGGACGCCCTGGTGTTACTGTATTCTGATTAACACTATAGAGCTGAGCTGGGACGCTCTGTTGTTACTGTATTCTGATTAACACTATAGAGCTGAGCTGGGACGCCCTGGTGTTACTGTATTCTGATTAACACTATAGAGCTGAGCTGGGACGCCCTGGTGTTACTGTATTCTGATTAACACTATAGAGCTGAGCTGGGACGCCCTGGTGTTACTGTATTCTGATTAACACTATAGAGCTGAGCTGGGACGCCCTGGTGTTACTGTATTCTGATTAACACTATAGAGCTGAGCTGGGACGCCCTGGTGTTACTGTATTCTGATTAACACTATAGAGCTGAGCTGGGACGCCCTGGTGTTACTGTATTCTGATTAACACTATAGAGCTGAGCTGGGACGCCCTGGTGTTACTGTATTCTGATTAACACTATAGAGCTGAGCTGGGACGCCCTGGTGTTACTGTATTCTGATTAACACTATAGAGCTGAGCTGGGACGCCCTGGTGTTACTGTATTCTGATTAACACTATAGAGCTGAGCTGGGACGCCCTGGTGTTACTGTATTCTGATTAACACTATAGAGCTGAGCTGGGACGCCCTGGTGTTACTGTATTCTGATTAACACTATAGAGCTGAGCTGGGACGCCCTGGTGTTACTGTATTCTGATTAACACTATAGAGCTGAGCTGGGACGCCCTGGTGTTACTGTATTCTGATTAACACTATAGAGCTGAGCTGGGACGCCCTGGTGTTACTGTATTCTGATTAACACTATAGAGCTGAGCTGGGACGCCCTGGTGTTACTGTATTCTGATTAACACTATAGAGCTGAGCTGGGACGCCCTGGTGTTACTGTATTCTGATTAACACTATATAGCTGAGCTGGGACGCCCTGGTGTTACTGTATTCTGATTAACACTATAGAGCTGAGCTGGGACGCCCTGGTGTTACTGTATTCTGATTAACACTATAGAGCTGAGCTGGGACGCCCTGGTGTTACTGTATTCTGATTAACACTATAGAGCTGAGCTGGGACGCCCTGGTGTTACTGTATTCTGATTAACACTATAGAGCTGAGCTGGGACGCCCTGGTGTTACTGTATTCTGATTAACACTATAGAGCTGAGCTGGGACGCCCTGGTGTTACTGTATTCTGATTAACACTATAGAGCTGAGCTGGGACGCTCTGTTGTTACTGTATTCTGATTAACACTATAGAGCTGAGCTGGGACGCCCTGGTGTTACTGTATTCTGATTAACACTATAGAGCTGAGCTGGGACGCCCTGGTGATACTGTTAATGTAACTGTTACTGTTACTCACCAGTGCACGGTTGTCCCTACTGTGGCTGTGAACTGTGCCTGGCTGCCGTGTGGTGTGGTTTGGCCGTCTGGTGTAGTCTGGTCAGGTGAGGTGTGGTGTAGCCCGGTCAGTGAGGCGTGGCCGTCTGGTGTAGCCCGGTCAGTGAGGCGTGGCCGTCTGGTGTAGCCCGGTCAGTGAGGCGTGGCCGTCTGGTGTAGCCCGGTCAGTGAGGTGTGGTGTAGCCCGGTCAGTGAGGTGTGGTGTAGCCCGGTCAGCGAGGCGTGACCGTCTGGTGTAGCCCAGTCAGTGAGGTGTGGTGTAGCCCGGTCAGTGAGGTGTGGCCGTCTGGTGTAGCCCGGTCAGTGAGGTGTGGCGTAGCCCGGTCAGTGAGGCGTGGCCATCTGGTGTAGCCCGGTCAGTGAGGTGTGGCCGTCTGGTGTAGCCCGGTCAGTGAGGCGTGGCCGTCTGGTGTAGCCCGGTCAGTGAGGCGTGGCCGTCTGGTGTAGCCCGGTCAGTGAGGTGTGGCCGTCTGGTGTAGCCCGGTCAGTGAGGTGTGGTGTAGCCCGGTCAGCGAGGCGTGGCCGTCTGGTGTAGCCCAGTCAGTGAGGTGTGGTGTAGCCCGGTCAGTGAGGTGTGGCCGTCTGGTGTAGCCCGGTCAGTGAGGTGTGGCGTAGCCCGGTCAGTGAGGCGTGGCCATCTGGTGTAGCCCGGTCAGTGAGGTGTGGCCGTCTGGTGTAGCCCGGTCAGTGAGGTGTGGCCGTCTGGTGTAGCCCGGTCAGTGAGGCGTGGCCGTCTGGTGTAGCCCGGTCAGTGAGGTGTGGCCGTCTGGTGTAGCCCGGTCAGTGAGGTGTGGTGTAGCCCGGTCAGTGAGGTCTGGTGTAGCCCGGTCAGTGAGGTGTGGTGTAGCCCGGTCAGTGAGGTGTGGTGTAGCCCGGTCAGTGAGGTGAGGCATAGCCCGGTATATTGTGGGCGTCTGATGGAGTAGTGTCTCTGCTCTATTTTATCCTTTGGTTGTGATGGAGGTTGTTGAACCATAGAAATCCCACTGCTGATCGACTACTGCCTAGAGAGAGAGACTTAAACGCTCCAACATCTGCCTATCTGGCATGGTGGGGTTAGCACAGTAACATTATATGGTCTGGCTCTTGGTTCCTCTCTCTGTTACAGAACAACACTATGCTGATCAAAGCAATGTGGCCTTCTTCATGACGCCAATATGATGGCCAGATTTCCTTACCTGTTCCTTTCCACCTGAGCAAGACATCTCTCCTTCCTGTACTTTGATGTTCCTCCAGTTTGTGCTGTCTGGTTTTGGGGCTGACTCCTCCTCCTTCTCTCTGGCCCGTAGTCAGGTCACAGCACACTGGGGCTGACTCCTCCTCCTCCTCCTCTCTGGCCCGTAGTCAGGTCACAGAACACTGGGGCTGACTCCTCCTCTCTGGCCCGTAGTCAGGTCACAGAACACTGGGGCTGACTCCTCCTCCTTCTCTCTGGCCCGTAGTCAGGTCACAGAACACTGGGGCTGACTCCTCCTCCTTCTCTCTGGCCCGTAGTCAGGACACAGAACACTGGGGCTGACTCCTCCTCCTTCTCTCTGGCCCGTAGTCAGGTCACAGCACACTGGGGCTGACTCCTCCTCCTCCTCTCTGGCCCGTAGTCAGGACACAGCACACTGGGGCTGACTCCTCCTCCTTCTCTCTGGCCCGTAGTCAGGTCACAGAACACTGGGGCTGACTCCTCCTCCTTCTCTCTGGCCCGTAGTCAGGTCACAGAACACTGGGGCTGACTCCTCCTCCTTCTCTCTGGCCCGTAGTCAGGTCACAGCACACTGGGGCTGACTCCTCCTCTCTGGCCCGTAGTCAGGTCACAGAACACTGGGGCTGACTCCTCCTCCTTCTCTCTGGCCCGTAGTCAGGTCACAGCACACTGGGGCTGACTCCTCCTCCTCCTCTCTGGCCCGTAGTCAGGTCACAGCACACTGGGGCTGACTCCTCCTCTCTGGCCCGTAGTCAGGACACAGAACACTGGGGCTGACTCCTCCTCTCTGGCCCGTAGTCAGGTCACAGAACACTGGGGCTGACTCCTCCTCTCTGGCCCGTAGTCAGGTCACAGAACACTGGGGCTGACTCCTCCTCTCTGGCCCGTAGTCAGGTCACAGAACACTGGGGCTGACTCCTCCTCCTTCTCTCTGGCCCGTAGTCAGGTCACAGCACACTGGGGCTGACTCCTCCTCCTCCTCTCTGGCCCGTAGTCAGGTCACAGCACACTGGGGCTGACTCCTCCTCTCTGGCCCGTAGTCAGGACACAGAACACTGGGGCTGACTCCTCCTCTCTGGCCCGTAGTCAGGTCACAGAACACTGGGGCTGACTCCTCCTCTCTGGCCCGTAGTCAGGTCACAGAACACTGGGGCTGACTCCTCCTCTCTGGCCCGTAGTCAGGACACAGAACACTGGGGCTGACTCCTCCTCTCTGGCCCGTAGTCAGGACACAGAACACTGGGGCTGACTCCTCCTCTCTGGCCCGTAGTCAGGTCACAGAACACTGGGGCTGACTCCTCCTCCTTCTCTCTGGCCCGTAGTCAGGTCACAGCACACTGGGGCTGACTCCTCCTCCTCCTCTCTGGCCCGTAGTCAGGTCACAGAACACTGGGGCTGACTCCTCCTCCTCCTCTCTGGCCCGTAGTCAGGTCACAGCACACTGGGGCTGACTCCTCCTCCTCCTCTCTGGCCCGTAGTCAGGTCACAGAACACTGGGGCTGACTCCTCCTCCTTCTCTCTGGCCCGTAGTCAGGTCACAGAACACTGGGGCTGACTCCTCCTCCTCCTCTCTGGCCCGTAGTCAGGTCACAGAACACTGGGGCTGACTCCTCCTCTCTGGCCCGTAGTCAGGTCACAGCACACTGGGGCTGACTCCTCCTCTCTGGCCCGTAGTCAGGTCACAGAACACTGGGGCTGACTCCTCCTCCTTCTCTCTGGCCCGTAGTCAGGTCACAGAACACTGGGGCTGACTCCTCCTCCTCCTCTCTGGCCCGTAGTCAGGACACAGAACACTGGGGCTGACTCCTCCTCCTTCTCTCTGGCCCGTAGTCAGGACACAGAACACTGGGGCTGACTCCTCCTCCTTCTCTCTGGCCCGTAGTCAGGTCACAGCACACTGGGGCTGACTCCTCCTCCTCCTCTCTGGCCCGTAGTCAGGACACAGCACACTGGGGCTGACTCCTCCTCCTTCTCTCTGGCCCGTAGTCAGGTCACAGAACACTGGGGCTGACTCCTCCTCCTTCTCTCTGGCCCGTAGTCAGGTCACAGAACACTGGGGCTGACTCCTCCTCCTTCTCTCTGGCCCGTAGTCAGGTCACAGCACACTGGGGCTGACTCCTCCTCTCTGGCCCGTAGTCAGGTCACAGAACACTGGGGCTGACTCCTCCTCCTTCTCTCTGGCCCGTAGTCAGGTCACAGCACACTGGGGCTGACTCCTCCTCCTCCTCTCTGGCCCGTAGTCAGGTCACAGCACACTGGGGCTGACTCCTCCTCTCTGGCCCGTAGTCAGGACACAGAACACTGGGGCTGACTCCTCCTCTCTGGCCCGTAGTCAGGTCACAGAACACTGGGGCTGACTCCTCCTCTCTGGCCCGTAGTCAGGTCACAGAACACTGGGGCTGACTCCTCCTCTCTGGCCCGTAGTCAGGACACAGAACACTGGGGCTGACTCCTCCTCTCTGGCCCGTAGTCAGGACACAGAACACTGGGGCTGACTCCTCCTCTCTGGCCCGTAGTCAGGTCACAGAACACTGGGGCTGACTCCTCCTCCTTCTCTCTGGCCCGTAGTCAGGTCACAGCACACTGGGGCTGACTCCTCCTCCTCCTCTCTGGCCCGTAGTCAGGTCACAGAACACTGGGGCTGACTCCTCCTCCTCCTCTCTGGCCCGTAGTCAGGTCACAGCACACTGGGGCTGACTCCTCCTCCTCCTCTCTGGCCCGTAGTCAGGTCACAGAACACTGGGGCTGACTCCTCCTCCTTCTCTCTGGCCCGTAGTCAGGTCACAGAACACTGGGGCTGACTCCTCCTCCTTCTCTCTGGCCCGTAGTCAGGTCACAGCACACTGGGGCTGACTCCTCCTCCTTCTCTCTGGCCCGTAGTCAGGTCACAGCACACTGGGGCTGACTCCTCCTCCTCCTCTCTGGCCCGTAGTCAGGTCACAGAACACTGGGGCTGACTCCTCCTCTCTGGCCCGTAGTCAGGTCACAGCACACTGGGGCTGACTCCTCCTCTCTGGCCCGTAGTCAGGTCACAGAACACTGGGGCTGACTCCTCCTCCTTCTCTCTGGCCCGTAGTCAGGTCACAGAACACTGGGGCTGACTCCTCCTCCTCCTCTCTGGCCCGTAGTCAGGACACAGAACACTGGGGCTGACTCCTCCTCCTTCTCTCTGGCCCGTAGTCAGGTCACAGAACACTGGGGCTGACTCCTCCTCTCTGGCCCGTAGTCAGGACACAGAACACTGGGGCTGACTCCTCCTCTCTGGCCCGTAGTCAGGACACAGAACACTGGGGCTGACTCCTCCTCTCTGGCCCGTAGTCAGGACACAGCACACTGGGGCTGACTCCTCCTCCTTCTCTCTGGCCCGTAGTCAGGACACAGAACACTGGGGCTGACTCCTCCTCCTCCTCCTCTCTGGCCCGTAGTCAGGTCACAGAACACTGGGGCTGACTCCTCCTCCTCCTCTCTGGCCCGTAGTCAGGTCACAGCACACTGGGGCTGACTCCTCCTCCTCCTCTCTGGCCCGTAGTCAGGTCACAGAACACTGGGGCTGACTCCTCCTCCTCCTCTCTGGCCCGTAGTCAGGACACAGAACACTGGGGCTGACTCCTCCTCCTCCTCCTCTCTGGCCCGTAGTCAGGACACAGAACACTGGGGCTGACTCCTCCTCCTCCTCTCTGGCCCGTAGTCAGGTCACAGAACACTGGGGCTGACTCCTCCTCCTCCTCCTCTCTGGCCCGTAGTCAGGACACAGAACACTGGGGCTGACTCCTCCTCCTCCTCTCTGGCCCGTAGTCAGGTCACAGAACACTGGGGCTGACTCCTCCTCCTCCTCCTCTCTGGCCCGTAGTCAGGTCACAGAACACTGGGGCTGACTCCTCCTCCTCCTCCTCTCTGGCCCGTAGTCAGGACACAGAACACTGGGGCTGACTCCTCCTCCTCCTCTCTGGCCCGTAGTCAGGTCACAGAACACTGGGGCTGACTCCTCCTCCTCCTCCTCTCTGGCCCGTAGTCGGGACACAGAACACTGGGGCTGACTCCTCCTCCTCCTCTCTGGCCCGTAGTCAGGTCACAGAACACTGGGGCTGACTCCTCCTCCTCCTCCTCCTCCTCTCTGGCCCGTAGTCAGGACACAGAACACTGGGGCTGACTCCTCCTCCTCCTCCTCTCTGGCCCGTAGTCAGGTCACAGAACACTGGGGCTGACCGGCTGACTCCTCCTCTCTGGCCCGTAGTCAGGTCACAGAACACTGGGGCTGACCGGCTGACTCCTCCTCTCTGGCCCGTAGTCAGGTCACAGCACACTGTCATGTTTAGCAGACAAAGACACCAATTAGGCCTCTCCCACATACTGGCAGGAAACTGTAAATCACCATGCAGTTGGAAGAGAGGGGTGCATGTGTTTGGCACTGTTTTCTTTACACAGCAGGGATTTACAGTTCACACACAAAAGACTATGGCTACGAGGCGACGCCATAGCTGTATTTTGGCTCTTTTATACTAAATAGGTTTGTTTTTGTCATTCCAGTTGTCACTTTAGTTCCCTGTGGTTTTTCTAGCCTGTAACCCTAGAGGTGCTGGTGGTAGGCCAGCATTTTGTAGCATGTTGTGGTGGGTGGCTGGTTGGTAAGGGGCATACTGGCTTTGACCCTGTCATAGTCAAGGCCACCACTGAAATCTAATGCACGGTGTTTACACTCTAGTGTCTCCTACTCAAGCTACAAGTTAAAATTAACTCCGGTTAAGGGAGCTTTGCCCTCCTAATTATACCAGGACATAATAGGAGTAATAATAAATTGGATCCTGATGAAGGACTGGCTCTTGGCTTAGGCTAGGCTTAGATAATGATTTGCTGCTTTCTTGCTTAAGGTTTTAGATCCCCACTTGTCTTGTGGTGTGTGTGGCTTGCTGTCTGTCTATCCTCTGCCTGCCTGTCTCCCTGGGTGGCTGATTGGCTGGCTCTGGCTGGCTTGGTGGTTGGGCTGGCTGGCTGGGTTGGTTGGTTGGTTGGCTGACTGACTGACTCGCTGGCTGTCTCTCTGGCAGGACTGGCTGGCTGGCTGGCTGGCTTGGCGTGTGCAGGACCTCATTCACTAGGCTAATAGGAAGTGATGAGGAAGTCACTACATCACGCCACGTTTCCTGCTCTCTCTGTGGGGAGAAAATCCATCCAAGTAGAGTTTCCAATATGAATAAACGCTGAAGGACTCGGACTCGGTTACCACTAGGGCTGTTGCGGTGACCGCGTTACCGGCACACCGGCGGTCACGAGTCGTGAAGGCAGTCAAATTCCACGTGACCGTTTAGTCACTGTAACCAGGCTTCTCCAAACTCTGATGCTGCTGATGGTCATTAGTAGCCTACCAAACTTGCTATCTGCCTGGTACAACCACGGTGTCTGACATTGCAAATCTAATCGAACGCTTCCCGAGAAGCTTGTGTTGCGCAACATTTCTATAGGCTATGCAATTGCGAGAGAACAGAGTTTTGATGGCCTCAGTTAAAGACGATCCCATCAGCTTTCTATAGGCTAGGCCTACTATATTTATTTCTCAACTTTCCTAATGTTCCTCTTTACAACAGGAGTATAGCCTACCTGGCTGGCATGAAAATGAACCACGGGAAAAGCGTCCTCCATTCGCTATTTTTAAGTGCATAGATGACATGTATTTTTTTCCCCCCTACCCCTGTTTCGAGACTGGTGCGTGATAATGGTCCATTCTAAATCAAAACAAATTTCACACATTATTTACACTGCTGAGACAACATAACAACCCTGACATAACACTGCTGAGACAACATAACAACCCTGACATAACACTGCTGAGACAACATAACAACCCTGACATAACACTGCTGAGACAACATAACAACCCTGACATAACACTGCCGCGACCGGGAGACCAATGGGGCGTCGCACAATTGGCCCAGCGTCGTCCAGGGTAGGGGAGGGAATGGCCGGCAGGGATGTAGCTCAGTTGATAGAGCATGGCGTTTGCAACGCCAGGGTTGTGGGTTCGATTCCCACAGGGGGCCAGTATGAAAAATAATGTATGCACTCACTAACTGTAAGTCGCTCTGGATAAGAGCGTCTGCTAAATGACTAAAATGTAAATAACAACCCTGACATAACACTGCTGAGACAATATAAACGTGTGGTTCATTCTTCTAAACGTGTGGTTCTCCCTTCTAAACGTGTAGTTTAGAAGATAGCGGGCTAATGTGTTTGTAGTAATACATTATTCAATGTTTCTGTAAGTATATGGAGTAATGATTTATCAGGAAGTAGGTATATACCTTGTATTTACTAGTTGACTGATAATTCATCTAAATTATTTGTGCTTTTTGCCGACAAATTACCCAAGAGACAGGATGAGATGACGAAAACTACTCCAATCCTCCTTATATCTACTATGGCTTGTAATTTAATCTTGGTCCAAATTTCCTATGTGGACTCACTGTGCAAAAATAGATACAAAATTGCAGTGTTTGATGTTTCAAAATTGCTGTGGCCTTCAACAAACTGTCATCCTCTACAAATCCAACCAGGGCTCTGATGCTTTGATGTTCTGAGGACTGACTCTGGTCTGGTCCACAGCTGCAGGTAGCTGGCTGGTCAATGTCAGCCCAGTCACACATTTAGCCTGTATGGTTCTTGTCCAGAGCTCCAGGCCCCTCCTACGCTCAGGGCAACAGGAGAAAGCCCATCCCTTGTGGTGGCTGGCCAGGGAGGCTGGCCAGGGAGGCTGGGCAGGGAACACAGCTTTCTTTTATCCAGTCAGGCCCAGCCTGCCCCTCTCTTTGCTAGCCTTCTCCACTTCTCTGCTCTCTACTCTAACTCACCATGCAAGCAGGGGGTGAAGGGGTAGACTGTGGAACCTAGCGGTGTGAGAGAATGCGGGACGGGAGGGGGGAAAGGAGGGGGATGGGAGGGACAGAGAGGTGGGGCAGACGGGGATAGCTCGGTATTAGCAACATTTTTATTTTTATTTAACCTTTTTTTATTTAACTAGGCAAGTCAGTTAAGAACAAATTCTTATTTACAATGACGGCCTACCCTGGCCAAACCCTCCCCTTACCCGGACGACGCTGGGCCGATTGTGCGCCGCCCTATGGGACTCCCGATCACGGCCGGGACACGGGCAGCCTGTGGCGTTTTTAAAAGAGCAGTTGTCTGATGTTGAGTTTGGGGCCCTAGAGGAAGGAGGGGGAGGGAGGATAGGGGGGGAGGGGATTCACTCAGGAGTGAAGCTGCTCAGAGAAGCCCCACAGGAATTGTTGCCAAGGAATTTCAACAACTGATCATTTAAACTTTTAACCCCTTCAGTGACTAGTCTCAGCCAGGAGAGGAGAGGCTGGTCCACAGTGTTGATTTTCATGAGTTTCTTGTTTTGTGAAACCAGAAGTTTATTTAAGAAAGAAAATGAGCTCATAGTATATAAAACATGTTGTGAGTCACATGAACATTCTGCTTGAGTTGTTTAATCAACTTTCAGTTCACCCATGTTTTGCTTAATCATGAAGTGCTGAAGGTTGACTCAAGCGAAACTCTGAATTCTGTGGAACCTTCCCCTGGCATTACAAGCCTCCAGGGATATCACAATGTTAGGATTATAAGGGATACTTCGGTGATTTGGGGTAATTTCCTAATTGCCTAGAGTCAGATGAACTCATGGATACCACCTCCCCCTCTTTTTTATTCTAAGTATATATGACATTATATTTTTGATTTATAACATCAGTTGTTTGAAAATTATTTAGGAAATGTAACTATTTTCTCAGAACAATGCATTTCATTCATCCGCTGTGACGGTGGGCGCAAGGATAGGCTGTGCGCGAGTGTCAACACGGCTGGCTAGTTGGGACAGCGGCATTTTGGAACGTGTTTGCTAGATATCAAGTAAGATAAGTGTGGGAAGAGGACATCGACAGACTGCCATTGCTCGTCCAAAGCAAGATTTTTACCTCGCAGCCATGACTGTGAAGATTGACACTGCTGGAAGTATTTTCAAGCTTTTAGCAAACTTACGTTAGCAAGTGTCTAGCTAGTCCACGTAGCTACAGTGGGGGGAAAAAAGTATTTTGTCAGCCACCAATTGTGCAAGTTCTCCCACTTAAAAAGATGAGAGGCCTGTAATGTTCATCATAGGTATAGGACAAAATGAGAAAAAAAAATCCAGAAAATCACATTGTAGGATTTTTAATGAATTGATTTGCAAATTATGGTGGAAAATAAGTATTTGGTCAATAACAAAAGTTTCTCAATACTTTGTTATATTCCCTTTGTTGGCAATGACACAGGTCAAACGTTTTCTGTAAGTCTTCACAAGGTTTTCACACACTGTTGCTGGTATTTTGGCCCATTCCTCCATGCAGATCTCCTCTAGAGCAGTGATGTTTTGGGGCTGTCGCTGGGCAACACAGACTTTCAACTCCCTCCAAAGATTTTCTATGGGGTTGAGATCTGGACACTGGCTAGGCCACTCCAGGACCTTGAAATGCTTCTTACGAAGCCACTCCTTCGTTGCCCGGGCGGTGTGTTTGGGATCATTGTCATGCTGAAAGACCCAGCCACGTTTCATCTTCAATGCCCTTGCTGATGGAAGGAGGTTTTCACTCAAAATCTCACAATACATGGCCCCATTCATTCTTTCCTTTACACGGATCAGTTGTCCTGGTCCCTTTGCAGAAAAACAGCCCCAAAGCATGATGTTTCCACCCCCATGCTTCACAGTAGGTATGGTGTTCTTTGGATGCAACTCAGCATTCTTTGTCCTCCAAATACGACGAGTTGAGTTTTTACCAAAAAGTTATATTTTGGTTTCATCTGACGATATGACATTCTCCCAATCCTCTTCTGGATCATCCAAATGCACTCTAGCAAACTTCAGACGGGCCTGGACATGTACTGGCTTAAGCAGGGGGACACGTCTGGCACTGCAGGATTTGAGTCCCTGGCGGCGTAGTGTGTTACTGATGGTAGGATTTGTTACTTTGGTCCCAGCTCTCTGCAGGTCATTCACTAGGTCCCCCCGTGTGGTTCTGGGATTTTTGCTCACCGTTCTTGTGATCGTTTTGACCCCACGGGGTGAGATCTTGCGTGGAGCCCCAGATCGAGGGAGATTATCAGTGGTCTTGTATGTCTTCCATTTCCTAATAATTGCTCCCACAGTTGATTTCTTTAAACCAAGCTGCTTACCTATTGCAGATTCAGTCTTCCTAGCCTGGTGCAGGTCTACAATTTTGTTTCTGGTGTCCTTTGACAGCTCTTTGGTCTTGGCCATAGTGGAGTTTGGAGTGTGACTGTTTGAGGTTGTGGACAGGTGTATTTTATACTGATAACAAGTTCAAACAGGTGCCATTAATACAGGTAACGAGTGGAGGACAGAGGAGCCTCTTAAATAAGAAGTTACAGGTCTGTGAGAGCCAGAAATCTTGCTTGTTTGTAGGTGACCAAATACTTATTTTCCACCATAATTTGCAAATAAATTCATAAAAAATCCTACAATGTGCTTTTCTGGATTTTTTCTCTCTCATTTGTCTGTCATAGTTGACGTGTACCTATGATGAAAATTACAGGCCTCTCTCATCTTTTTAAGTGGGAGAACTTGCACAATTGGTAGCTGACTAAATACTATTTTTTCCCCCACTGTAAGTGTGATGAGACTTGTTACATCGACGGACTACAATCACTTGTCCTAATATCGAATATGGTTTGTGGGTGTGCTGTAAAAACTAGAAATAAGAAACCATGGAAGTGGTCGGCTATAATCTTTCACAAACGTCTATTGAATAATCTAATTTAAAAGTATGGCTTGTTTCCCTGAATATAGATGACACTCCTCAGTAACATTAGCTAGTTTGCACCGATTAAAAAAAAAATATATATATATATTTAAAAAAAAAATTAAACCGGGGATCTATTAAGAGAGGATGGAAGTGACGAGACGTTTCCTGAGGCATACAGCGGTTCCATCAGTGGCATTCCACGCACACCAGAACAAAATGGAGTGGAGTAAGTGTTTACGATTATCTAACATTTGATTTGAATAGTAGCTAGCTGTTCTCATGAAATGTAATAGGCTTGTCAATTTTCTCCTGGATAGGCTGTCCATGTCATCCGCTGCATCTGTGTGAATGCCCTCCTCTCAAAGCCAAAGAATAGCTGAGTACAACAAAACGACTAAGAATGCTCAGAACTGAGCGTTACTTATTATTCAAAATGGAGTGGGGTCATTATTTTCCGCTGTATTCAATTTGATTCAAGTGCTTTCCAACTACAATTTCCACATGCTTGAGAAACGAATAAATTGACTTTAAACACAGTGTACAAAACATTATGAACACCTGCTCTTTCCATGTCATAGACTGACCAGGTGAAAGCTATGATCCCTTACTGATGTCACCTGTTAAATCCACTTCAATCAGTGTAGATGAAGGGGAGGAGACGGGTTGAAGAAGGGTTTGTATGCCTTTAGACAATTGAGACATGGATTGTGTATGTGTGCCATTCAGAGGGTGAATGGGCAAGACAAAAGATTGAAGTGCCTTTAAACGGGGTATGGTAGTAGGTGCCAGGTTTGTGTCAAGAACTGCAACGCTGGTGCGTTTTTCACGCTCAACAGTTTCCCGTGTGTACCAAGAATGGTCCACCACCCAAAGGACATCCAGCCAACTTGACACAACTGTGGGACGCATTGGAGTCAACATGGGCCAGCATCCCTGTGGAACGCTTTCGACACCTTGTAGAGTCCATGCCCCGACGAATTGAGGCTGTTCTTAGGGGAATAGGGGACGTGCTTGCTGTGGACGTCAGGTTGATATAGGAGACGTGCCTGCTGTGGACAGTGAATGGACTCCCCAATGGTGGAACAAGCGCCCTCACGACGCCAGGACAGCGGAGTCACTCACCACCTTCCGGAGACACTTGAAACCCCACCTCTTTAAGGAATACCTGGGATAGGATAAAGTAATCATTCTACCCCCCCCCCCCCCCCCCCCCCCCCCCCTTACCCCCCCCCCCCCAAAAAATAATATATATTGTAAAGTGGTTATCCCACTGGCTATAAGGTGAATGCACCAATTTGTAAGTTGCTCTGGATAAGAGCGTCTGCTAAATGAGGTAAAATGTAAATGTCTGCTGGAGTAACGTCCCATTCAGAACCAGAATAGAGGACAAGCCTCAACCGTTGCCGGTAAATTCTTTGGGGGGATGGGTGCTTCTTTTAAAGTGTGCTCAGAGGCACCCTTTTTCTAGTGTGGGGCCTGACTATATCCACTGCACTAATCCCTACATTAATCCAATGTAGAAAACCAAAAAGTGTCCCAGATGTTCTTTCTGGATGTAATGATTGTATTCACTGGTTTCTCCTCTTTCCACATTTCAGCCACTCTTTAAGATTTCTACGTCGTTCTACCAAAAACAAGCAAAACAGTGGATTGCGCGGCCAATATAGCCCCACCGCTCAAAGATTCAGGAATAACCTGATGGAGAGCGTCCTGCATGGACGAATACTGGGAGCCCAGATCCTGTTGAAGAGGCCGTCGTCTGGCTGCCAACATAGCCCCCCCCCCAGCAAGGAGGTCACTGCAGCACACACGTCTGGCTGCCAACATAGCCCCCCCCCAGCAAGGAGGTCACTGCAGCACACACATCTGGCTGCCAACATAGCCCCCCCCCAGCAAGGAGGTCACTGCAGCACACACGTCTGGCTGCCAACATAGCCCCCCCCAGCAAGGAGGTCACTGCAGCACACACATCTGGCTGCCAACATAGCCCCCCCCCCAGCAGGGAGGTCACTGCAGCACACACATCTGGCTGCCAACATAGCCCCCCCCCAGCAAGGAGGTCACTGCAGCACACACGTCTGGCTGCCAACATAGCCCCCCCCCAGCAAGGAGGTCACTGCAGCACACACGTCTGGCTGCCAACATAGCCCCCCCCAGCAAGGAGGTCACTGCAGCACACACGTCTGGCTGCCAACATAGCCCCCCCAGCAAGGAGGTCACTGCAGCACACACGTCTGGCTGCCAACATAGCCCCCCCCCCCCCCCCCCCCCCATGGTCATGGTCCTACTACCTAATACAAACACTAATGTATCATTAGTTGTTAGCCTCTGGTCATTATCACACTGGATCTGTAGCATTTTAGAAGTCTGTTAACTGTAGGCTACTACTGTAGCATTCCTGCTTTATACTGTCTATTGTATGTTTCAACAGTTATTGATGCGAGTAGTTGTCTATACTGTCTATGGTACATTACAGGCGGTGAACAGTGAAAATAAATGATTGTCTTTGCCGGTTCATGGATGGTCATGTCATTACACACTGTACAGTCGTGGTCAAAAGTTTTGAGAATGACACAAGTATTGGTCTTCACAAAGTTTGCTGCTTTAGTATTTATTTTTTTTGTTGATATTTTTGTCAGATGTTACTATGGTATACTGAAGTATAATTGCAAGCATTCCATAAGTGTCAAAGGCTTTCATTGACAATGACATTCAGTTTATGCAAAGAGTCAATATTTGCAGTGTTGACCCTTCTTTTTCAAGACCTCAGCAATCCGCCCTGGCATGCTGTCAATTAACTTCTGGGCCACATCCTGACTGATGGCAGCCCATTCTTGCATAATCAATGCTTGGAGTTTGTCAGAATTTGTGGGTTTTTGTTTGTCCACCCGCCTCTTGAGGATTGACCACAAGTTCTCAATGGGATTAAGGTCTGGGGAGTTTCCTGGCCATGGACCCAAAATGTCTATGTTTTGTTCCCCAAGCCACTTAGTTATCACTTTTGCCTCATGGCAAGGTGCTCCATCATGCTGGAAAAGGCATTATTCGTCACCAAACTGTTCTTGGATGGTTGGGAGAAGTTGCTCTCGGAGGATGTGTTGGTACCATTCTTTATTCATGGTTGTGTTCTTAGGCAAAATTGTGAGTGAGCCCACTCCCTTGGCTGAGAAGCAACCCCACACATGAATGGTCTCAGGATGCTTTACTGTTGTCACAGGACTGATGGTAGCGCTCACCTTGTCTTCTCCGGACAAGCTTTTTTCCGGATGTCCCAAACAATCGGAAAGGGGATTCATCAGAGAAAATGACTTTACCCAAGTCCTCAGCAGTCCAATCCCTGTACCTTTTGCAGAATATCAGTCTGTCCCTGATGTTTTTCCTGGAGAGAAGTGGCTTCTTTGCTGCCCTTCTTGACACCAGGCCATCCTCCAAAAGTCTTCGCCTCACTGTGCGTGCAGATGCACTCACACCTGCCTGCTGCCATTCCTGAGCAAGCTCTGCACTGGTGGTGCCCCGATCCCGCACCTGAATCAACTTTAGGAGACGGTCCTGGCGCTTGCTGGACTTTCTTGGGCGCCCTGAAGCCTTCTTCACAACAATTGAACCTCTCTCCTTGAAGTTCTTGATGATCTGATAAATGGTTGATTTAGGTGCAATCTTACTAGCAGCAATATCCTTTCCTGTGAAGCCCTTTTTGTGCAAAGCAATGATGACGGCACGTGTTTCCTTGCAGGTAACCATGGTTAACAGAGGAAGAACAATGATTTCAAGCACCACCCTCCTTTTAAAGCTTCCAGTCTGTTATTCTGACTCAATCAGCATGACAGAATGATCTCCAGCCTTGTCCTCGTCAACACTCTCACCTGTGTTAACGAGAGAATCACTGACATGATGTCAGCTGGTCCTTTTGTGGCAGGGCTGAAATGCAGTGGAAATGTTTTTTAGGGGGGGGATTAAGTTCATTTTCATGGCAAAGAGGGACTTTGCAATTAATTGCAATTCATCTGATCACGCTTCATAACATTCTGGAGTAGATACAAATTGCCATCATAACAACTGAGGCAGCAGACTTTGTGGTCCTCTGTAGCTCAGCTGGTAGAGCACGGCGCTTGTAACGCCAAGGTAGTGGGTTCGATCCCCGGGACCACCCATACACAAAAATGTATGCACGCATGACTGTAAGTCGCTTTGGATAAAAGAGTCTGCTAAATGGCATATTATTATTTTATTATACTTTGTGAATTAATATTTGTGTCATTCTCAACATTTGACCACGACTGTAGGTCTATGCTATGTTTTATTGGCTTTTACCAATTTCCCTCCAGTATTCACATGTTATTGATCTGTTATATTGACCTTTAGTATTCACGTTACAGCAGTCAGATCAATGGATCAGTATCTCATACACTACACTAGCATGTGGCATACTGTAATGAATCACTTGTAGTAGATGGCAACAAAACAGATGGTACTGGTTCTAATGGCATTTTTATTACAGTAATCTGACAAATTTGGTTAGGCCATGTCTGGCTGTGAAGCTGAATCATCGTAGTGTAAATTACAACAGGCCCATTTTACATCCTGTTTCCTTGAATCCTGTCGGCGAGGGATATTTGTGATTAACGGCACAAACAGCACATGAAGGCATGACTCTTCTGTTCCGTCGTCCCAGTCCATCTCTCCCCCCCTCCAATCGATGGCAGTCACATGTCTCCCGAGTGGCGCAGTGGTCTAAGGCACTGCATCGCAGTGCTAGCTGTGCCACTAGAGATCCTGGTTCGAATCCAGGCTCTGCTGTAGCTGGCCGCGACCGGGAGACCCATGGGGTGGCGCACAATTGGCCCAGGGTAGGGGAGGGAATGGCCGGCAGGGATGTTGGTAGAGCATGGCGTTTGCAACGCCAGGGTTGTGGGTTCGATTCCCACCACTCCCCCTCAGACCTCAGCTCTCGCCACTGCTCCTGGTAGCTCGTCTACCTGCTCCTCCGATTCAGCCTCCCGCTCCTAAATTCTGCCCCGAATTAAATATGGCTCTGAAATAAAAATGGTCTTCTACCTCCAAAGTCCGACATGACTTATCAAATGTTATGATGATTTACCGATAACAAGCTAGCTAGCTACTTTAGCTACGAAAGTACGCAACAGGGAGTTTTGTTTACAAAACCACACCAAGTCTCACAGGATGAGAGTGCAGGCAGAACCCAAAGGAGTCCCTAAATGAGGAAGTTGATAAAATCTCCTTAAGATTTATTAGTAGTTAAATTTTAATTGTATAAAATATAAATGACTTTGTAAAACTATTTAATGACCAACCACCCAGCTTTGGAGTAGTTAAGTCAGGGTTTCCCAAACTCGGTCCTCGGGACCCCAAGGGATGCACATGTTTTGGTTTTTGCCTTAACACTGCACAGCTGATTTTTCATATAATCAACTAATCATCAAGCTTTGATTAATTTTGAGTCAGCTGTGTAGTGATATAGCAAAAAACCAAAAGGTGCACCCCTTGGGGTTCTGATGGCGGCGTTAGCCTAGCATTTGTGTGAGACTGTAGCATTACATGTAGTAACATTTGGGGTCAGGGAAGGCCGGCAGGTACACCTAATCGCTTCCCCTGATCCTGATTTTAGCGCTAGCTAGCTAACCATCCCACTGTTATCGGCTGACAAACAGTCTTTGGCCAGCTGGTCATATAGCTAGGGCTAGGGTGTTTCCCACTCACAGGTGGTGTAGGTACTATTTCCAGTCTGTTTTACACCTACAGTAAACAGTGTTGATAGTATTGGACTCCTTCCTCAATAGATTAGGTGAGATTTGACATTTGTAACACCCTCCCTACTTTTTTTTAAATTTCATTTTCACCTGGCTGCAGGGAATGTTGGCATTTTAGACCCCTTGAATAAATATATATTGTGTAGTAGAAGACTCCCTCAGACTAATATTATTTTATGAAATGTTTTTAAAGGATAGTTTGGAGACTTCCTGGAGTCTGAGGGACCACACGATTTGTGTTTTTAGTGATGTGCAGTTCACAAACAATTTAGTTAATTTTGAACAACTCTTTTTTTACTGACTCACTTTGTGCTTTAGTATTTTTTTGTGAGTGACTCGTTCATTTTGGTTGTTTGTTTTTGACCTGCTGGCCGCAATGAGTCCTACAGCAGGTTTTATACACACTCAGCGGCTCCAGACGTGCGCCGACAAACAACTGTCTGTCATTTATCCACGCAGGATAATAGATCAGGCAGCATAGAGGAGAAAAATACATCTTTAGAAATGATGATTTATCACATGGTGCAAGAATGAATACAATTTATTGATGATTGAATGTTATCATGGACACAGTTTTGTAGAAGCAAAACATAACTCTGCCCAGAGGAGAGGCGCACTAATTGTGGTTGCTCAATGCTAACTCATTCTCCGTTTTGGAAATGTGTTTGAGTGTAAATTCTCCTGTGAAGTCTTATATTCTCCTTGCTTCTCCCGCATGCTGTATTCTAAAACTACTTCAGGCTCTTTCACATGGCTCTCTGCTTGTCTATAAGGAATGTCTTTCACATGGCTCTCTGCTTGTCTATAAGGAATGTCTTTCACATGGCTCTCTGCTTGTCTATAAGGAATGTCTTTCACATGGCTCTCTGCTTGTCTATAAGGAATGTCTTTCACATGGCTCTCTGCTTGTCTATAAGGAATGTCTTTCACATGGCTCTCTGCTTGTCTATAAGGAATGTCTTTCACATGGCTCTCTGCTTGTCTATAAGGAATGTGTTTCACATGGCTCTCTGCTTGTCTATAAGGAATGTCTTTCACATGGCTCTCTGTCTTGTCTATAAGGAATGTCTTTCACATGGCTCTCTGCTTGTCTATAAGGAATGTCTTTCACATGGCTCTCTGCTTGTCTATAAGGAATGTCTTTCACATGGCTCTCTGTCTTGTCTATAAGGAATGTCTTTCACATGGCTCTCTGCTTGTCTATAAGGAATGTCTTTCACATGGCTCTCTGTCTTGTCTATAAGGAATGTCTTTCACATGGCTCTCTGCTTGTCTATAAGGAATGTCTTTCACATGGCTCTCTGTCTTGTCTATAAGGAATGTCTTTCACATGGCTCTCTGCTTGTCTATAAGGAATGTCTTTCACATGGCTCTCTGCTTGTCTATAAGGAATGTGTTTCCCTATGGGCCCTGGTCAAAAGTGGTGCACTAAATAGGGAATTAGCGTGCCGTTTGGGGACACTGCCTCTGACTACGTCCAAACTTGTGATTGTGGGAGATGGCGCTGTGTCTCCCAGGCAGGAGAGGAGAGGATTTGATTTACACCCAAAGCCTTCCCGCTTTCTCTTCAACGTTCCTTTGCAAGGTTTATGATGAACACACGCTGGAGTTCTGGAAGCCTCTTCCTTCTCCTCCTCTGATCAAAGTGGGTAACGAAGACTTGTTGTTTTTTGATTAGGGTTAACGTTAAATCAACTCCCCGTCGACGGTTATGAAGTCAATTGTCCCATTTTTCATATTCAAATTCTGGATGTAGGTAGTGTAGCACTGGCTTTATATATCTGGATGTCATTTTAAACAAATGTTATAAGAATGGTTCTGGGGGGGGGGGGGGCTGATGCCATCATTAATACTCATCAGACCAACTCCTTGAAGTTGTCTTTAAAAAAAAAAAAACTATTTTGCTCAAAACATATTTTTTGACCCTTTAGTGCAGGGTTCTTCAACTCCGGTCCTGGAGGGCCGAAACACCTCTGTTTTTTATCCTCTCCTTCTAATCAGGGGCTAATTCAGACCTGGGACACCAGGTGAGTGCAATTAACTACCAAGTAGAAATAAAAAAAACAGTGTTTCGGCTCTCCAGGACCGGAATTGAAGAACCCTGGCCTAGTGTCTGCTGGTTTCTCCTTTCAATGACGACCTAGACAACCAGGTGAGGGGAGTTCCTTTACTAATCAGTGACCTTAAGACCTAGACAACCAGGTGAGGGGAGTTCCTTTACTAATCAGTGACCTTAAGACCTAGACAACCAGGTGAGGGGAGTTCCTTATTAATCACTGACCTTAATTCCTCAATCAATTACAAGGGAGGAGTGAAAACCTGCAGACGCTCGGCCCCCCGTGGAACGAGCTGGACAAGGGCTTTCGTTTGTTTTACTTTACTGTATTTATACTTGGGATATTGCTTTTCAACAGGAAAAGTTCAAAAATCACTGGAGCATGTCTTTAAAAAAAAAGGCTACTTCCATTATCTCCCTAGTCTTTGTAGAAACAGAGCGATGTAATGGTCGTGTAGCCAACGCAAACCAGACTTTTTTTAAATTTTTTTATAAGGTTTTTAAAAATACAATTTTACATTACAACCAGATGTCTCACACTATCATTTTCTATGGAGGTCACGGGGCTAGGATTCCAAACCCCAACTGCAGTATGTTCCTGGTTAGGGTTGGGCAGTATCCAGATTTTCATACCATTCCTGCTCAAAATACCACAGTATACACGGTCTACCGCCCAAGCCTATTCCTGGTACATAGTAATTAGTGCTGCACTTAGTGAAAACAAACCCAACAGCGTTGCGAAGGTAAGCTGAAGGACGGGGAGAGTTTATTTCCATTACCCTCCCATGTGAATTTACAGTACTCAGTTCAGGTCCAGGGAAGGGCCTGTTAGTTAGGTTGTCATACATAGAAGAGAAAGAATCACCAATCTGTTATTTGTTGACACACAACTCAAGCAAACGACTTCCCATGGCCAGCGGCCACTGGTACAGACATTCTGGCCACTGGTACTGCTATCAGACAGACAGACAGGCCGCTGGTACTGCTATCAGACAGACAGTGGGTCATTGACAGATTCCACAGACACTCACCTCAACTGTGTTCAAGCCTTATAACAGATTGACTCAAATGTGAATGACGTTATGTAACCTGAATGACTGCCTTTGTCCTATTCGGACTGAATTACCTTTAATAATTTGTGTGGTATGTTGAGTGCAGGTTAGTTATTAGAGAACACTAGAAATTCTTTATTTTTTTTATTTTTTATCACTGACTTGTGAACAATTGACCAGTATTTGGGTTCAGACAAGGTACTGTAAATCTAGACAGGGATAGTCTGCATTTTTCATGTCATAAAATATTTATTCTCACAAAGTGGTGACGTGCTCTCCCCCCCTCTCTGTCTCCTGTAGTCCAGAGCTGACGGACAGACTCTTCTCTCCGACGTGTTCCGGAGGAGCAACCTAATGGAGAGCGATTACTTTGGCCTGGAGTTCCAGAACATGCAGATGAACTGGGTAGGTACTCCACTAACTATGACTTGATGAACGAGTTCACTGGGAAAATAGCTGTTTTGATTATTCTGTAAAGAAGGGAAGATCCTAGAGGATCCTTTTGGAGTTTTAAAAGGTGGTATGTTCTCAGCTGCTCTCAAGACTTTAGACACATCGCATCTCCTCGCTCTGCAGTGTATTGGTTTAAACTTGTCGTAAAAGCACCCAAATAAAAACGTTAAGAACCGGATGTTGTTGAAACATAAATAAAAATGGTCTGGATGTGGTATAAAAAAATCCTGTCTAAAAAGGAATCAGCGACACATGGGAGACCGTTAGGAGGGCTAGTTCAAAGAGGACGGACCCGGGGACGTTTTCAGATGCCTGCGAGGTTCACTGGATCCATCCTGTGGTCTGTCCAGGAGAGGTCGGAGGTTCAGTCGGATCACAGTTAAGGCAATCTAAAAGCCAACTTCCTTAATAAAAAAAAACCTTATCACCCAGTACACATCTGTTCTGACCTGCTGTCAGATTTGCGAAAGGAGTATTGTCATGGAGACCATAGCAATTGAAGTGCACTCAATCTGAATCGATAACGCCATAGTCATGTAGAGATGGAGACGCCATAGTCGTGTAGAGATGGAGACGCCATAGTCGTGTAGAGATGGAGACGCCATAGTCGTGTAGAGATGGAGACGCCATAGTCGTGTAGAGATGGAGACGCCATAGTCGTGTAGAGATGGAGACGCCATAGTCGTGTAGAGATGGAGACGCCATAGTCGTGTAGAGATGGAGACGCCATAGTCGTGTAGAGATGGAGACGCCATAGTCGTGTAGAGATGGAGACGCCATAGTCGTGTAGACCAGGGATGGGCAACTTTGATGGGGGGGGTGGGGGCCACACACAAAAAATAGAAGTCATCATGAGGGTACGTAGTGGCTTGTGGGTCTACGTACCCACATCAATGCCCCCCTCGTGACAGTGAAGAGAAACAATTTTAAGTTTTAAAGAGAATTTCCTGCAATTCTACACATTTTGCCATGGGGCGGAGAGACGGTTTTTGCAATTCTAGAACTCATTTCCTGCAGTTTTACACATTTTGCTATAGGGTGGAGGCAAATGTTTGCAATGGGCCCCACCCTGGTCGGTAGTTTGACCACGCTTACTACAGGTTTAGATAGCTTGCCGCTAGACTAATTTACCAATCTAAACAAATTAGCTGACATGGGCTAATTAAGTGACTGACTGACATAAGAGAATAACTGGTGATGGACAACCACATTTTTTTTAAATTGCACCTTGTGTATTCTACTATTCTAACTCTCAACAGTAAGTTGAGACGCCGACTGAGTTCATATACACTACCAGTCAAAAGTTTGGACACCTACTCATTCAAGGGTTTTTATAGTAAAAATTTTTTTTACAATTTTTTACATTGTAGAATAATAGTGAAGACATCAAAACTATGAAATAACACATATGGAATCATGTAGTAACCAAAAAAGTGTTAAACAAATAGAATGATAGAATGCCAAGAGTGTGCAAAGCTGTCATCAAGGCAAATGGTGGCTATTTGAAGAATCTCAAGTATAAAATATATTTTGATTTGTTTAACACTTTTTAGTTACTACATGATTCCATGTTTGTTATTTCATAGTTTTGATGTCTTCACTATTATTCTACAATGCAGAAAATAGTAAAAATAAAGAAAAACCCTTGAATGAGTAGGTGTGTCCAAACTTTTGACTGGTACTGTGTACACACACACAAAGGGGAGGCCACCAGTTGCCCATCCCTGGTTTAGACCTTCAACAATTTGAAAGTGATCTTTCAACTGGAATGCTTTCCCATATGTTGCTGATGTCCTTTCCTCACTAAGGTCAAAGGTCATCCAGGTGGCTGTTGTCTTTTTTTGTTGTTGTCATTTTAGCAGACGCTCTTATCCAGAGTGACTTACAGTTAGTGAGTGCATACATTTTCACACTGAACGACACTGGACTCATGCTGTCCTGCATCCTTTATATAGAGAGGAGGTGGGAATAGAAGGTACATTCCTCTCTCGATCAGGCCCAGGTGTGATTTTAAGGTGGAGGGTGGGAGCAGGGTCAATGTGGCCATGGAGCCAACCCTCAAATGCCCCCAACCCAGCCCCCCCCCCCCCCCCAACCCCTTAACTGTCACTCACAGCGTCCACCACTGTCACCAAGGCAGCCATCTACATAGCTGTGGTCCCATCACGCCTGAATTATGACTGTTGGACAGTACCATCTCTTGGACCACTAGCCACAAACAGAGCAGAGAGGAAGGGAGTATGTGTGTCTAAAGATCTCAAGCGTTCCTTTTTCAATAATGATTTCAAGGCTCCTCATAATTTAACTTTTTTTGTTTTTTCAGGTTTGGTTGGAACCCACGAAGCTCGTAGTGAACCAAGTGAAGAGTAAGTCCACACAGACATGGAGCATTTCTACCACAACAGAATTGGAGGATTGTTTGAAGTTTACGTCTTGTTTGTTTGTTTGTTTGTTTGTTTGTTTGTTTGTTTCAGGACCCATGAACACCCTCTTCAGGCTTTCAGTGAAGTTCTTTCCCCCAGACCCTGGTCAGCTACAGGAAGAGTACACTAGGTCGGTCTGGCTGTCCCTCACTCTCTGCTGTCCCTCACTCTCTGATGTCCCTCACTCTCTGCTGTCCCTCACTCTCTGCTGTCCCTCACTCTCTGCTGTCCCTCACTCTCTGCTGTCCCTCACTCTCTGCTGTCCCTCACTCTCTGCTGTCCCTCACTCTCTGCTGTCCCTCACTCTCTGCTGTCCCTCACTCTCTGCTGTCCCTCACTCTCTGCTGTCCCTCACTCTCTGCTGCGTCTCAAATGGCACTTTTATTTTAGTGTACTACTTTTTGGTCAAAAGTAGTGCACTATATAGGGAATATGGTGCCATTTGGGGACACACCCTCAGTCTTTCCTCTCTGTGCCGTAGTCGCAGTAGACGTTAACAGGACAGCTGTCATTTAAGATTGAATTGTTCTCAGTCATTATTTTTGATAAGCTGATGACACTGCCTCTGACAAGCTGGCATTGTTATTATGTAAGAGACAGATGACCAGATGTACACTAAACTAAAGTCTGACTGTTTCTACATGTGCATTTGGAAAGTATTCAGACCCCTTCACTTTTTCCACATTTTTGTAACGTTACAGCCTTATTCTAAAATTGATTAAATTGTTTTTTTCCCCTCATCAATCTACACACAATAACCCATAATGACAAAGCAAAAACCAGGTTTTTAGAACATTTTGCAAAACAACTGAAATGACATTTACATAAGTATTCAGACCCTTCAGTACTTTGTTGAAGCACCTTTGGCAGTGATTACAGCCTCGAGTCTTCTTGGGTATGACGCTACAAGCTTGGCACACCTGTATTTGGGGAGTTTCTCCCATTCTTCTCTGCAGATCCTCTCAAGCTCTGTCAGGTTGGATGGGGAGCGTTGCTGCACAGCTATTTTCAGGTCTCTCCAGAGATGTTGTATCGGGTTCAAGTCTGGGTTCTGGCTGGGCCACTCAAGGACATTCAGAGACTTGTCCCAAAGCCACTTCTGCATTGTCTTGGCTGTGTGCTTAGGGTCGTTGTCCTGTTGGAAGGTGAACCTTCGCCCCAGTCTGAGGTCCTGAGAGCTCTGGAGCAGGTTTTCATCAAGGATCTCTCTGTACTTTGCTCCATTCATATTTGCCTCAATCCTGACTAGTCTCCCAGTCCCTGCCGCTGAAAAACATCCCCACAGCATGATGCTGCCACCACCATGCTTCACCATAGAGATGGTGCCAGGTTTCCTCCAGACGTGACACTTGGCATTCAGGCCAAATAATTCAATCTTGATTTCATCAGACCAGAGGATCTTGTTTCTCATGGTCTGAGAGTCCTTTAGGTGCCTTTTGGCAAACTCAGAGCTAGCTGTCATATGCCTTTTACTGAGGAGTGGCTTCCATCTGGCCACTCTACCATGCTGCAGATATGGTTGTCCTTCTGGAAAGTTCTCCCATCTCCACAGAGGAACTCTGGAGCTCTGTCAGAGTGATCATCGGGTCCTTGGTCACCTCCCTGACTAAGGCCCTTCTCCACCTGATTGCTCAGTTTAACCCGGGCGGCCAGCTCTAGGAAGAGTCTTGGTGGTTCCAAACTACTTCCATTTAAGAATGATGGAGGCCACTGTGTTCTTGGGGACCTTCAATGCTGCAGAAATGTTTTGGTACCCTTCCCCAGATCTGTGCCTCGACACAATCCTGTCTCGTTGTACGGACAATTCCTTCGACCTCATGGCTTGGTTTTTGCTCTGACATGCACTGTCAACTGTGGGACCTTTATATAGACAGGTGTGTGCCTTTCCAAATCATGTCCAATCAATCTACCACAGGTGGACTCCAATCAAGTTGTAGGAACATCTCAAGGATGATCAATGGAAACAGGATGCACCTGAGCTCAATTGAGTCTCATAGCAAAGGGTCAGATTTTTATTTGTAATACTTTTGCAAACATTTCTAAAAAACTTGTTTTAGCTTTGTCATTATGGGTTATTGTGTGTAGATTGAGGGCAAAAGTTTATTTAATCAATTTTAGAATAAGGCTGTAACATAACAAAATGTGGAAAAAGTGAAGGGGTCTGAATACTTTTCGAATGCACTGTAACTGTTTCACCAAAGTCCTGTGTTTCATTTCCAAGTACCTGTTGGCCCTAGATATGGAAACGCAATTTCTCCTGTACACCAAAGTGTAGACATCGGTGTAACACCGGTATCCATATTGAGAAGCACCATAAACTGAAGCCCTGTATGTTTTCCCAGGTACCTGTTCTCCCTCCAGATGAAGAGAGATCTGATAGATGGCAGGTTGAGCTGTACAGAGAACACTGCTGCCCTGTTGGCCTCACACCTCCTTCAATGTAAATGTGACTAGCTTTTCGCTGGTGTAATAGATAAATGTGTATGTACTGATTTTATGAATGTGTTTATGAAGTCTGCGCTTATAAAGGCTACCCTTCCAATAAAGCGTTACCAAATGAACAGCCGTAATAGCTGCATTATATACACGTTATATTGACAATGGATAAATGTGATTTGGTTACTTTTTTTTTTAGTGGATTATTATCATGGTGCTACGTTGCTGCATTATAACGCCGCCCCCACCCCCCTCTCCTCCAATCACAGCGGAGATAGGGGACTATGACGACGTGGCAGACAGGGACTTCCTGAAGCTGAACAAGCTGCTGCCCAATCAGGAGAGGATACAGGAGAGGATCATTGAACTGCACCGTAGACACCTGTGAGTCGCTACCTCCCTTCTGTTCTCTCCTCACCTCATACCCCAGTTAATCCGAGGTCACCTCTGTCCTAAGCCTAGTCCAGGACCTGTTTGTACTGTATAACCAACTATTATGGCTATCTGCATGACGATGAGTTGGCAAGATGACGCAAACAGATCTGGGACCAGGCTTTCTCTGTACTGCATACTCAGTCCATGTTCATTTCGCTCCATGCTATAAGGTAGTCCCATTTTCCATGTTGTACTGATGACTACACGGATATGTTTCTTGTCGCTTTCCAATGTTTTGAGAGGATATGAAGGTCCGGTTTCATTAACTTCAACACTTCACAACACAAATTACCTCCTTGAAGCATGAGTATGAAAACCATCTTCGTCTCTACGTCGTTAGTTACAGTTTTCTTCTAAGACCTTTTTTCTAACAGGTACATGCCAGTCCTCCTCAGTAACCAGTGTTTATCTGTCAGTGTCTCAAATGGCACCCTTTTCCCTACATTCCCCTGGTCAAAAGTAGTGCACTATATAGGGTGCCATTTGGGACAAAGCCTCTGTCTGTAGTGTGCTGCGTGTTTCAGGGTGGAAGCCAGTGTTCTGTGTTTTAACGCCACTGTTTTCTGGAATTTTCCGCTGGATGAACCATGAATGTGGCATGATGGTATCTGTGCCTTCAGTTTAACGCGGTTTCTGTCCCGAAAGGCACCCCTATTCCCAACACGGTGCACTACTTTTGACCAGAGCCCTGTAGGGAATAGGGTGGCATTTGGTACCCAGCGTCTAACACTGCGACGGTCTGCAGCTTGAACTTTGATGAACCATTCCAATGCTATGCTGCTTGGAATGACGTCACACAATGAAGCTGAACCTAAGATGCATTTGTTTTAGCAGATTTGTCTGATTCGCCTCAGTACTGAACATATTGTTGTTTTTAAGCTAATGTTCCGCGGTAGTCTTTGACATAGACTTTAACGTTTTTATTTTATTTTTTTACAATTGTTTCAGGCAGCGCTAAATTGTTTTGAATAGCTTGATAATAAGATTACAACAGGGTTTATTGGATACGCATAAACCTGCGTTTTAACTTTTTACCTAAAAAGGAACATTATCTCAAAGAGATTTCTACTGGACAAAAGCTGACACAGACACTTAAAATTCGCACATCAGCCATGTAGTCAATAGACAACTAAATGTGACCGTCTCTGGGAGGAGTTGAGTCTGGCAGCTGTTCAGAATTCAAATTTTCTATTCGTGGTAATCTGTTTTTTTTTTTTTTTTTTTTTAAGCTCACTGGCCTTTTCCCACATTTCAGCCTGTTCAAACGCCCTCCATGGGCTGCTAGTGGCTTTCCACTCCTTTTCTATAGACTTGGGTTGCGTCCCAAATGGGCCCTGGTCAAAGGGTAGTGCACTATAAAGGGAATATAAACGCACCCTGCCTCTCCTTTCCTCAGAGTGCCGATAGCCAGGTTTCTATCGACCTGGTTCATTGCAACGTGTAATGAAAACGGCAGATATAGGAGACATTTTCTACAAGTTCAACCAAAATGTTATCCGTGTGACAGAGGGGGTCTAACTTGCTGTATTGTGACAAATGATGGTGGAAACTGTGTTTTTCGAATATTATTATGATTGCTGAATAATTTGGAAGTTATGTGGGGCACATGATGTCATCACGTAGCTATATAAAGCTACCACTCCACATTTTAATTATAAATGCGTACTGCTTGCTAAATCAATTATTTTCGATAATAGAAATGTATTGCTTCGACTTGCTTTTCTGGTTGGCTGGACGCGAGTCTCACCATCCAAATCTTCACCATGGCACAGGCTTTGGCGATACGTTGGCACGTGAGAATTATTAGAACGTGGCAAATCAATTCTTGCTTTCTATCCATGCTGGCTTCCGCGGGCTGCTTGAGATGTCAAACCGATAGGTGGGAGGGTATACAGGCTGTCGCCAATTTTATGAATTTCTAAATGGATAATGGGAAACCTCCCCCTCTGGTTGTTACTGTTGGGGAGGAAGCTCTGGTTGTTACTGTTGGGGAGGAAGCTCTGGTTGTTACTGTTGGGGAGGAAGCTCTGGTTGTTACTGTTGGGGAGGAAGCTCTGGTTGTTACTGTTGGGGAGGAAGCTCTGGTTGTTACTGTTGGGGAGGAAGCTCTGGCTGTTACTGTTGGGGAGGAAGCTCTGGTTGTTACTGTTGGGGAGGAAGCTCTGGTTGTTACTGTTGGGGAGGAAGCTCTGGTTGTTACGGTTGGGGAGGAAGCTCTGGCTGTTACTGTTGGGGAGGAAGCTCTGGCTGTTACTGTTGGGGAGGAAGCTCTGGCTGTTACTGTTGGGGAGGAAGCTCTGGCTGTTACTGTTGGGGAGGAAGCTCTGGTTGTTACTGTTGGGGAGGAAGCTCTGGTTGTTACTGTTGGGGAGGAAGCTCTGGCTGTTACTGTTGGGGAGGAAGCTGTTACTGTTGGGGAGGAAGCTCTGGCTGTTACTGTTGGGGAGGAAGCTCTGGCTGTTACTGTTGGGGAGGAAGCTCTGGCTGTTACTGTTGGGGAGGAAGCTCTGGCTGTTACTGTTGGGGAGGAAGCTCTGGCTGTTACTGTTGGGGAGGAAGCTCTGGCTGTTACTGTTGGGGAGGAAGCTCTGGCTGTTACTGTTGGGGAGGAAGCTCTGGTTGTTACTGTTGGGGAGGAAGCTCTGGTTGTTACTGTTGGGGAGGAAGCTTCCTCCCTAGCACCCTGATCTAATCCTCCTAGCCTCCTCCCTAGCACCCTGATATAATCCTCCTCAGCTCAGGCCAGGCTATTTGATTAGCCAGACGGCGGGGAGGAGGGTAAGGGAAGAGTAGATGAGGGGAGGGCAGGAGAGGAGAGGAGGGCAGGGAACAAGGGAGGGGGGAGGGAGTGGCATAAGGAGATTTCACAGCTTAAAGGATGAACAAAATTAGAATGCTGGGTGATGATCTGGCATACTGCCACCCTACTAACCAAAGACGAGCATCACGATTTAGACTGGACACGCACGCGTTCGCTCCACTAGAAAACATTCAGATTGGCGGTTGTGAGTCAAACATTTTGACATGTTTTGATTGAAGTCCTTTAAGAGGTTAGGGCTGGGAGAGGAGCTTTCGGGGGATTTACAGTCGTTGTGTTTTATTCCTAGAGTGACTCTCCTCTTCTCAGGAGAATCACCACATCCCATGTTGACATGTCAGCCATGTGTAAGTTCAGCCAGCCAGCCAGCCATTCTCTCTGATCTTTCTATAGGTTTTAATACCCAGTAGACTGTTAAATATTCAGTTTACTCACACCTTCACTCATGGCTCTCTACTCATTTCAGACAAATTCATGAATAAGGCCAGTAAAGTGAACCAGAGTTCTGAGCCAAGGTTCCAAACCATCATTGCAAAGACTAACTTCCCTGAAGTGAACGGAATTAAACTCCCCCCGTCTCTCTCCCCCCCTAGCGGGCAGACTCCAGCCGACTCAGACTTCCAGGTTCTGGAGATCGCCCGTAAACTGGAGATGTACGGCGTCCGGTTCCACCCTGCAGCCGACCGTGAGGGAACTAAGATCAACCTGTCCGTGGCTCACATAGGCCTGCAGGTCTTCCAGGTGAGGAGTAGTTCTACTGCTAATACACACGCACATACACACACACACAGGCACACACACTTACACATACAGGGGCACACACACACGCACTCACAGGCACACACACTTACACATACAGGGGCACACGCACACACAGGCATACACACACACACACACACACACGTGCGCAGGCATACACACACAGGCATACACACACACGTGCACGCACACAGGCACACAGGCACGCACGCACGCACACACACACACACACAGGCACGCACGCGCACACACACACACACACACAGGCACACACGCGCACACATACAGGCACACACACACACACCCCGAGGCCTCATATCAGGTTTCAGATTTTTGTCTTCGGTCTAATTTTTTCCCAGGGTAACACTAAAATAAACACCTTCAATTGGTCCAAGATCCGCAAGCTGAGCTTCAAGAGGAAACGCTTCCTGATCAAGCTATACCCAGAGGTTCATGTGAGTACTGGATTTCTTTCCTGAAAACATTGGAGGCTATCAGCAGTTGAAATAATAAAGCGTTTTTAGCCACCCCCTGTTTTGGTAAAAATCTGAGAGTTGAAGACATGTAACCGCTCTCCAAGGGCTGACCATCCATGATATCAAAAATATAGTTTTAACCATGTTTAACGTTGATATTTACCTGTATCATTCATTTATAAGTCCAGTTTTAACCATGTTTTAACGTTGATATTTACCTGTATCATTCATTTATAAGTCCAGTTTTAACCATGTTTAACGTTGATATTTACCTGTATCATTCATTTATTCATTTATAAGTCCAAAGATGGATGTAGCATCTGTAGATTCAACACATATTGGCAAATTGGGGGCCATCCAGGGTGTGAACGTGAACCTCTAGCGTTGCACTATAACCCGTACAAGAAAAAAAGAAATGTCTTTTCAAATCTATCTAAAGAGATCTGTGTTTTATCACGATAGGCTGAAGGTAGGACTCCTGTGCCAAGTTCAAACCATATACAGTGCAATTGGCCCAGCGTCGTCCAGGGTAGGGGAGGGAATGGCCGGCAGGGATGTAGCTCAGTTGGTAGAGCATGGCGTTTGCAACGCCAGGGTTGTGGGTTCGTTTCCCACGGGGGGCCAGTATGAAAAAATAGAAAATAAAAAAACAAATCATGTATGCTCTGGATAAGAGAGTCTGCTAAATTACTAAAATGTATTCAGACACTTTTCCACATTTTGTTACATTACAGCCTTATTCTAAAATGGATCTACACACAATACCCCCATGATGACAAAGCAAAAACAACCGTAAAAAAAAAAAAAAAAGTGATTACAGCCTCGAGTCTTTTTGAGTATGATGCTACAAGCTTGGCACACCTGTATTTGGGGAGTTTCTCCCATTATTCTCTGCAGATCCTCTCAAGCTCTGTCAGGTTGGATGGGGAGCGTCGCTGCACGTCTATTTTCAGGTCTCTTCAGAGATGTTGGATCAGGTTCAAGTCCAGGCTCTGTCTGGGTCACTCAAGGACATTCAGAGACTTGTCCCGAAGCCACTCCTGTGTTGTCTTGGCTGTGTGCTTAGGGTCGTTGTCCTGTTGGAAGGTGAACCTTCGCCCCAGTCTGAGGTCCTGAGCGCTCTGGAGCAGGTTTTCATCAAGGATCTCTCTGTACTTTGCTCCGTTCATCTTTCCCTCGATCCTGAATACTTACACTACCGTTCAAAAGTTTGGGGTCACTTAGAAATGTCCTTGTTTCCGAAAGAAAATGATTTTTTTTTGTCCATTTAAAATAACATCAAATTGATCGGAAATACAGTGTAGACATTGTTAATGTTGTAAATGGCTATTGTAGCTGGAAACAGCTGATTTTTAATGGAATATCTACATAGGCGTACAGAGGCCCATTATCAGCAACCATCAGTCCTGTGTTCCAATGTCACGTTGTGTTTGCTAATCCAAGTTTATCATTTTAAAAGGCAAATTGATCATTAGAAAACCCTTTTGCGATTATGTTAGCACAGCTTAAAACTGTTGTGCTGATTTAAAGAAGCAATAAAACTGGCCTTTCAGCTGTGCTAACATAATTTCAAAAGGGTTTTCTAATGATCAATTAGCCCTTTAAAATGATAAACTTGGATTAGCAAACACAATGTGCCATTGGAACACAGGACTGATGGTTGCTGATAATGGGCCTCTGTACGCCCATGTAGATATTCCATAAAAAATCTGCCATTTCCAGCTACAATAGCCATTTACAACATGAACAATGTCTACACTGTATTTCTGATCAATTTGATGATGTTTTAATGGACAAAAAAAAATATTTTCTTTCAAAAACAAGGACATTTCTAAGTGACCCAAAACTTTTGAATGGTAGTGTATGTAAATAAGGTATTTCAAGTTTTTTGTGTCTTTAATAAATTTGCAAAAATTTCTAAACCTGTTTTCGCTTTGTCATTATGGGTATTGTGTGTAGATCGTTGAGGATTTTTATTTTATTTAATACATTTTAGAATAAGGCTGTAACGTAACAAAATGTGGAAAAAGTGAAGGGGTGTGAATACTTTCCGAATGCACTGAACATGTTTACAGCAAGATGAGTAATATTTTATTGGACCACTGTAGGGCGGCAGGTAGCTTAGTGGTTAAGAGCGTTGTGCCAGTAACCGAAAGGTCGCTGGTTCTAATCCCCGAGCCGACTAGGTGAAAAATGTGTCGATGTGCCCTTGAGCAAGGCACTTAACCCTAATTGCTCCTGTAAGTCGCTCTGGATAAGAGCGTCTGCTAAATGACTAAAAATGTAAATAACTGTTTTTTTAAAAATTCATGCTTTCAAGTATCCTCGGGGACTAAATGCAGATATTGTTTGATGTTTTTTTTTGTTTTTTACCCCAAAAAATATAAAGCTGTATTCAATTTAATTGTAGGGTCCTCATCAGGATACCTTGGAGTTCCAGATGGCCAGTCGGGACCAGTGTAAGGTGTTCTGGAAGAACTGTGTGGAACACCACTCATTCTTCCGCCTCTTGGATCAGCCGCAGCCCAAGTCCAAAGCCATTTTCTTTAGCAGGGGATCCTCGTTCAGATACAGGTATCTCTGCTTTCTGCTGAATCATACGGCGGTAGATTTTGTTATGATAAATTGGACATCATGTTGAGGCAAATTTTCACTGATGTTTAGTGTACCATGTAGTATACAGTGAGGGGAAATAAGTATTTGACCCCATCTCAATCAGAAAGATTTCTGGCTCCCAGGTGTCTTTTATACATCCGTGTGTAGCTCAGCTGGTAGAGCACGGCGCTTGTAACGCCAAGGTAGTGGGTTCGATCCCCGGGACCACCCATACACAAAAATGTATGCACGCATGACTAAGTCGCTTTGGATAAAAGCGTCTGCTAAATGGCTTATTATTATTATACAGGTAACGAGCTGAGATTAGGATCACACTCTTAAAGGCAGTGCTCCTAATCTCAGCTTGTTACCTGTATAAAAGACACCTGTCCACAGAAGCAATCAATCAATCAGATTACAAACTCTCCACCATGGCCAAGACCAAAGAGCTCTCCAGGGATGTCAGGGACAAGATTGTAGACCTACACAAGGCTGGAATGGGCTACAAGACCATCGCCAAGCAGCTTGGTGAGAAGGTGACAACAGTTGGTGCGATTATTCGCAAATGGAAGAAACACAAAATAACTGTCAATCTCCCTCTGCCTGGGGCTCCATGCAAGATCTCACCTCGTGGAGTTGCAATGATCATTAGAACGGTGAGGAATCAGTCCAGAACTTCACGGGAGGATCTTGTCAATGATCTCAAGGCAGCTGGGACCATAGTCACCAAGAAAACAATTTGTAAAACACTACGCCGTGAAGGACTGAAATCCTGCAGCTCCCGCAAGGTCCCCCTGCTCAAGAAAGCACATATACAGGCCTGTCTGAAGTTTGCCAATGAACATCTGAATGATTCAGAGGAGAACTGGGTGAAAGTGTTGTGGTCAGATGAGACCAAAATCGAGCTCTTTGCTATCAACTCAACTCGCCGTGTTTGGAGGAGGAGGAATGCTGCCTATGACCCCAAGAACACCATCCCCACCGTCAAACATGGAGGTGGAAACATTATGCTTTTGGGGTGTTTTTCTGCTAAGGGGACAGGACAACTTCACCGCATCAAAGGGACGATGGACGGTGCCATGTACCGTCAAATCTTGGGTGAGAACCTCCTTCCCTCAGCCAGGGCATTGAAAATGGGTCGTGGATGGGTATTCCAGCATGACAATGACCCAAAACACACGGCCAAGGCAACAAAGGAGTGGCTCAAGAAGAAGCACATTAAGGTCCTGGAGTGGCCTTGCCAGTCTCCAGACCTTAATCCCATAGAAAATCTGTGGAGGGAGCTGATGGTTCGAGTTGCCAAACGTCAGGCTCGAAACCATAATGACTTGGAGAAGATCTGCAAAGAGGAGTGGGACAAAATCCCTCCTGAGATGTGTGCAAACCTGGTGGCCAACTACAAGAAACGTCTGACCTCTCTGATTGCCAACAAGGGTTTTGCCACCAAGTGCTAAGTCATGTTTTGCAGAGGGGTCAAATACTTATTTCCCTCATTAAAATGCAAATCAATTTATAAAATTTTTGACATGTGTTTTTCTGGATTTTTGTTGTTGTTATTCTGTCACTCACTGTTCAAATAAACCTACCATAAAAATTATAGACTGCAAACTTACAAAATCAGCAGGGGATCAAATACTTTTTCCCCTCACTGTACAGCTTGAACCCATATTAGACTCTATGGCTTGGTGTTCAAGGACTTGTGCTGTTGTTGTTTGATGGCTTCTGTGTTGTGACTCTGTCTGGTTTAGTGGGAGGACCCAGAAGCAACTAGTGGAGTATGTCAAAGACAGCGGAGCAAGGAGGACACCATATCAGAGGTGTGTGTGCCTTCTCTCTGTCTCGCTCTCTCTCTCTCTCTGTCTCGCTCTCTCTCTCTCTCTGTCTCGCTCTCTCTCTCTCTCTCTCTCTCTCTCTCTCTGTCTCGCTCTCTCTCTCTCTGTCTCGCTCTCTCTCTGTCTCGCGCTCTCTCTCTCTCTGTCTCTCTCTCTCTCTGTCTCTCTCTCTCTCTGTCTCTCTCTCTCTCTGTCTCTCTCTCTCTCTCTCTCTCTCTCTCTCTCTTTCTCTCTCTCTGTCTCGCTCTCTCTCTGTCGCGCTCTCGCTCTCTTTCTCTCTCTCTCTCTCACTAAGAGTCAGTTACAACAACTTCCTCCATGTGTCCTTGACCTCTGTTTAACTCTCATGTGGTCTCCTGTCTCTCTATCTGTCAGGAGGAACAGTAAGGTGAGGATGTCAGCTCGATCCCTTGCCCACGATGTGCCAAAACAGGTCAGTGGTATTCCAAGACTAATGCGTCTCTGACAGGGTTAGGGTTAATGCATCTTTCTGACAGGGTTAGGGTTAATGCATCTTTCTATAATATCACTTGATGAAGGAGGTGCAGAGTCATTGGAAACTAATGGAACTCTCTCTCTGTCTCTCTCTCTCTCTCTCTGTCGCTGTCTCTCTCTATCTCTCTCTGTCTCTCTCTGTCATGTCTTTTCAGACATTGTCATTCAATGACAGCCTGCGGGCGCCAGGTTCCCCGTCCTCTGCGACCGAGTCCTTCCACTCCATGCAAGTCTTCAGCTCCCACCCATGTCCGGAGCCCCAAACTCAGTCTCCACAGCTTCCTCCCCAGAGCCAGGCCCAGTCTCCACAGCCTCCTCCCCAGCAGCAACAGACCCAGCTCCTGCCGCCACAGCTGGCCAGACCCTCCAGCCCCCCAGCGAAGGAGGACCCCCACAAGGCCACCGGCGTCCCCCCATGTCACCACGCCTTCTCACAAGGTGCCCCAAGTTACCAGGCGGCAGGAGACTGCAGCCCCTCGTTTGTGTGTGTAGAGAGTAGAGCTTCCCATCCACAACAGCAGCCCTCCCAAAATGGCAATGAGGATACTGAGCGGGGTGGAGGGTGGGGGACGAGGTGCACGGGGAGAGGAGGAGGGGGCGGGGAGATGAGAGTGTTTGAGGCGGAGCTTCTCCGAGCCAGGCAGAAGCCCCTGTTACCATTGGCTAACACCCAGCTCCATGTCACAGAGGAGTTCATAGATGATGACCCCACTGAGATGTCATTCTACGGTGGCGGGGCTGAGGCCTATTACGGCTATGAGGAGAAGTGGGGTCAGTATGGTGGTTATGGGGAGGGTGGTGGTGGAGAGGGTGGTTATGGGGAGGGTGGTGGTGTGGACCTCACTAAAACCAGGGTGTTCGGTCTGGGTCTGGAGGACCTGAACAGGAATACTCACCCCTTCTCTGACCACAGCATTGTTGGTCACTCTGAGACCAGCTCTCTGGTCAACAACAGGTCAGAGTGTAGTTCCCTTGACCACCTGGGGCTTAGTTCCGCAGGTGACTCCAGGTCTCTGGGCTTCGGCGGCCCAGACTCCTCCTCCTCCCTCCGCCTCCCGGGCTCCGAGACGAGCTCCATGGTTAACTTCCCGGCGTACTCGGTCCGCTCCGAGACGAGCTCGGCGGTGCAGTTCAGTGACCTAGTTGAGCAACTAGAGCATCTGAGCTATCCTCCTACGGCCACGGAGGGGTCGGCTAACGGCAGCGACGATTCTGACTCCGACTGGGGTTCGGACAGCGGCCTGCCCCCTGAGCAGAACCTGTTCTATAGCAACCCCCTAGCGGGAGGGCCAGGTGGGGTGGAGGGGTTCCTTCTGCAGTGTCATGACCTGCAGGCCCTAGCCCTGGGGGAATCCTCTGGTGGACCCCCCCACATTAACATGTGAAGGCCCTGATCACTAAATGAATGGCTATATAGGCAGTCACACTGCTTACTTAGCTAACGTTACAAAATATTATTGTGGTTTTGGTGAAGATTTGAATATTCGCTGAACATTTTGAATCTTAATTTTGTGATTTGGAGAACGGCCCCACTTCTCACTCATTGGATGCCGGTCACATTTACCTTTTTTTAGACAGATGTTTACCCAGACATCATAGCTACTAAATGACTGTTCTCCCTCCAGCTCTGCTTTTTGGTTCCGGTCATGCTTGTGTTATTGAGACGGGGATCTTTTTAAGACCTCTTTTAGGCTTCATAACGGTGGTCTGCATTGCAGCCGGCCACTCGTGTTGCATAGCATGGTTCATTAACCGTAAGAGCGCAATACTGAAGTGTAAGCGGTTCGAGTGCAGGGGTAGAACGAACATAACATGATCGCCTACGTGGCTTTGCCTTAATGGTTGTAGAGTTATTTGATGGGATATGGTTGCTGTTATCCCCCTAGCATTACAGCAAATTGCTCTAAAGTACTTTGTGGTTTTGAATCTGTCGGTACCATTGTGGCGATTTTTTGCGCTCTTTGTCCACTCTTCCGTAACCACCGCGCTACGCAGTCTTTGACCGCGCTTCGATTTTTAAGGAAAATATTTCTTATGTTTTCAAGACACGTGGTGCTTATTCAGAATAAGACATACAAATGTATTGCGACGTGAATGTTTGAGGAGAATATTTCTACAAGCGATCGCTGTTGATTGTCTGGCATCCTGAAGAATATACTATTTCACCGTTTGTTGAGGTTTAATCTTGTAACCTGCAAGGATGTAGGTTCAGACTCAATACAGCTTTTGATTTTTAAAATATAATCCAATCGATTTTAGGAGATCGGCGGCTGATTCAGGGGATTCAGACTGTAGGCGTCTCTTTGACTTGAAGACGAGTCTAAATGTAACACTCCTAACGGTAAATTAGATTTTTTTATTTTAATAGCACTTTTCATAACTAATAGTATTTTATTTTTTAAAAACATGTCTTAAATTTACATTAAAATAGTAGGCAATGATCTGTGATTGTCACATGCTTTTTTTGTGAATCAAAAATTCATATTTGTGTCATACCGCTCAGATCTCAGGGGTAGTAACGAAATCAATGATGATCCTTCATCAGTGTAAACGTAGTCCAGTAAATCCTTCATTGGCCTAACATAGTCTAGTAGTATATCCAGTGTGTTCTCTGTCTGAAAGAGGTTATACAGGCATAGGGGACTGTTAAAACGTACAGATCTTTAGCAGACGGCTGCTAAAGTTAGAAATTCAACATTGGCCTGCGTCCCAAATGACACCCTGGTTCCCTACATAGTGCACTACTTTTGACCAGAGGCCCTCCTAATAAAGGCACTACAATCTGCGTCTTACAGAGCCCTTTTTATATCAGGCTGAAGATTTTGTTCCGTTGAGACATCTGCTGGTCCGTAATAACCTTGACTCTCCTGTCCCGTTGCCATATCTGTCTGAGCGACGACACAGCCCCTGGGGTCTCCGTCTGGGATTCATCTCCGTCTGGGGTTCATCTCCGTCTGGGGTTCATCTCCGTCTGGGGGTTCATCTCCGTCTGGGGTTCATCTCCGTCTGGGGGTTCATCTCCGTCTGGGGGTTCATCTCCGTCTGGGGGTTCATCTCCGTCTGGGGGTTCATCTCCGTCTGGGGTTCATCTCCGTCTGGGGTTCATCTCCGTCTGGGGTTCATCTCCGTCTGGGGGTTCATGTTAGGTACCGGGTTAGCGGAGTAGTCAGGCTATATCTCAGAGGTTTCAAGTCATGTTGAGATTTTATTAAGAAAAGATGTAGGCGTCACATTTTTCTGTGCATGACATGAATGAAACAAGACACACCAGCAAATTTTTAGATTGGATTCGGGGTAGATTTGGAGTCGGTGTAGATTTCAGTTTAAAGAATGTAGGCAGTGTGTTATACACACCACAGCCAACAACGTGAATGTACTTTTAACACAACCATGTAACAAACATATGAAGTTTCTGCTTCAATGATAACAGTAGCTAGTATGCCAATAAATTAGAAGCTGTTTTAGATGTCTGTGTACTATAAGCTAAGATGGAAGCCCTCGAGTAAACAGTAAGAAGCATTTATACTTCAAACCTGGTTTTGTATTCCTTCAGTGAAAAAATCAATGGGTAATCCAATGAAGCGCTTAACAAATGATCTAATGAAGTTGTACTATGTCACCATATCATTGTGCTGGAAGTGATTTTTTTTTAAATGTAGCTGGATTTAAAAAGCTCCTTGTATCTGTTTACTGTAAACATGTTGCGTGAGGTTTTACACACAGTCTATAATCACTTCCCGAAGCTGCATCGGAGGCACTTCAAGACAATAACCCAACAGCCGCAGTAACAACAGGGACTTTTCTCACTTCGGTCCTTCATCTTGTCACTTTTATATAACCTGCCATTTTTGAGATTCTTCTTTAGCGTTTTCATTTATATGTTTCTTCTGTAATATCACTTGATGAATGAACTGCAGCCATAAACCACGACCTTTAGTAGGTCCAGTCCAGTGACGTGTTGTGGTCCATAGCAGTGGTGTTGACATCCAAGCCTCAGAAATGTGTTTGGGGGTTTCTATTTGGTTCGGAGTAGGGAACAGTGGGGAAACAATTGACCAAGTGCCATGGTGCATAAAGTCCTGTTGAATCAAAATAGGCTTGGAGTCCCAAATGGCACCCTATTCCCTACATAGTGCAATATGGACCCTGGTTAATAGTAGTGCGCACTACCAAGGGGGCCATTTGGGGTCAGCCATTGAAATAGTCAGTGGCGTGCTTCTCTACTTTGATGACGTCATTTCCTCCTCATAACGATCTAAACTCCACAAGTTCCATTTTTTAATTTCCTGTCATTTTGAAGCAGCTAGCTATAATCTGCCCGAAGGCCTCCGACTAGGCGTACTACCGACGCACACTATTCTGTTTCAGTGCGTTTCTAGAACAGAATCTATTTGGATTTGTCTTCTGTAGCAAGGTGGAGTCTGCTCACTCTGAAGGTTATTTTAAGTTTTTAGTCATTTAGCAGATGCTCCTATCCAGAGCGACTTGGGCTTCAGTGCTTTGCTCAAGGGCACATTGGTCGATTTTTTTTATTATTTTTTTCACCTTGTCGGCTCGGCGATTTAAAACCAGCTGGAGTCTATGGACCTTCAGCAGTACTGTTTTGACTAATGTTGCTCTCAATTCCTCAAGCCTTTATTATTTGACTCATTCAGTTCATATGTATTCATATAATGGATCGCTGATGCTAAGGGGTGAATTTTAAGATTCTGTTTGAAATATTTTTTTGTTTTCTACATGAATGTCAAAATGGGGGTTGGGGGGTATATTTGAGTGATTGCTACATGCGCTTATGAATGTAAAAGTGGGGGTGGGGGGAGTATATTTGAGTGATTTCAACATGAATGTCAAAATGGGGGTGGGGGGCGTATTTTACATGCGCTTATGAATGTCAAAAGGGCGGTGAGGAGGGGGTACTTTTTTTTTTTTTTAATACTACTTGGCGATCAAGAAAACCAACTCATATTTCAGCTTGTTACTTTAGTTGCTCTCTCTAAAATGCTACAACGCTGTTCTCATTGTCATTTTGGTCAAATTCCTAGAACTACACTTTAATGTCCCCTTCTCAGAAGTGTTCTTAGAAGTGTGCTTGCGGAGCCTCGCTCTCTACCGTCACAAGTGAGGAAAGCGGCAGTCCCCTGAGCCTCCTAGGGGGTTAGGTCAAAGTTCAAATACCCAGAGAACACACAAGAATGCACAGACCCACACAGCCTTGCATTTCCGCTCGTAGATGTCTGACTTGCAGTTGTTGGCCTCTGTTGGATCATTTAACTTTGATTCGTGCCTGCAGATTCACCTCCACCTCTAGAATCAAGTGCATGATGAACTAAGATAATTATTAATCTAGCTTTTAATATACTGAAGCTTGCAACTGCCGCTTATATAATGACATCAAATAATGCAACACACATTTCTTAATGAACATGTATGGTTACTGATTTTTAAACAAAGTGTACTTATGTTTGTATGTTTTTCCTCTTAAGAATAAAGTAATCACTTTTGGGTACCTTAAATGTCAGACTTAAAATTCATTTTTAGACATTTTCTTGATTACTTTCAATCAAGGAAGCAGAGAAACGTGCAGAAGGGGTTTTGGTGATCAATTCTGTGGCTTTGGAATTTGAATAATGCTCTACTGAATTTTGACAGTCATCAACTGGATATTCTTATTTTTATTTTTTTCATGTTCTCAGTGGAAATTGTACATGTCAAAATGAACATTTGAAACACCGATTGCTTAAACAGATGGTTCCGACCAAAAGTGTTGATTTTTTTTTATACTGTTTTAAACTGATGGATAATATCCCAGGCTTTTTTGTTGTTGTTGTTGTTGATAAACTACAGCTAAACCTGCCTATGCATCACACTAAGAAACTGTACGGCTGCGTAGTATTGGAGACTGACTGGCTGACGCTCCACCTTGTCCAGGAGTGGAGGAGGAATGCTAGAAGTGGCGTCTGGACCGATTCCCCTTGCCCTCGCTCCACCTAACCCTACCTCAAACCCTCCAGCGTCTACCCCGAACCCTCCAGCGTCTACCCCGAACCCTCCAGCGTCTACCCCGAACCCTCCAGCGTCTACCCCGAACCCTCCAGCGTCTACCCCGAACCCTCCAGCGTCTACCCCGAACCCTCCAGCGTCTACCCCGAACCCTCCAGCGTCTACCCCGAACCCTCCAGCGTCTACCCCGAACCCTCCAGCGTCTACCCCGAACCCTCCAGCGTCTACCCCGAACCCTCCAGCGTCTACCCCGAACCCTCCAGCGTCTACCCCGAACCCTCCAGCGTCTACCCCGAACCCTCCAGCGTCTACCCCGAACCCTCCTACTGTAGCAGTGTCTAGTTAGACATTTTTACGTTTGCATTTTAGCCATTTTTGCAGACGCTCTTATCCAGAGCGACTTACAGGAGCAATTAGGGTTAAGTGCCTTGCTCAAGGGCACGTCGGCAGATTTTTCACCTAGTCGGCTCGGGGATTAGAACCAGCGACCTTTCGGTCACTGGCACAACGCTCTTAACCACTAAAGCTACCTGCCGCCTCCAGTGAACCGGCTCTGCACCTGAGGTTTTCATCCCAACCACACTCTCACACTCGGGGGGGCAAACTGCTTAGACCTAGTGGTTGCCTGGTCCAGTAATCCTTTGTGTTGTACTTCTCTAACTATCTCAATAGGTCCCTCTGGTTACTAGGTCAAAAAATACATTTAATAACAGTATCTAGGTTGGGGAGACATTTGATCTTCAATTCTATATCCTTTTGGAAATTGCTAACGTTCTTAATGTTTACATGCCACTATCATTCCTATGGTGTTGTATAACCACTGTGCCTGGCCAGTGCATGTAGTTTAGGATTAGGGCTTCATCTAAGGCTTAAAATACAGGAGCTGTCTGCTTTGTTCAGAATTAGAATACAAACACATGTTCCTTATTTTAATCTAGTCTGTGTCCCAAATGCCACCCTATTCCCTAGATAGTGCACTACTTTTGACTAGTTCCCTATATACTGCACTACTTTTGACAGAGCCCTTGGGGTGCTCCTCAAATACTACATTCCACAGCCTTTGTGTGCGCGCACGCTCCCTGTTTAGACAGGCTCTCTGCCAAGTCATTCCACAAAGCAAACCCCTCCTTCCCGTGACTGGGCTGTCCATCCCCTGTCCCCCTTCCCGTGACTGGGCTGTCCATCCCCTCTCCCCCTTCCTGTGACTGGGCTGTCCATCCCCTCTCCCCCTTCCTGTGACTGGGCTGTCCATTCCCTCTCCCCCTTCCTGTGACTGGGCTGTCCATCCCCTCCCCCTTCCTGTGACTGGGCTGTCCATCCCCTCCCCCTTCCTGTGACTGGGCTGTCCATCCCCTCCCCCTTCCTGTGACTGGGCTGTCCATTCCCTCTCCCCCTTCCTGTGACTGGGCTGTCCATTCCCTCTCCCCCTTCCTGTGACTGGGCTGTCCATTCCCTCTCCCCCTTCCTGTGACTGGGCTGTCCATCCCCTCTCTCCCTCCCTGTGACTGGGCTGTCCATCCCCTCTCCCCCTTCCTGTGACTGGGCTGTCCATCCCCCCTCCCCCTTCCTGTGACTGGGCTGTCCATCCCCCCTCCCCCTTCCTGTGACTGGGCTGTCCATCCCCTCTCCCTCCCTGTGACTGGGCTGTCCATCCCCTCTCCCCCTCCCTGTGACTGGGCTGTCCATCCCCCCTCCCCCTTCCTGTGACTGGGCTGTCCATCCCCTCTCCCCCTTCCTGTGACTGGGCTGTCCATCCCCTCTCCCCCTTCCTGTGACTGGGCTGTCCATCCCCTCTCTCCCTCCCTGTGACTGGGCTGTCCATCCCCCCTCCCCCTTCCCTGTGACTGGGCTGTCCATCCCCTCTCCCCCTTCCTGTGACTGGGCTGTCCATCCCCTCTCTCCCTCCCTGTGACTGGGCTGTCCATCCCCTCTCTCCCTCCCTGTGACTGGGCTGTCCATCCCCTCTCCCCCTTCCTGTGACTGGGCTGTCCATCCCCCCTCCCCCTTCCTGTGACTGGGCTGTCCATCCCCTCCCCCTCCCTGTGACTGGGCTGTCCATCCCCTCTCCCCCTTCCTGTGACTGGGCTGTCCATCCCCTGTCCCCCTTCCTGTGACTGGGCTGTCCATCCCCTCTCCCCCTTCCTGTGACTGGGCTGTCCATCCCCTCTCCCCCTTCCTGTGACTGGGCTGTCCATCCCCTCTCCCTCCCTGTGACTGGGCTGTCCATCCCCTCTCCCCCTTCCTGTGACTGGGCTGTCCATCCCCTCTCCCCCTTCCTGTGACTGGGCTGTCCATCCCCTCTCCCCCTTCCTGTGACTGGGCTGTCTATCCCCTCTCCCCCTTCCTGTGACTGGGCTGTCCATCCCCTCTCCCCCTTCCTGTGACTGGGCTGTCCATCCCCTCTCCCCCTTCATGTGACTGGGCTGTCCATCCCCTCTCCCCCTTCCTGTGACTGGGCTGTCCATCCCCTCTCTCCCTCCCTGTGACTGGGCTGTCCATCCCCTCCCCCTTCCTGTGACTGGGCTGTCCATCCCCTCCCCCTCCCCCATCCATGTGTAGAGACAAGAGGCCACAGACTGGAATGTTCCTCCCCCTCCTATGTAGAGAGACTGTAGACCAGGGATCATAAACTAGATTCAGCCGCGGGCCGATTTTTAATTTTCTTCAGTGGACGTTCAGTGGCTGGAACATAATTACAAATAATTTGTAGACTGCAAGTTGACCGCAAGAAGTCCAAACAGATGTCTGACTAAAACAATAATTTCAAACCTTGCTTATATTTGTATACGATCACGTCTCTGTTATATGTGGGAATACTTGAACAGATTTCCTAAATTAAAATCACTTGGAGCTGAGTTCCTGGTGTTTTTACAGTATTTATGTCCAACAATAAAATAAATAAAACACTTTTTTTTTTTTTTCTTGCTCAGAAAACTTGGGGGGGTGCCAAATACGACCAACCGCGGGCCGCCAGTTGGAGAACCCTGCTGTAGACTGCGTTTTCTCCCCCTTCTGTGTAGAGACTGCAGACTGTGCTATCTATCCATCCCCTCGGTCTCCGCCCGTCCTGTGTCGTCCCCCATGGGGCTTTATAACAGTTAAACTATAAACCACCGCCTGTCTACCAGGCCAGGCCGTCCCCGGGCTGTTCGGAGCCGTGACTCAGGGAACGGTTTCCAGGTCGGAGAGGAACCTTGTTCTTTTCTCTCTCCTTCCTGGTCTGTCCTTCTGTTTCTCTCTTCTTCCTGGTCTGTCCTTCTGTTTCTTCTTCCTGGTCTGTTTATCTCTTCTTCCTGGTCTGTTTCTCTCTTCTTCCTGGTCTGTTTCTCTCTTCTTCCTGGTCTGTTTCTCTCTTCTTCCTGGTCTGTTTCTCTCTTCTTCCTGGTCTTTCCTTCTGTTTCTTCTTCCTGGTCTGTTTCTCTCTTTTGAGAAATGGGAGAACAGCTGTGACTTTCTGTGGCTCTGTCAGGAAGAGTACAACCTATAATGTCTCACTGGTGTGGAGTTTTATTCTCCCCACTTCCTCCAATAGGGAATTATCACATAGCAGACTCTGGCTGCTTCCCAAATGGCACCCTATTCCGTATTTGGTGCACTACTTTTGACTGGGGCTCATAGGGCTCTGGTAAAAGTAGTGCACTATAAAGGGAATAGGGCTGCCATTTGGGAAACCGCTTCAGTCAGTTCTCTAATGTAATCAGCTTCATATAAGAGCTGGTGATAAATCATTCTAGGGGACTGCAGCTCTGAAAACATGTGGGACCGATTATTTACCTTGCGCTCTCTCCTTTTCATGTCAAACCGTGTGTGTGTGTGTGTGTGTGTGGTGTCAGTGCGAGAGCATTTGGGACTGTAACGAGAGTGTGTGTGTGAGAGACTGTGTGTGAGAGCGTGAAAGATTTGTTTGACGAACTCTTCAGCTTGTTTCTATTGAAGAACAGAGGAAGTTGTCATACAGTTAACAGCCTGTTGCATTATGGTTCTGTGAAATGGGATAATGCAGTTTGGATGAGCAATAATAACCTTTTATTAGCATATTTAATCCAAAAATATTTTTACAAATAGGCTACAAATGTATCCCTGAACCATGGTTCTACATCTATTTCCCTGAATGAAGCGGCCTGTGTGATTTTTTTTTTGTTGTTGCCTGGATGTTCCCCTCACTTTTTTCCAAAGCAGAGGCTTGTAATGTATAGAGGCAATTGTCCCCAATCCGTTCTCCCATAAGGCACCCATCCTTAATCCCTCCTCTTCGGGAATCATTAGAAATATAGAGGCTTATTTTAATGTCATGTTAGGGTGTGTCGTTTTCACTCATGCTTTGTGTAGAGACAAATGTTTTGTTCGGGATAACAGAGGAGAGACTATGTGGTACTCTGAGTGTTGTCTGTCTTGTACATGGGTTTGATATGGAGTGATACACTACATGACCAAAAGTATGTGGACACCTGCCCGTCGACACTGCTCCAGAGTCCAATGGCGGCGAGCTTTACGCCGACGCTTGGCATTGCGCATGGTGATCTTAGGCTTGGGTGCGACTGCTCAGCCATGGTAACCCATTTCATGAAGCTCCCGACGAACAGTTATTGTGCTGACGTTGCTTCCAGAGGCAGTTTGGAACTCTGTAGTGAGTGTTGCAACCGAGGACAGACGATTTATACGTGCTACTCGCTTCAGCTCTCGGCGGTCCAGTTCTGTGAGCTTGTGTGGCCTACCACTTCACAACTGAGCCGTTGTTGCTCCTAGACGTTTCCAACAGCACTTAGTTGACCGGGGCAGCTCTAGCAGGGCAGAAATTTGACTAACTGATTTATTGGAAAGGTGGCATCGTATGACGGTGCCACGTTGAAAGTCACTGAGCCAATGTTTGTCTATGGAGATTGCATTGCTGTGTGCTCGATCTTTTTATTTTTATACACCTGTCAGTAACGGGTGTGGCTGAAAAATAGCTGAATCCACTAATTTGAAGGGGTGTCCACATACTTCTGTGTACATGGTGTACTAGTGCCAGCAGAGATGGAATTTCAATTCAATAATGTCGACTTTGACACATTTGAAATGCAATTAGTAGTTTGACGTGTCTTTTTTTTTGTTACGCCTTCCTCTCTCCAGGGTCCTCTATGGACAGCCCCCAGCTCTCCCCGTTCAACTCCAAGAGCTCTCCCTTCTGCCTGTCCCCCTCCTTCCAGATGTCTACGCTGAGTCTCCCGGGGGCGGGCCAGGCCCCCTCGCCACTACAGAGCCCCATCCTGACTGAGGTGGGCACCAACGGGCTGGAGGAGGAGGAGGAAGGCAGGAGGAAGGTACACTGCCTGCCTCTATCGATCTGTCAGTTGATTCATTTAATCAACCTGTCGTTCAATCACATTTGTTTAGGTGGATTTTTTTTTTTTTTACGTGGTGATTTGTTCAATCATAATTGTAAGAGGTAACAAACTGTCCTTTCCTATTAAAAAAAAATATATATATATATATATATATATATATATATATATATATATATATATATATATATATATATATATATATATATATATAGAAATAAAAAAGATTATAAATCTTCTCCAGAGTTCCATAAACGTTATTTTGATAGGTCTATGAAAGCCTGCAATTTGCACACAGTAATGTCGCATGAAATTTATCAGGGCCAAATTCACTTTTATTTTAATATTTTATGAGCTATATTTTCCATGAAGCTGTTTTTGATTTATTGCCTGAATACTGTGTGTATCCAGTGTTGACATGACCGGTGTTCTCGTTCCTCAGCGATATCCCACCGATAAGGCCTACTTCATTGCCAAAGAGATTTTAACCACAGAGAGGACCTACCTGAAAGACCTAGAGGTCATCACAGTGGTGAGCGATTCATGCAGTGTGTGTCTCATCTGTGGCTGTGTACAATATTTTTATTTTTTTGATCCGATAACCTGGAACCCAGATCAGTTTGTGCGGTCTTGCCGTAAGGCTCTGTCGTAGCCGGCCGCGACCGGGAGACCCATGGGGCGGCGCACAATTGGCCCAGCGTCGTCCAGGGTAGGGGAGGGAATGGCCGGCAGGGATGTAGCTCAGTTGGTAGAGCATGGCGTTTGCAACGCCAGGGTTGTGGGTTCAATTCCCAAAATAATGTATGCACTCACTAACTGTAAGTCGCTCTGGATAAGAGCGTCTGCTAAATGACTAAAATGTAAAACATTTAATTGTAAGAATAGGCAACACAGCACAAACTGGTCTGGGACCAGGCTTTGTGTTCTAGTGCTAAAATCTGTGTGGCCCCTTTTCTCTCTCTCTCTCTCCCGTCAGTGGTTCCGCAGTGCTGTGATCAAAGAGAATGCTATGCCAGAGGGTCTGATGACTCTGCTGTTCTCCAACATCGACCCCATTTACGAGTTCCACCGGGGATTCCTCAAGGAGATAGACCAGAGACTAGCTTTATGGTCAGTGCTGCTCTCCTCACATTTTGTCTACATATACAAAACATTACACTAATGCTGCGGTAATCTACATATTCAAAACATTACACCTAATGCTGTGGTAATCTACATATTCAAAACATTACACTAATGCTGTGGTAATCTACATATTCAAAACATTACACTAATGCTGTGGTAATCTACATATTCAAAACATTACACCTAATGCTGTGGTAATCTACATATTCAAAACATTACACTAATGCTGTGGTAATCTACATATTCAAAACATTACACCTAATGCTGCGGTAATCTTATCACATGAGAAGATCTATGTTCTGAGCCTTACTGTCAAAGAGAAGAGGACGGCCTCAATCCTATTTATTTGAATTTAATTTTAAAAAATTGAGACTTTTTTTTTTTTACTGCGGTCTTTTTTACTGTCAAAGCTACAGTATGTAGTCAGAAGTATTTTGGTTGTGTCACCAGGGAGGGGCGCTCTAATGCTCATGTGAAGGGAGACTACCAGCGGATTGGAGACGTCATGCTGAGGAACATGTGTACTCTCAAGGTGAGACCGGACAGGTTACTACCACCACGCTTATAGTCAGATGAGGGACTGTGTGACGAGGTAAACCGTCAAATTCCACTGTTATGCGTAAGCTTAGTACTGCGTCTGTTTTGCATTAAGTTGGAAAAGGGGGATGGAAGTGATTTTTTTTTAACGCGGTGTCCACACGACTCAGACCATTACTGTGTTTTATAAAGGGATCCCGGCTTGAGCTTGTAGTTCTCTCCTCAGGAGTTCACCAGCTACCTGCAGAAACACGACGAGGTGCTGACCGAGCTGGAGAAGGCCACCAAGCGTCTGAAGAAGCTGGAGACGGTCTATAAGGAGTTTGAGCTTCAGAAGGTGTGTTACCTGCCTCTGAACACGTTCCTCCTGAAGCCCATCCAACGCCTCATGCACTACAAACTGATCCTGGAGAGACTGTGTAAACACTACGCCCCAGACCACGCCGACCACAACAACTGCAGAGGTGAGAATGCTACGGGGCTGATGGGTGGGACGTCCCTTAGAGCGATCCTGAACCCTCCTGTATGGATCCTGGACCCTCCTGTATGGATCCTTAATCCTCCTGTATATACCCCTCTCCCCTTCCCTGTCTACAGAGGCCCTGAAGGAGGTGGCAGAAATGACCACTCAGCTCCAGAGTAGTTTGATCCGCCTGGAGAACTTCCAGAAGCTGTCTGAGCTCCAGAGAGACCTGATTGGCATCGAGAACCTCACTGCACCCGGCAGGGTGAGTCTAGAACCTCACTGCACCCGGTAGGGTGAGTCTAGAACCTCCTAGAGGGAGACTGGGCACCAGGTCCAGGAGATAGACTTGAACACTTAGTGACTTGACTAAATCAAACTCTTACTAAGTTCTGTAGCATGAATGAGTGTTTGGGTGCTGTAGCGATAGGAGTAATCTGACTGTTGTGAAGAAGATGGCCAGCACTCACAAATAAAGTATAACTGAGATGTGGTCAGGGTGAGTCTAGTATTCAGTAGATGTAGGAAAATAACAATATCTAATGCTACTTTTCTGGTTCTCAGGAGTTCATTCGAGAGGGCTGTCTTTACAAGCTGACCAAAAAAGGGCTGCAGCAAAGGATGTTTTTCCTGGTGAGTAATGGTGTTTCCGTTTCAACAATCCCTTCGTTTTGGATTTCTATCTTTATACAAGCTGAGAAAACGATCAGTATCGTTCAGACAACGAGAGATGAATCTCCTCTCTGATTGTCTCCTGTATTATTTACATTAGTCATTTAGCAGGCTCTTATCCAGAGAGACTTCATCTACACTGTTCTACACCAGTAGAGGTATCTCAATGAGACAAACCTGTACAAATAAAGGTTAAATATATTGATGTGTATCTTTCCTCTCAGTTTTCAGATATGTAATGTTTCATGCCAGTTGGTGATCCCTCAGTATAGACTATTAGGATTAGTGTTGTCACGGTACCGGTATCGCCATACTAGGAGGTAAGAAAGGAAAGGAAACATTTCTTGAGGAAAACGGCCTTATGGTGACGCCCAGAGTCCCATTTATAAGGACCAGAGTTTTTAGTCTGCTTTTCTTTTCTGCCGCGGAAAATCAGGTATCGCGTTATCGCCATACTGGCATCGTAACCTCTGCCGAGGCCACGACAACTGGATGACTTCGGATGTTTCTGGACCTTTAACAAGGGGCTTGTTCGACATTACAGCCGACGGTGCAGGCGACTGCCGACTGACTGATCTACAAATCACCTTTTATCAAAAATAATGACTCCATTTTATTATTTGTAGATCAGTCAGTCACCATTTACCCACAATGCATCATGGATTTGACGCTCTCGAACACGGCCAAGGCGACACTCCATGTCAACTCCTCCTCCACATTTACTGGATTGGTTGAAGGGTGCAGAAGAGAACCTCCCCCCAACAGTTTTTGTATGGAATCTAGTTTCAGGTGTTTATGTTATGCCTGCTACATTAGGTTACTGGTGTCATGACAACCCTAATTAGAATGACAACGGTTTGTTTTTCTGGTGTATCTCATGGTCTATATACTGTCTTCCCTCTCAGTTCTCTGACCAGCTGCTATACACCAGTAAAGGAGTGACAGCCACCAACCAGTTCAAGGTCCATGGGCAGCTGCCTCTGCACGGCATGATCGTGAGTATAAGCTGCCTGCCCTGTGTTGACCCCTGACCTTTACCCTGTTAGCCGTGACCTCTTTGTGGTTAATCTGGCTCTGACCTAGCGGTAACAACCTGACCTAGCTGTGGTAACCTGACCTAGCGGTAACAACCTGACCTAGCTGTGGTAACCTGACCTAGCCGTGGTAACCTGACCTAGCCGTGGTAACCTGACCTAGCCGTGGTAACCTGACCTAGCCGTGGTAACCTGACCTAGCCGCGGTAACCTGACGTAGCCGCGGTAACCTGACGTAGCCGCGGTAACCTGACGTAGCTGCGGTAACCTGACGTAGCTGCGGTAACCTGACGTAGCCGCGGTAACCTGACGTAGCCGTGGTAACCTGACGTAGCCGTGGTAACCTGACGTAGCCGCGGTAACCTGACGTAGCCGCGGTAACCTGACGTAGCCGCGGTAACCTGACGTAGCTGCGGTAACCTGACGTAGCTGCGGTAACCTGACGTAGCTGCGGTAACCTGACGTAGCCGTGGCAACTGCTCCTAATAAAAGACTCCTCTTCATAATGGGGAATTACGGTTTAATGTTTACTAGGGTTGCAAAATTCTAGTAACTTTCACAAAATTACTACTCATGTATATGTGCAACTATTTGATTCAGCAAGTCGTCCCATGGTGACAAAAGGGACATTTCAGAAAACATCACCCTGCATGGGCTACTCTGTACTGTCAAGGAGAACGAGGGCTCCGTTCAATCCGTAGTGCGGAAGATCTGCGTTCTAACGCGATCGACATTTAAAGGCAATGTTACCGCGTTCGCGGAGACCGCATTCACGGTAAACGCTGCATATGTCGGCTCAATCGGAAATGACCTTTAAATGTCAACCGCGCTACAACGCAGATCTTCCACGCTACGGATTGAATCGAGCCCCAAGTTACTGAAAGGTTTTATATCAACATCTCTCAGCTGTCACGATAGTTCAGTTTTCTGGCTCAAACACTTGTTGAATGATGAGTGTTTTTAGCAAGAGTCAGACAGGAAACTGAGGGAGAGAAGTCACTGCTAAAGAAGGAGGGGAGGGGGGGGGGGGGGGTTGGAACGTTAGACCAGGTCAAGGAGACGTGTTTCCATTGCATTCCATAATAAAGAATAGCGTTGAGTTGGAAGTTTGGTTAAGGGTGGGGGTTTGGCTGGGGTGAAGTTCGTTTGTCAGTGAGACGACCTCGAGGTCCCTGCTTGGGTCTAACCTGCGTCTCTGCTTCTTCACTTCTGACGCAGCTGATAGTTTTGGATGCTCCGGTGAGTACTCTGGGCTCTGTCAGCTAGGACACGCAGCCCTGCTCCCTCTCCCGTGCTTGTGTAGACAATACAACGCTTGGATGTGGGCTCTGACGAGACATCTGTGATTGGATGGGAAAAGGGAGAAAGAAGCTGTGTTGGTTTAGAGTGCCAGATGTGAATACCTCAGACCAGACGGATGTACAGCGCATTCGGGAAAGTATTCAGACCCCTTGACATTTTCCACAATTCCAAAGTGAAAACAGGTTTTTATAAATTTTGGCTAATATATTAAATATAAAAAACAGATACCTTTTATTTAAGTATTCAGACCCTTTGCTATGAGACTCGAAATTGAGCTTCGGTGCATCCTGTTTCCATTGATCATCCTTTAGATCTTTCTACAACTTGATTGGAGTCCATCTGTGGTCAATTCAATTGATTGGACATGATTTGAAAAGGTACACACCTGTCTATATAAGGTCCCACCGTTGACAGTGTGCATGTCAGAGCAAAAACCAAGCCATGAGGTCGAAGGAATTGTCCGTAGAGCTCCGAGATAGGATTGTGTCGAGGCACAGATATGTGTATGCAGCATTGAAGGTCCCCAAGAGCACAGTGGCCTCCATCATTCTTAAATGGAAAAAGTTTGGAACCACCAAGACTCTTCCTAGAGCTGGCTGCCCAGCCAAACTGAGCAATCGGGGGAGAAGGGCCTTGGTCAGGGAGGTGACCAAGAACCCGATGGGCACTCTGACAGAGCTCCAGAGTTCCTCTGTGGAGATGGGAGAACCTTCCAGAAGGACAACCATCTCATCAGCACTCCACCAATCAGGCCTTTATGGTAGAGTGGCCAGACGGAAGCCACTCCTCAGTAAAAGGCACATGACAGCCCGCTTGGAGTTTGCCAAAAGGCACCTAAAGGACTCTCAGACCATGAGAAACTAGATTCTCTGGTCTGATGAAACCAAGATTGAACTCTTTGGCCTGAATGCCAAGCGTCACGTCTGGAGGAAACCTGGCACCATTCCTACGGTGAAGCATGGTGGTGGGAGCATCATGCTGTGGGGATGTTTTTCAGCGGCAGGGACTGGGAGACTAGTCAGGATCGAGGGAAAGATGAACGGAGCAAAGTACAGAGAGATCCTTGATGAAAACCTGCTCCAGAGCGCTCAGGACCTCAGACTGGGGAGATGGTTCACCTTTCAACAGGACAATGACCCTAAGCACACAGCCAAGGCAATGCAGAAGTGGCTTTGGGACAAGTCTCTGAATGTCCTTGAGTGACCCAGACAGAGCCTGGACTTGAACCCGATCCAACATCTCTGAAGAGACCTGAAAATAGCTGTGCAGCGACGCTCCCCATCCAACCTGACATAGCTTGAGAGGATCTGCAGAGAAGAATGGGAGAATCTCCCCAAATACAGGTGTGCTAAACTTGTAGCATCATACCCAAGAAGACTCAAGGCTGTAATCGCTGCCAAAGGTGCTTCAACAAAGTACTGAGTAAAGGGTCTGAATACTTATGTAAATAATATATATATATATATAAAACATTTTTTTTATATAATACATTTGCAAACATTTCTAAAAAAGTTTTTGCTTTGTCATTATGGGGTATTATGTGTAGATTGAGGGGGGAAAAACAATTTAATCCATTTTAGAATAAGGCTATAAAGTAACAAAATGTGGAAAAAAAATCATGGGGGTCTGAAAACTTTCCGAATGCACTGTAGACACCCCAGACCGAGAGGCTCTTGGCAGGCCTTCCTGTGATCTGTTTTGCCTCACCTTCCCCTGCTGCTCTCCTCCAATCCCAGGAGAGCTCTAACTAACTGCTCTTGTCCAATCCCATTAGAGCTGGTGGGAGGGGCCAAAGACCAACGTTTCTTTGCTGATCTCCCATCTTACTGGGCCTCTCTCTTTCTTCCTTTAGGTGGAGGAGAGTGAGAATGAGTGGTCCGTCCCCCACTGCTTCACCATCTACTCTGTCCAGAGGACCATTGTGGTGGCAGCCAGGTAAACGCAGAGGCGTTTCACGTAGTCACACAACTGTCAAAGATCAAGCAAAAAGTTATGCTTTTAATCTAAAGACTAATTTTAAAATCTTAATTTTTAATAGTGAGCCAGAGTTGTGCCTATGTTTCACTTGATATCAGGCACGGTTTAAAATCCTGAGTCGTAACCCGCCTTGCTCACTTCATCTGCTGATCTGTAAATTCTCCCTTTTATGATTGTAGCTCGAAGGTGGAGATGGGGAAGTGGATAGAGGATCTCAACATGGCGATAGAGATTGCCAAAAAGTCTCAGGAGAAATCAGACCTCTTCCTGGACCCAGGCCTGTGTGATCGCTCCAACAGTAAGTCATAGGATTACCCCTCCTATAGTGTATAGTTAGGATTTTTTTTATTTCACCTTTATTTAACCAGGTAAGCCAGTTGAGAACAGGTTCTCATTTACAACTGCGACCTGGCCAAGATAAAGCAAAGTAGTGCAATAAAAACAACACAGGATCTACAGTACTTATGCATGCACCTAGATGTAGCCTACACTATGAGATCCCGCTTTGTTTTTCATGCAAGTTGTTTTATAGTGATAATGTTTTTATACTGTCTTTTCCCCTTTTGTTGTTTAACCTTTTAGCCTCGTGAGCTGGATGTTGTGTAACCTACTAGCTTCGTGGGCTGGATGTTGTTTAACCTACTAGCCCCGTGAGCTGGATGTTGTGTAACCTACTAGCCCCGTGAGCTGGATGTTGTTTAACCTACTAGCCCCGTGAGCTGGATGTTGTTTAACCTACTAGCCTCGTGAGCTGGATGTTGTTTAACCTACTAGCCTCGTGAGCTGGATGTTGTTTAACCTACTAGCCTCGTGAGCTGGATGTTGTGTAACCTACTAGCCTCGTGAGCTGGATGTTGTTTAACCTACTAGCTTCGTCAGCTGGATGTTGTTTAACCTACTAGCTTCGTGAGCTGGATGTTGTTTAACCTACTAGCTTCGTCAGCTGGATGTTGTTTAACCTACTAGCCTCGTGAGCTGGATGTTGTTTAACCTACTAGCTTCGTCAGCTGGATGTTGTTTAACCTACTAGCCTCGTGAGCTGGGTTTGAATCCACCACACAGTGGGGAGAACAAGTATTTGATACACTGCCGATTTTGCAGGTTTTCCTACTTACAAAGCATGTAGAGGTCTGTAATTTTTATCATAGGTACACTTCAACTGTGAGAGACGGAATCCAGAAAATCACATTGTATGATTTTTAAGTAATTAATTTGCATTTTATTGCATGACATAAGTATTTGATACATCAGAAAAGCAGAACTTAATATTTGGTACAGAAACCTTTGTTTGCAATTACAGAGATCATACGTTTCCTGTAGGTCTTGACCAGGTTTGCACACACTGCAGCAGGGATTTTGGCCCACTCCTCCATACAGATCCTTCAGGTTTCGGGGCTGTCGCTGGGCAATACGGACTTTCAGCTCCCTCCAAAGATTTTCTATTGGGTTCAGGTCTGGAGACTCGCTAGGCCAATCCAGGACCTTGAGATGCTTCTTATGGAGCCACTCCTTAGTTGCCCTGGCTGTGTGTTTCGGGTCGTTGTCATGCTGGAAGACCCAGCCACGACCCATCTTCAATGCTCTTACTGAGGGAAGGAGGTTGTTGGCCAAGATCTCGTGATACATGGCCCCATCCATCCTCCCCTCAATACGGTGCAGTCGTCCTGTCCCCTTTGCAGAAAAGCATCCCCAAAGAATGATGTTTCCACCTCCATGCTTCACGGTTGGGATGGTGTTCTTGGGGTTGTACTCATCCTTCTTCTTCCTCCAAACACAGCGAGTGGAGTTCAGACCAAAAAGCTATATTTTTGTCTCATCAGACCACATGACCTTCTCCCATTCCTCCTCTGGATCATCCAGATGGTCATTGGCAAACTTCAGACGGGCCTGGACATGCGCTGGCTTGAGCAGGGGGACCTTGTGTGCGCTGCAGGATTTTAATCCATGACGGCGTAGTGTGTTACTAATGGTTTTCTTTGAGACTGTGGTCCCAGCTCTCTTCAGGTCATTGACCAGGTCCTGCCGTGTAGTTCTGGGCTGATCCCTCACCTTCCTCATGATCATTGATGCCCCACGAGGTGAGATCTTGCATGGAGTCCCAGACCGAGGGTGATTGACCGTCATCTTGAACTTCTTCCATTTTCTAATAATTGCGCCAACAGTTGTTGCCTTCTCACCAAGCTGCTTGCCTATTGTCCTGTAGCCCATCCCAGCCTTGTGCAGGTCTACAATTTTATCCCTGATGTCCTTACACAGCTCTCTGGTCTTGGCCATTGTGGAGAGGTTGGAGTCTGTTTGATTGAGTGTGTGGACAGGTGTCTTTTATACAGGTAACGAGTTCAAACGGGTGCAGTTAATACAGAAAATGAGTGGAGAACAGGAGGGCTTCTTAAAGAACAACTAACAGGTCTGTGAGAGCTGGAATTCTTACTGGTTTGTAGGTGATCAAATACTTATGTCATGCAATAAAATCCAAATTAATTACTTAAAAATCATACAATGTGATTTTCTGGATTTTTGTTTTAGATTCCGTCTCTCACAGTTGAAGTGTACCTATGATAAAAATTACAGACCTCTACATGCTTTGTAAGTAGGAAAACCTGCAAAATCGGCAGTGTATCAAATACTTGTTCTCCCCACTGTATGTGTGGAGTATGCTTATGTGTGTCAGTGGATATTCTGGTGTATCCATGGACTGTTGGAGCCAGATGGTACTCCTATTGGGTGGACTTTGTACAAATGTACTGTACCCCTCCCTTTTAGATGTAGCTAACGCCTCCCGTCCTCCCCCCTGCCCCCCCCCCCCTGCCCCTCCGCCCCTCCCCCCCTCCACCCTGCCCCTCTACCCCTCCACCCCTGCCCCTCTACCCCTCCACCCCTGCCCCTCTACCCCTCCACCCCTGCCCCTCTAACCCCTCCACCCCCTGCCCCCTCTACTCCTCCACCCTGCCCCTCTACCCCTCCACCCCTGCCCCTCTACCCCTCCACCCTGCCCCTCTACCCCTCCACCCTGCCCCTCTGCCTCACCCTGCCTACCCTACCCTGCCCCTCTACCCCTCCACCCTGCCCCTCTACCCCTCCCACCCTGCCCCTCTACCCCTCCACCCTGCCCCTCTGCCCCTCCACCCTGCCCCTGCACCCTGCCCCTACCCCTCCACCCTGCCCCTCTACCCCTCCACCTGCCCCTCTACCCTCCACCCCTGCCCCTCTACCCTCCACCCTGCCCCTCTACCCCTCCACCCTGCCCCTCTACCCTCCACCCTGCCCCTCTACAACCCCCTCTACATGCCCCTTTCCCCTCCACCTGCCCCTCTACCCCTCCACCCTGCCCCTCTACCCCCCCTGCCCCTCTACCCCTCACCCTGCCCCTCTACCCCTCACCCCCTGCCCCTACCACTCCACCCTGCCCCTACCATCCACCCTGCCCCTCTGCCCTCCTCCCCTGCCACCTCTGCCCCTCCACCACTCTCCCTCACCCTCCTCCACCCTGCCCCTCCCCCCTGCCCCTCCCCCCTGCCCCTCCCCCTCCCCCACCCTACCCCTCCACCCCTGCCCCTCCACCCCTGCCCCCTCTACCCCTCCACCCTGCCCTCTACCCGCTCCCAACCCTCCCTCCCCCCCTCCCCTCCACCCTGCCCTCTACCCCTCCACCCTGCCCCTCTACCCCCCCCCAACCCTGCCCCTCTCCCCTCCACCCTGCCCCTCTGCCCCTCCACCCCTGCCCCCCCCACCCTGCCCCTCACCCCCCCTCCCCTACCCTGCCCCCCCACCCCTGCCCCTCCACCCCTGCCCCTCCACCCTGCCCCTCCACCCCTGCCCCTCCACCCCTGCCCCCCCACCCCTGCCCCTCCGCCCCTGCCCCTCCCCCCCCCTCCACCCCTCTACCCCTCACCGGCACCCTGCCCCCTACCCTCCACCCTGCCCGTCCCCCCTCTACAACCCCTCCACCCCCCTGCTCGCCCCTCCACCCCTCTAAACCCCCCTCCAGAACCCCTGCCCCTCCCCCCTCCCCCCCCCTCAAACCCCCCCCCCCCTGCCCCTCCCCCTCTATACCACCCCTCCCCCCTGCCCCTCCACCCCCCCCCTCTACCCCTCCACCCTGCCCCTGCACCCCTGCCCCTCCGCCCTCTACCCCTCCAAACCCCGCCCCTCCCCCCTACCCCTCCACCCCTGCCCCTCCCCCCTACCCCTCCACCCTGCCCCTCCACCCCTGCCCCCCATCACCCCTGCCCCTCCACCCTGCCCCTCCACCCCTGCCCTCCACCCCGGGGCCCCCCTCCCCCCCCCCCTCACCCCCCTCCACCCCCGCCCCTCCACCCCCCCCCCCCCCCCTGCCCCTCCCCCCTGCCCCCTCCCCCCCACCCCCGCCCCCCCACCCCTGCCCCCCCACCCCTCCCCCCCCCCCTCTACCCCTCCACCCCGCCCCCCTAACCCCTCCACCCCCTGCCCCTCCACCCTGCCCTTCCACCCTCCTTCACTACCCCTCCACCCCTGCCCCTCCACCCCCGCCCCCCTCCACCCCTCCCCCCATCCCTCCTTCCTCAGGGTCGTCGGATGAGGTTTCTCTGGAGCAGGAGTCAGAGGATGACATGTCGTCGTCCCGTAACTCTCTGGATAAGCAGACCCATCACCGTGCCAACAGCACCATGCATGTCTGCTGGCATCGCAACACCAGCGTGTCCATGTCAGACCACAGCTTGGCTGTGGAGGTACAGACAGACAGACACACACACACACAGAGAGACACGCGCACACACACACACACAGACAGACAGACAGATGCACACGCACACACACACGCTTGCTTAAGGTAGTCCATCGCGTCCGATGACTTCCATCACTGCTTGTGTGTTCGCTGATGACTGTATAGTCCGATGCAGGATGCGCACTGTCAGCCACAGACAACACAGAGAGGCCTGTCCCGTGCAGCCATGGTCATATGTTGTCTCTGTCGCTTCGCCCCACACACACACACACACACACCACACACACACACACACACACACGCTTACATGTGTCCTATTTCACACATGTACAAGTGTGAATTTGATATTATTATTTTGCATATCCCACCCTCGGAGAGTGGGGTCACGGCCAGGGTCAGCCATTATCAACGGCGACCCTGGGGCAATTATGGTTAAATGCCTTGCTAAAGGGCACATGGGCATATTTTTCACCTTGTCTGCGATTCGACTTAGCGACCTTTAGGTTATTGTCTAGCAGCACAGACAGTTGAAGTCAGAAGTTTACGTACACCTTCGCCAAATACATTTAAACTCAGTTTTTCACAATTCTTGACCTTTAATCCTAGTAAACATTACCTGTCTTAGGTCAGTTAGGATCACCACTTTATTTTAAGAATGTGAAATGTCAGAATAATAGTAGAGAGAGTGATTTATTTCAGCTTGTATTTCTTTCATCACATTCCCAGTGGGTCAGAAGTATACATACACTCAATTAGTATTTGGTAGCATTGCCTTTAAATTGTTTAACTTGGGTCAAACGTTTCGGGTAGCCTTCCACAAGCTTCCCACAATAAGTTGGGTGAATTTTGGCCCTTTTCTCCTGACAGAGCTGGTGTAACTGAGTCAGGTTTGTAGGCCTCCTTGCTCGCACACACTTTTTCAGTTCTGCCACAAATAGGATTGAGGTCAGGGCTTTGTGATGGCCACTCCAATACCTTGACTTTGTTGTCCTTAAGCTATTTTGCCACAACTTTGGAAGTATGCTTGGGGTCATTGTCCATTTGGAAGACCCATTTGCGACCAAGCTTTAACTTCCTGACTGATTTCTTGATGTTGCTTCAATATATCCACCTAATTTTCCTTCCTCATGATGCCATCTATTTTGTGAAGTGCACCAGTCCCTCCTGCAGCAAAGTACCCCCACAGCATGATGCTGCCACCCCTGTGCTTCACGGTTGGGATGGTGTTCTTCGGCTTGCAAGCGACCCCCTTTTTCCTCCAAACATAATGATGGTCATTATGGCCAAACAGTTCTATTTTTGTTTCATCAGACCAGAGGACATTTCTCCAAAAAGTACGATCTTTGTCCCCATGTGCAGTTGCAAACCGTAGTCTGGCTTTTTTATGGTGGTTTTGGAGCAGTGGCTTCTTCCTTGCTGAGCGGCCTTTCACCAAAGTACGTTCATCTCTAGGAGACAGAACGCGTCTCCTTCCTGAGCGGTATGACGGCTGCGTGGTCCCATGGTGTTTATACTTGCGTACTATTGTTTGTACAGATGAACGTGGTACCTTCAGGCGTTTGGAAATTGCTCCCAAGGATGAACCAGACTTGTGGAGGTCTACAGTTCTTTTTCTGAGGTCTTGGCTGATTTCATTTGATTTTCCCATGATGTCAAGCAAAGAGGCACTGAGTTTGAAGGTAGGCCTTGAAATACATCCACAGGTACACCTCCAATTGACTCAAATGATGTCAATTAGCCTATCAGAAGCTTCTAAAGCCATGACATCATTTTCTGTAATTTTCCAAGCTGTTTAAAGGCACAGTCAACTTAGTGTATGTAAACTTCTGACCCACTGGAATTGTGATACAGTGAATTATAAGTGAAATAATCTGTCTGTAAACAATTGTTGGAAAGATTACTTGTGTCATGCACAAAGTAGATGTCCTAACCAACTTGCCAAAACTATAGTTTGTTAACAAGAAATGTGTGGAGTGGTTGAAAAACGAGTTTTAATGACTCCAACCTAAGTGTACGTAAACTTCCGACTTCAACTGTATAAATCAAATCAAATTGTATTTGTCACATGTTCCGAATACAACTGGTGTAGACTTAATCGTGAAACGCTTGCAGAGTAAAAAAATTAACAATTATAATAGTAACACAAGGAATAAAATAAAATACACAAGAATGGAGCTATACACAGGAAGTACCAGTACCAGATCAATGTGGAGCTATATACAGGAAGTACCAGTACCAGATCAATGTGGAGCTATATACAGGGAGTACCAGTACCAGATCAATGTGGAGCTATATACAGGAAGTACCAGTACCAGATCAATGTGGAGCTATATACAGGAAGTACCAGTACCAGATCAATGTGGAGCTATATACAGGAAGTACCAGTACCAGATCAATGTGGAGCTATATACAGGGAGTACCAGATCAACGTGGAGCTATATACAGGAAGTACCAGTACCAGATCAATGTGGAGCTATATACAGGAAGTACCAGTACCAGATCAATGTGGAGCTATATACAGGAAGTACCAGTACCAGATCAATGTGGAGCTATACACAGGAAGTACCAGTACCAGATCAATGTGGAGCTATATACAGGAAGTACCAGTACCAGATCAATGTGGAGCTATACACAGGAAGTACCAGTACCAGATCAATGTGGAGCTATATACAGGAAGTACCAGTACCAGATCAATGTGGAGCTATACACAGGAAGTACCAGTACCAGATCAATGTGGAGCTATACACAGGAAGTACCAGTATATAGAGCGTTGGCGGCGGCGTAATGGATGACACTTTCCTCCTATATTGTCCTTTGGCATGTTTGATGTCATAGCGGGCTTTCTTTTAAAGCGTACGTGTCCCGTTCCTTGTAAGCGGTTGCTCTAGCCTTTAGACCAGCGTGGATGTTTGCCTGTAATCCATGGTTTTTGGTTTGGATACGTTCTTGTAGTCACTGTGGGGACGACACCTTCTATGCACTTATTGATGAAGCCTGTGACTGATGGGGTAAACTCAATGTTATCGGATCAATCCCGGAACACATCCCAGTCTGTACCAGCAAAACAGTCCTATAGCCTCGCTTCTGCTTCATCCGACCACTTCCGTATTGAGCACATCACTGGTACTTCCTTTTTGAGCTTTTGTTTGTAAACAGGAAGCAGGAGTTTTATTCGATTTTTTTATTTATTTAACCTTTATTTAACTAGGCAAGTCAGTTAAGGACAAATTCTTATTTACAATGACGGCCTACCAAGAGGCAAAAGGCCTCCTGCAGGGACGGGGGCTGGGATAAAAAAAAGTAATGTTTTCAGACAAAACACACCACGACAAGAGACACCACAACACTACATAAAGAGAGACCTAAGACAATGGAGACATGGTCAGATTTGCCGAAGGGAGGACGAGGGAGAGCCTTGCATGCATTTCTGTGGGTAGAATAAAAGTGGTCTAGAGTTTTTGCGCCCCTATTGGCGCAGGAGACGTGTTGGTAGAAGTGAGCTAGGACAGTTAAGTCTCTCAAGAGTTAGTCTCCACCCACAAGAAATGCTGCCTCTGGGTGAGCGGGTTCTTGTTTGTTTATTGCCCCATACAGTTCGTTGAGTGGTGTTGGTTTGGGGCGGGATGTAGACTGCCGTGATAATTACAGATGAGAACTCTCTTGGTAGATAAAAGGGTCTGCAGTTTACCATGAGGTATTCTAGCTCAAGATTTCCTTCACACTTGAAGCAGCACACCAGTTGTTATTTATGAAAAAACACAGTTCAAGTCGTATTTCAAGTTGAAATCGAGGTTAGTAACTGACGATCTGATGTCCAGAAGTGCTTGGCGGTCATATGTGGTAATAGAATGAACTTTCTGTATAGAAATAGTTAACATAAACACGATAAAAGTCCCTATATAGCAAAGATGGGTTGGAACTCGTACAATGTCGCCCTTCTCCGTCCGCCCCGTTTAAAAAATAAAAATAAAAATGTCGGCACTTTTTAAAAACGCATCCTTCAGCGTTGTGTTGGTCAGCTGTCAGACAGAGCTGCAGTATTGGGGAAGCGTTCATTGGGCACACAGAGCGGTGGATACACGGCCCCGTCCTCATCTCCTCACCCTCTCCTCACCCTCTCCTCACCTCCCTGTTCCACTCTCTCTCCCATGGTTAATCTTCTGTCCTCTGACCATCTTTTTCATTTCAGTGTCTCACTGTTTCTTCACTTCCTTGCACTGCTGTCTTGTCTTGGTGGAAACACTCCAATCAGAAGCGTTTTTTATCTATGGCAGTCTTCTTCTGTTGTTAACTAACTCCTCCCCTCCACAGCCCAGGCTGAAGGACTTTCTAATCTAACTTCTCTTTCTCCCCATTCTGTTTCTGTCACTGAATGTAAGCTGCCAACTCATCCTATTTTACTTTCCTCCTTTATCCACACCTCTTTCTTTTTCTGTCCTTTTTGCTTTCTGCCCCTCTCTCTGTCCTCTCTCTCTCTCTCTGTCCTCTCTCTCTCTCTGTCCTTTCTCTCTCTCTGTCCTTCTCTCTCTCTCTCTCTCTCTCTCGGTCCTTCTCTCTCTCTCTCTCTCTTATTGTCCTCTCTCTCTCTCTCTCTCTCTCTTTCTCGGCTCTCTCTCTCTCTCTGTCCTCTCTCTCTCTCTTGTTTGCCCTCTGGTTCTCTTGTCCTTCTCTCTCTGTCCTTCTCTCTCGCTCTGCGCGACTCTCCTCGCTCTCTTCTCTCTGTCCTTCTCCTCTCTCTCTCTGCCTTCTCTCTCTCTCTCTCTCGTGTCCCTTCTATCTCTCTCTCTCCTGTCCTTCATCCTCTCTTCTCTGTCCGTTCCTCTCTCTCTCTCTGTTCCTCTCTCTCTGTCTCTCTCTATCTCTCTCTGTGTGCTTCTCTCTCTCTCTCTGTGTCTCTCTCTCTCTCTCTCTCTCTGTGTCCTTCTCTCTCTCTCTCTGTCCTCTCTCTCTCTGTCCTCTCTCTCTCTCTCTCTCTGTTCTCTCTCTGTTCTCTCTCTCTCTCTCTCTCTCTCTCTCTCTCTGTCCTTCTCTGTCTCTCTCCCTCTGTCCTTCTCTGTCCTTCTCTCTCTCTGTCCCCCCCCCCCCCCCCCCCAGTGTTCTGTTCCCCAGCCGTGTCTCCAGAGCTCCCTCCTCGTTACCTGCTGGGTCAGGGCCAGAGACCCAACACCATCACACACGTCTGCTGGTACCGCAACCAGAATCTCTCGCTCACTGATTATCTGCGGATGAACCAGGTACCACACTAGCAGAACCAGGTTCCAGACTGTAGAACCTGGTACCAGACTAGAACCATGGTAGAACCAGGTACCAGACTAGAACCATACTAGAAACGGGTACCAGACTATATCAATGGTAGAACCATTTACCAGACCAGAACCATGGTTGAACCAGGTACCAGACTAGAACCATGGTTGAACCAGGTACCAGACTAGAACCATGGTAGAACCAGGTACCAGACTAGAACCATGGTAGAACCAGGTACCAGACTAGAACCATGGTAGAACCAGGTACCAGACTAGAACCATGGTAGAACCAGGTACCAGACTAGAACCAGACTAGAACCAGGTACCAGACTAGAACCATGGTAGAACCAGGTACCAGACTAGAACCAGACTAGAACCAGGTACCAGACTAGAACCATGGTAGAACCAGGTACCAGACTATAACCATGGTAGAATCAGGTACCAGTCTAGAACCATGGTAGAAACAGGTACCAGACTAGAACCAAGCTAGAACCAGGTACCAGACTAGAACAATGGTTGAACCAGATACCAGACTAGAACCATACCAGAACCAGGGTAGAACCAGGTACCAGACTAGAACCAGGTACCAGACTAGAACCATGGTAGAACCAGGTACCAGACTAGAACCAGATACCAGACTAGAACCATACCAGAACCAGACTAGAACCATGTACCAGACTAGAACCATGTACCAGACTAGAACCAGGTACCAGACTAGAACCAGACTAGAACCAGGTACCAGACTAGAACCATGTACCAGACTAGAAGCATGTACCAGACTAGAACCAGACTAGAACCATGTACCAGACTAGAACCAGGTACCAGACTAGAACCAGGTACCAGACTAGAACCAGGTACCAGACTAGAACCAGACTAGAACCAGGTACCAGACTAGAACCATGTACCAGACTAGAACCAGACTAGAACCAGGTACCAGACTAGAACCAGGTACCAGACTAGAACCAGGTACCAGACTAGAACCATGTACCAGACTAGAACCAGGTACCAGACTAGAACCAGACTAGAAGCATGTACCAGACTAGAACCAGGTACCAGACTAGAACCAGGTACCAGACTAGAACCAGGTACCAGACTAGAACCATGTACCAGACTAGAACCATGTACCAGACTAGAACCATGTACCAGACTAGAACCAGGTACCAGACTAGAACCAGACTAGAACCAGGTACCAGACTAGAACCATGTACCAGACTAGAACCAGACTAGAACATGTACCAGACTAGAACCAGACTAGAACCAGGTACCAGACTAGAACCAGGTACCAGACTAGAACCATGTACCAGACTAGAACCATGTACCAGACTAGAACCATGTACCAGACTAGAACCAGACTAGAACATGTACCAGACTAGAACCAGGTACCAGACTAGAACCAGACTAGAACCAGGTACCAGACTAGAACCATGTACCAGACTAGAACCATGTACCAGACTAGAACCATGTACCAGACTAGAACCAGGTACCAGACTAGAACCAGACTAGAACCAGGTACCAGACTAGAACCATGTACCAGACTAGAACCATGTACCAGACTAGAACCATGGTAGAACCAGGTACCAGACTAGAACGATACTATAACCAGGTACCAGACTAGAACCATGGTAGAACCATGTACCAGACTAGAACCAGGTACCAGACTAGAACCAGGTACCAGACTAGAACCAGGTACCAGACTAGAACCAGGTACCAGACTAGAACCATGGTAGAACCAGGTACCAGACTAGAACGATACTATAACCAGGTACCAGACTAGAACCATGGGAGAACCATGTACCAGACTAGAACCAGACTGGAACCAGGTACCAGACTAGAACCAGGTACCAGACTAGAACCAGGTACCAGACTAGAAGCATGTACCAGACTAGAAGCATTGTAGAATCAGCCATTATACGAGAACCATGATATAACTAATTACCAAACTGATGATAGAACCACAGTAGAATTTCACAGGGAGATGCCAAATGATACATACAGTTTACTGATCTGCAATGTTGGGGGAGCTACTCTGAAAATATACTTTACCAAGCTTCAGTTACTTCTCACTGGAAGAAGTTAAGCTACACCTAAAGACACCCCTAAGAAAAATATAGTTTACTTAACTAAAGTTACTAAAAAGTAGTTCACTATATCCAAACTACTTTGGTAAAAATTAAATGAAAATCTGAAATGTCAGAAATTATTCACACCCCTTGACTTTTTACACATTTTGTTGTTACAGCCTGAATTTAAAATGGATGAAATTGAGATTGTTTGTCACTGGCCTACACACAATACCCCATAATGTCAAAGTGAAATTATATTATTTTTTGCAAATTAATTAAAAATGAGAAGCTGAAATGTCTTGAGTCGATAAGTATTCAACCCCTTTGTTATGGCAAGACTAAATAAGTTCAGGAATACAAATGTGCTTCAGTCACAAAAGTTCCAGGGACTCACTCTGTGTGCAATAATAGTGTTTAACATGATTTTTGAATGACTACCTCATCTCTGTACCCCACACATACAGTTATCTGTAAGGTCCCTCAGTCGAGCAGTGCATTTCAAACACAGATTCAGTCACAAAGACCAGGGAGGTTTTCCAACGCCTCGCAAAGAAGGGCACCTATTGGTAGATGGGTAAAAATAAAAATAAGCAGATATTGAATATCCCTTTGAGCATGGTGATGTTATTGTACTTAACAAAAATATAAACGCAACATGTAAAGTGTTGGTCCCATGTTTCATGAGCTGAAATAAAAGATTCCAGAAGTGTTCCATACGCACAAAAAGCTGATTTCTCTCAAATGTGAACAAATGTGTTTACATCCCTGTTAGTGAGCATTTCTCCTTTGCCAGGATAATCCATCCACCTGACAGGTGTGGCATATCAAGACGCTGATTAAACAGCATGGTCATTTAAACAGGTGCACCTTGTGCTGGGGACAATAAAAGGCCACTCTAAAATGTGCAGTTTTGTCACCCAACACAATGCCACAGATGTCTCAAGTTGAGGGAGTGTGCAATTGGCATACTCACTGCAGGAATGTCCTCCAGAGCTGTTGCCAGATAATTGAATGTTCATTTCTCTACCATAAGCCGCCTCCAATGTCGTTTTAGAGAACTTGGCAGTACGTCCAACCGGCCTCACAACCGCAGACCACGTGTATGGCGTTGTGTGGGCGAGCGGTTTGCTGATGTCAACGTTGTGAGCAGAGTGCCCCATGGTGATGGTGGCGGTGGGGTTATGGTATGGGCAGGCATAAGCTACGGACAACGAACACAATTGCATTTTATCAATGGCAATTGGAATGCACAGAAATACCGTGACGAAATCCAGAGGACCATTGTGAGGTATCTGTGACCCAACAGATGCATATCTGTATTCCCAGTCATGTGAAATCCATAGCCTAGGGCCTAATGAATTTATTTCAATTGACTGATTACCTCATATGAACTGTAACTCAGTAAAATCTCCGAAATTGTTGCATGTTGGTTAATATTGTTGTTCAGTATAATTACACTTAGGATGGTGCATCAATACACCCAGTCACTACAAAGATACAGGTGTCCTTCCTAACTCAGTTGCAGGAGAGGAAGGTAACTGTTTAGGGATTTCACCATGAGGCCAATGGTGACCTTTAAAACCATTTAAAGCATTTTAATGGCTGAGAAAACTGAGAATGGATCAACATTATAGTTACTTCACAATACTAACCTAATTGACAGAGTGAAAAGAAAGAAGCCTGTACACAATAAAAATATTCCGTAACATGCATCCTGTTTGCAGTAAGGCACTCAAGTAATACTTCAAAAAATTTGGCAAAGCAATTCACTGTTTGTCCTGAATACAAAGTGTTATGTTTGGGGAAAATCCGATACAACACTTTACTGAGCAACACGCTCCATATTTTCAAACATAGTGGTGGCTGCATCATGTTATGGGTATGCTTATCATCGTTAAGGACTAGGACGTTTTTCAGGATAAAAAAAATTAATGGAATGGAGTTAAGCACAGGCAAAACCCTAGAGGAAAACCTGGTTCAGTCTGCTCTCCAACAGACACTGGGAGACTAATTCACCTTTCAGCAGGATAATAACCTAAAACACAAGGACAAATCTACACTGGAGTTGCTTACCAAGAAGACAGTGAATGTTCCTGAGTGGCCGAGTTACAGTTTTGACTTAAATCTACTTGAAAATCTATGGCAAGACCTGAAAATGGTTGTCTAGCAATGATCAACAACCAATTTGACAGAGCTTGAAGAATGTTTTAAATAATAATGGGCAAATGTTGCACAATCCAGGTGTGGAAAGCTCTTAGAGACTTACCCAGGGAGACTCACAGCTGTAATCGCTGCCAAAGGTGCTTCTACAAAGTATTGACTCAGGGGAGTGAATACTTATGTAAATGAGATTTCTGTATTTCATTTTCAATAAATGTGCAACAATGTCTAAAAACATGTTTTCACTTTGTCATTATGGGGCATTGTGTGTAGATTGGTGAGGAAAAATAAATATATTTAATCCATTTTGAATTCAGGCTGGAACAGAACCGTGTAACAGAACCGTGTAACAGAACAAAATGTGAAATAAGTCAAGGGGTATGAATACTTTCTGAAGGCTCTGTACTCCAGTGGGTAGCGAGACCACTACATGCCGATTTAAAGTAATCAACTTCTGAAAACACCACCTAGATTAGAATTTAGTTCAACTACCACCAAGCTACTGCAAAATTATTGTTAAATTAATTAATTTAACAATTAGTTCACTGCTCTTCAACACTGCTGACTGTCCTGTCCTGTCCTGTCCTGTCCTGTCCTGTCCTGTCCTGTCCTGTCCTGTCTTCAGAACCAGCTCTCAGGTTACCTCCTACGGAAATTCAAGAACAGCAACGGCTGGCAGAAGCTCTGGGTGGTCTTCACCAACTTCTGTCTGTTCTTTTACAAGACTCACCAGGTACTGAACACACACCCACCAGGTACTGAACACACACCCACCAGGTACTGAACACACACCCACCAGGTACTGAACACACACCCACCAGGTACTGAACACACACCCACCAGGTACTGAACACACACTCACCAGGTACTGAACACACACCCACCAGGTACTGAACACACACCCACCAGGTACTGAACACACACTCACCAGGTACTGAACACACACCCACCAGGTACTGAACACACAACTACCAGGTACTGAACACACAACTACCAGGTACTGAACACACAACCACCAGGTACTGAACACACACCCACCAGGTACTGAACACACCCACCAGGTACTGAACACACATCCACCAGGTATTGAACACACACTGAACACTCACCAGGTACTGAACACACACCAGGTACTGAACACCCACCAGGTACTGAACACACACCCACCAGGTACTGAACACACACCCACCAGGTACTGAACACACATCCACCAGGTATTGAACACACACTGAACACTCACCAGGTACTGAACACTCACCAGGTACTGAACACCCACCAGGTACTGAACACACACCCACTGAACACTGAACACCCACCAGGTACTGAACACACACCCACTGAACACTGAACACCCACCAGGTACTGAACACACACCCACTGAACACTGAACACCCACCAGGTACTGAACACACACCCACTGAATGTAACACAACACGGCTGGCAGAAGCTCTTCACCAACTTCTGTCTGTTTTACAAGACTCATCAGGTACTGGCCTGGCACGACACTTTGCTTTAATACTGCAGGGTGGCTTTTTACACAACCACTTTAAGTGTTTGTTGTACTGCAGATGCAGCCTAGTTGCTTATAAATATCTCAACTCAGACTCCTCTGCTGAACCCATGGTTCTATGTTTTAAGTGTTCCTGGATGTTAAGGAATCCCAGCCAACTGTCTGTCTGTCTGTGTGTGCAGGATGATTTCCCTCTGGCCAGCCTCCCGTTGCTAGGATACACTGTGAGCACTCCGGGAGAGTCAGACAGCATCCACAAGGAATACGTCTTCAAACTGCAGTTCAAGTCCCACGTCTACTTCTTCCGGGCGGAGAGCGAGTACACGTTTGAGAGGTATAGTGACTGTTTCAGTCATCGTTTAACTCCTTCCAACGATGCCTCATTATGGTTCCACAACATTTCCAGGACACATTTTAATTGTAAAACTTGGCTGTAGTTTTTGGCTAACAGGTTAAAGTGATGGAGTGGTGCTTTGTATTTACACTATGGCTGTTATAGCTCTGATGTCCTCTCTCTCTCCCTCTCTCTCTCTCTCTCCCTCTGTGTTTCTCTCTCTCTGTTTCTCTCTCTCTCTGTTTCTCTCTGTTTCGCCTCTCTCTCCTCTCTCTCTCTCTCTCCTCTCTCTCCGTCTCCCTCTCTCTCCTCTCTCTTCTCTCTCTCTTCTCTATCTCTCTCTCTCTCTGTTTCTCTCTCTCTCTCTCTCTCTCTCTCTCTCTCTCTCTCTCTCTCTCTCTCTCTCTCTCTCTCTCCTTCTCGTCTCTCTCTCTCCTTCTCTTCTCTTCTCTTTCTCTTCTCTCTCTCTCTGTCTCTTCTCTGTCTCTGTCTCTGTCTCTGTCTCTCTCTCTCTCTCTTCCTTCCCCCCCCCAGATGGATGGAGGTGATTAAGAGTGCGGCCAGTGCTACAGGCAGGATGAGTCTCCTCATACCTAAAGGTCCCCTGGAGATGAATGGGAACTAACTGCGCTCCTTCTTGATCTGATCTACTGCGGCTTAGGAGCTTCTATCTAACCTGCGTTCCAAATGGAACCCTATTCCCTATATAGTGCACTACTTTTGACCAGAGCCCTCGTCCCAAATGGCAACCTAGGATGCCATTTGGGACACAGTCCGAGAGAGCAAGGGGCTGGGCCCTATAGACTCTTGAGACAATACTGTATAATACACCCCCCCCCCCCCCTCTCTCTCTCTCTACGGTTCTCATTGGCATCATGTTAAAGTGACACGCATGTCTTGGATTTATTTGGCAGACAAGGGCTCAGTGAGCGACTGGAAGTTATACTTTTTTTTTCATATTAGTTCTCTCCTTCTGGAATTGTCAACCATTTGTAATGTGAGAATCTGTTTTTTTTAAAAATCAGCGGTGAACAGAATAACATTATTGCAGTAATTGGATACGTGGTTCAAGAGAGAAGGATATATACAGTGCTATCATGATAAACAAGTATGCTTGAGGACATTCTGTCAATGATAAGTGTAAACCCTCAGCCGACTGAGTAATGGAACTAATGCGGGTACCAACTCATAACCTTCTCATGGCGGCCAGTGTAAAACAACAGGCTTGGTTTCCCAGACTCAGATTAAACCTAGGCCTGGATTAAAAAGCATTTTAGATGGACAATCTGCTTTTGAAAGGGACTAGACTTAATCTGTGTCCGGAAAACCGTCTCATACCGATTTTTATCTATCAGGTTTATGTTCTGGAGAAGCTTATACAGCGTTAGTCTAAAGACCTGTTGTGTCCTTAAGCCAGTGTTCTGCGGACGGTCGGTGCCGAGTTTGTATCGTGTCTATCTACACGAAGATACAGGTGTAGAAATGAACTTGTAGGTGTAGGAGGGCAGTGATTTTTTTTTTTTTATATATATGGAGGTGCGGAGCTTGCAGGATGGATTGACTAGGGACTGGGAAGGGTAACTAGCTGGAGACAGCCCCCAGATACTTTCTTTCTACCAGATTTAAAATGGCTGGGGTTGAGGTAGCTCTGGTCCAGGGTGTTATTTCTTCCACTAAGGAATTAGTGGAGGAATTAATGCCCTGGACCAGAGCTAGGGTTCAGCGGGAGAGGTACCCAGTGAATGATGTCCTTTTTTAAGTAATTGAAAAAAGGCAGAATAGTATTGTATGTTGAAATGAGTTAGGAACACAAGCAGTCAATCTCATTTTAGGTAACTTGTGTAATGGACTTGATGGAGGCATTCTTCGGTTCTTTGAGATGTTCAGTAGTTTCTCATTTGCTCTGTTGTCACACTGAGGTATTAACGGCCGTGGAGTTAAATAAAAATGGAACAACACATACATTCTGTAAGGTACTTTTTCCATTGAAGTGTTTCAAGGGGTTAATATTCCTGTTTAGTAAATGTAAAAGTACTTTGTGGCCCAGGAGAAAAGCCTTGTTAATTTAAGTTTTCCTGTACTATCAATATGTAGTCATATTTTTATTTTCATACATTGACAATAGTCCCAACTAGTTCTGGCTCTCTCATAAACCTCAACATTGTTAAAGTCCAACATACTTAGCGTTTAAGTGTTGTGTTATTGACTTATTATTGGTAATAGTGTTGGCCCGGTTCTACTGTTGTTGTGTTGTCTGGTTTCCTAGTTTAAGGACAGAACGAAGTCGGGAAGGAGGGCGCTACATTTGAACTGTGTTTTGCTTGGCTTGCTGGGATTGCACAGTTACTACCATGTGTTCTGGATGATAGTTATTTTAGCGTTTTTTTTTTTGTTCATTTACAATAGGGACGGTGATGGCCTGGTAAAATAATATGCTGTGTTTATCCTAGCATCTAGTCTGAAAGTTGCAGATTCCATTCTAATACGTCATTTAAGGCTGAAGAGCAGGGGTTTGCTTCCCAAATGGCACCCTATCCTCCTATGGGGCCCTGGGTCAAAAGTAGTGCACTACATAGGGAATAGGGTGCCATTTGGGATGCAAAACCATGTTTTAGAATATGATCTGTAACGGAATAACTGTTAGGTGACGCTGTCTTGCTGTAGGCAGGACTGTATTGGATCATGTGAGTATTGTGTTAAAAGGGTGACTGCAGGAGATCAGGGCCTGTATTCATAAAGTGTCTCAGAGTAGGGGTGCTGATTTTAGGAGGAGTTTGTCTTTTGTTAATCGTATACACAAAGAGGGGAGAACTAGATCAGTGCTCTCTACTCTGAGAAGCTAGATGCATACGGCCCCTGATCTTGGCCGTTCGTCATCAAAAGCCCCCCCCTTTCCCCGTTACTGTCTACACACCACGGTCTCATTATATTCTCTTTGTCTCTAGAGTGGCACTCTGTTCCTTGTATAGTGCACTACTTTTGACAAGGGCCCCATAGGGAACAGGGTTCCATTTGAGACAAAACCAGGATTTTTAGGGGGCACCTCTCGACTTCCTCTCCCAGTTCATCTCTCTGCGTGAGGGGTGCTAACCAACCCCCCCCCCCTGCCGTTCAAATCTCCATTCAGATGTCCTTCCTATTTATTGTGTAGCAGCATGTTAGTGGAGCCCTTTCTTGCTCCTCTGTGCCCTGCTTCTTTCTCATGTTGTTATTATTGCATTGAAAGGATAACAAATAAAATTGAACAGATGTAAAACAACTTAGTCCAGGTTTTCTTTTCAAACTACACTGCTCAAAAAATTAAAGGGAACACTTAAACAACACAATGTAACTCCAAGTCAATCACACTTTTGTGAAATCAAACTGTCCACTTAGGAAGCAACACTGATTGACAATACATTTCACATGCTGTTGTGCAAATGGAATAGACAACAGGTGGAAATTATAGGCAATTAGCAAGACACCCCCAATAAAGGACTGGTTCTGCAGGTGGTGACCACAGACCACTTCTCAGTTCCTATGCTTCCTGGCTGATGTTTTGGTCACTTTTGAATGCTGGCGGTGCTTTCACTCTAGTGGTAGCATGAGACGGAGTCTACAACCCACACAAGTGGCTCAGGTAGTGCAGCTCATCCAGGATGGCACATCAATGCGCGCTGTGGCAAGAAGGTTTGCTGTGTCTGTCAGCATAGTGTCCAGAGCATGGAGGCGCTACCAGGAGACAGGCCAGTACATCAGGAGACGTGGAGGAGGCCGTAGGAGGGCAACAACCCAGCAGCAGGACTGCTACCTCCGCCTTTGTGCAAGGAGGAGCAGGAGGAGCACTGCCAGAGCCCTCCAGCAGGCCAGAAATGTGCATGTGTCTGCTCAAATGGTCAGAAACAGACTCCATGAGGGTGGTATGAGGGCCCGACGTCCACAGGTGGGGGTTGTGCTTACAGCCCAACACCGTGCAGGACGTTTGGCATTTGCCAGAGAACACCAAGATTGGCAAATTCGCCACTGGCGCCCTGTGCTCTTCACAGATGAAAGCAGGTTCACACTGAGCACATGTGACAGAGTCTGGAGACGCCGTGGAGAACGTTCTGCTGCCTGCAACATCCTCCAGCATGACCGGTTTGGCGGTGGGTCAGTCGTGGGGTGGCATTTCTTTGGGGGGCCGCAAAGCCCTCCATGTGCTCGCCAGAGGTAGCCTGACTGCCATTAGGTACCGAGATGAGATCCTCAGACCCCTTGTGAGACCATATGCTGGTGCGGTTGGCCCTGGGTTCCTCCTAATGCAAGACAATGCTAGACCTCATGTGGCTGGAGTGTGTCAGCAGTTCCTGCAAGAGGAAGGCATTGATGCTATGGACTGGCCCGCCCGTTCCCCAGACCTGAATCCAATTGAGCACATCTGGGACATCATGTCTCGCTCCATCCACCAACGCCACGTTGCACCACAGACTGTCCAGGAGTTGGCGGATGCTTTAGTCCAGGTCTGGGAGGAGATCCCTCAGGAGACCATCCGCCACCTCATCAGGAGCATGCCCAGGCGTTGTAGGGAGGTCATACAGGCACGTTGAGGCCACACACACTACTGAGCCTAATTTTGACTTGTTTCAAGGACATTACATCAAAGTTGGATCAGCCTGTAGTGTGGTTTTCCATTTTAATTTTGAGGGTGACTCCAAATCCAGACCTCCATGGGTTGATAAATTTGATTTCCATTGATAATTTTTGTATGATTTTGTTGTCAGCACATTCAACTATGTAAAGAAAAAAGTATTTAATAAGATTATTTCATTCATTCAGATCTAGGATGTGTTGTTTAAGTGTTCCCTTTATTTTTTTGAGCAGTGTATTTCCTGTGTGCATCTAGCCTGACACCCAACGATACAACATCTGGAAGGATGGCCCCCACCAGACTAGTTTGTCATCACGGGCTAGGTTACCTGTCCATATGATGCTCTGCCAAGGTTACCTGTCCATCTGACGCTCTGCCAAGGTTACCTGTCCATCTGACGCTCTGCCAAGGTTACCTGTCCATCTGGCGCTCTGCCAAGGTTACCTGTCCATCTGACGCTCTGCCAAGGTTACCTGTCCATCTGACGCTCTGCCAAGGTTACCTGTCCATCTGACGCTCTGCCAAGGTTACCTGTCCATCTGACGCTCTGCCAAGGTTACCTGTCCATCTGACGCTCTGCCAAGGTTACCTGTCCATCTGACGCTCTGCCAAGGTTACCTGTCCATCTGACGCTCTGCCAAGGTTACCTGTCCATCTGGCGCTCTGCCAAGGTTACCTGTCCATCTGACGCTCTGCCAAGGTTACCTGTCCATCTGGCGCTCTGCCAGAAGGTGGCAGTGATGGGCTGTTGACCTAATGCATCATCTCGCCATGACGACTGCAGGTTGTTGTTCTGTTCCCACTAGATGGCCAAGCTGCAAAGTCAATTTAATTTAAGGTTCGGGTTAGGCATAAGGTTAGCTGTGTGGTTAAGGTTCGGGTTAGGCATAAGGTTAGCAGTGTGGTTAAGGTTCGGGTTTAAAAAAATATATTTTAAGTAGAGAAATTGTAGAACTAGGCAAGGCTTACGACTTTGCAACTTGTCCAGATAGTGACGGCCGTGGTGTTCTTCCCATTGAGTGAAAACCTGGAAGAACTAGAGGAGCAGAGAGAGAATGGAGAACTATGTACCCATAGCAGCATACACAGCTACTTAATCTAATAACTACTCAAACAACCTGAAGGTTATTAATCAGTTGGGGAATCCTATGTGAAGGTATTGTCTGGGCATGTCTAAAGAAAACTCCTCGTTCCACAGTAATGGCTGAATGTAAGGGTGTGGTGAAAACCGTTCACTGTAAATACACGGGAAAACCGTCCTGGCCTCAAGCTTGTGCAATGTCTTGTTGAAGTACAGTAGGAACAAACAAACATTAACTCTTAAGCGGAGACATACTGCATCTTCACCAATACGTTCGTTAGAACCAAGTGTTCTCGGAATGTTGTGACTCATTGTGACCTGTGTTTGAACCCCAGGTCTGCCGTGGCAGGGATGGACCATTTTATAAGTAGGCTATACTATTTATCTCCTCTTCACATGTAACATGCCATTTAGCAGACGCTTTTACCCAAAAGTGACTTAGTCATGTGTGCATACATTTTTTTTTACGTATGGGTGGTCCCGGGGATTGAACCCACTACCCTGGCGTTACAAGCGCCACGCTCTACCAATTGAGCTACAGAGGAACACATGATGCATGGTCTTGATAATCTCATTCTATTTTTGCCCTGGTTTTTATTGAGCGAACCAAACTCGTCAACTAATAATAGAAAGAGAATCCAGTACTTTAAATCCTGGTTGGACCACCGGGGAGAGAACTGTTGTACGTCTTTGATCAATTCCAGGGCCATCTGTAATCTTCATATGGAAGCTCCAGAGAGCTTCCTTTTTACTTTCCCAAGATGACGTTTCAGTTTTAGCCAGGTAGGGAAGTAAAAAGGAGCGAGGTTTCCAGGGTAACGGTGCCCAAGCTCGCTCGCCTGTTGTCAACGTTCCGTTAAACTGTAGATGGAACATGTTCTGGAACATCTTTATTAGGGGTTCAGTAGCTTAGTTGGTCAAACCCTATTGTATTTGTTGGCTATTATTATTATTATTATTATTATTATTATTATTCTGCTTCTTCTGTAAGGCAACATTAAAATGCAAATTCCAGTGAGATGGTAATGCCTAGGAAGGTGCAACTTGTCGTGATGGTAAAAGCCCATGGGCCACACCCTCTCATGCAATGCCATGCCAATTGGACACATGGTGGCGCTATAACAAGTGATTTGAAAATGCAAATTTTGAAAGGTCACGCCCCTCACCCTGTTTGACCTAGTCATGAAATTCAGTACATAGGTCCCTCTCCTCAAAAGGAACAAATTTGCCTCAAGGACCTATAATGGTGGATCCTTCACCATTTTGAGTTTGGGGAAAAACATGGTGGATCATTCGCTACTCCTCTGGCACCAAATGACTGATCTGCACAAAACTTGATATGTGGCATCTATGGACAACTTTCTCCCAACGCAACATTTTCCAGACTAGTATCTAAAACAACATGGACGCTATTGACCAATAAGCATTCACATGGGCGTGGTCTGGCACATAAATGCATATAAATCGGTCACGGATATTCAAATTGTAACAAAACTTGGTACACACGTTCCAACCACTGTGAGGACTCAACATATGCAAGCACATTCAGATCGACCACACGGTGGCGCTGTAACGTGCACATGTTTATATCTCTTGATCTGTTTGACTCGGTGTGATGAAATTTGGCACACATGCTCAGGGATTAGAGTCTAGCTAACCTGTAAAGTATTGTTCTGTTTTGCTGCATGGTGGCGCTGTTGGTCATGAAAACCCATTCATTCAAGCTCATTGGCTCATAGAGGCCATATTGTTTGAGCTACAGTCCTGGAAAATGTTGCGTTTAAAGACCAGGTTAGATAGATAGATGCTATATACCAAATTTGGTGCCAAACAGTCCAGCGGTTGTGGATATTATTTTAATTTTATTAGGATCTCTTTAAGTCCTCATTTGGACTAATCTTCCAAGAGTCCTTAAACATTACAATACAATTTATAATACGATCACATTTTCACATATAACACCACTGTTACAAACAGACATAATACACTGACATATATTGACCAGATAAATTATCTTAACAGTCTGAAATGATAGATTGATTCTTTCATCTACCATAGAATCTGCACAACCTTGCAATTAATTATATTTAAATGGTTCTGTCTGGATAAAACGTAGATTGTGGACAATCTATTCCTAGTATTTACTGAGAGACTGTCTCTTACCAACTGAATTCTGTTGTGAATGGAGTTTGGCCGTTTTAAATGGTGTACATTGTGAAATAAAATAAGCATGTTATTTTTCAATTATCTTGTTGATTTGATGACCAACCAAGAGCATTGTGCATGACTACAACAGAAGAATCATATCTCCACCTCAAAATAATCATTGCTGCTTTGTTCTGCGCAATCTGCAGCCTCCTAATTTCACTTGCTGATGCGTTTCCCCAGACCACAGAACAATAGTTCACCTGACTCCCAATTAATGATTGTGTTGTTTGCTTAAGAATCTTTCCCGGTAAATATTTAGCTATCCTTCTGATCATGTATGCATTTTTTTGTGCTTTTTTTTTCTTCCGTAAATGAGTTATTTGAAACTGCTTATCATGGTCGTTATCTAGCTGCACCCCTAGTAGTTTGGTTTCTGCCACTTCCTCAATTTGTACTCCCCCCCCCCCCCCCCCCCCCCCCCGATTCCAGGCTGTATCACAAGCCGGCCGTGATTGGGAGTCCCATAGGGCTGCGCACAATCGGACCAGCCTCGTCCGGGTTTGGCCGGGGTAGGCCGTCATTGTAAATAAGAATTTGTTCTTAACTGACTTGCCTAGTTAAATAAAGGTTAAATAAAAAAATAGCCTTTTCCTGGTGTAACAGACCAACATAACCTTGGATTTCTTGGTCAAAAAAGTTTTTTTTTCTGGCAAACCCCACTCCCTGATATCTCCCAGATCTACTTGTAGAGCTTGCTTGCTAGTAGTCTTACTGAGAGAAGGGAGGAGGCTAATTGGTTGACTATTGGCAGGAGTAATGGGTTCTTTGCTGTCTTTCGGGATTGGACACAGTTTAGCATGCTTCCATACCTTTGGAAATGTCCCCTTTTCCAGTGACCAATTAAATATGTATTTCTGGGGAGCAGCGTAGTGAAGCAAAGCATTGTCCATGAGATCATAACCTGTAGATTTACCATTTGGGTAATGACTTCAATAGGTTTAACACCTCCTATCATAACCTGTAGATTTACCATTTGGGTAATGACTTCAATAGGTTTAACACCTCCTATCATAACCTGTAGATTTACCATTTGGGTGATGACTTCAATAGGTTTAACACCTCATATCATAACCTGTAGATTTACCATTTGGGTAATGACTTCAATAGGTTTAACACCTATCATAACCTGTAGATTTACCATTGGGTAATGACTTCAATAGGTTTAACACCTCATATCATAACCTGTAGATTTACCATTTGGGTAATGACTTCAATAGGTTTAACACCTATCATAACCTGTAGATTTACCATTGGGTAATGACTTCAATAGGTTTAACACCTCATATCATAACCTGTAGATTTACCATTTGGGTGATGACTTCAATAGGTTTAACACCTCATATCATAACCTGTAGATTTACCATTTGGGTAATGACTTCAATAGGTTTAACACCTATCATAACCTGTAGATTTACCATTGGGTGATGACTCTTCAATAGGTTTAACACCTCATATCATAACCTGTAGATGTACCATTGGGTAATGACTTCAATAGGTTTAACACCTCCTCTACTGACACCAATGGTAGACTGATAGAGCAGGTTTTTTTGCTCATAATATGATCATCAATCCATTGGACAATAGCTTGTTTGGAAGAATGGGTGTTATACATTATCGCTCAGTAAATGTGTTTTATTTGTAAAAGAAATCTGCAAAATGATTGGCAATATCAGCTGGTTTTGTTATTGTCCTCCATAAACCTCCACACTAGATGGACATGATGAGATAATGTACCAGGTAAGCCCTTAACTGAATTCCATACCTTTTTTGAATAATTTTTTACAATCAATAAAAGCATTTTTGTAAAATAGTTTTTTTTTTCTCTTACAATTCAATTTAACTGCATAATCACGTAGTGTTCTAGAATTCTGTTAATCAATTTCTAGTTCAGGTTTGGCTGCTAAGACTTATTTCTTTGAGAAAATGCCTCACCCAGATCATCATCAGTCCATGGAGATGGACAAGCCCCGACAGTACTCTTTCTCACAGGGGCATGATGGTCCATTACCCCAGTGAGGAAATCAATACAAAATTCCGTAGCGTGATTTAAATCATCCTCTAGATAAATCAGCTCCCAGGGTACAGCAGCCGAATCATTTTGAAATTGCTCATGATTAAATGTTTTAAAATGTCTCTTGACCACAATCCTTGGGGGGTTTCTTTGGAACCTTGGTGTTCGTGGTTATGATCACAATATTATGGTCTGTCCAGCCCACTGGCATTGATCTGGCTTTTAAGCATTTCAATGGTATATTACAGAAGATCAGATCAATGCACGTGTCCGAACGGTGACCTAACTTAGTTGATGATCTTGTAGTAACATTAACCATTTGTTTCAAACCACAGTTCTCTGCATATCTCAGTAATTTAGTTATATTTGAATTATGATCCTTCCAATTTATATTAAAATCACCCAAGATAAATACATCTTTGTTACTATCTGTGGCCTGGTCAAACCCAGTGCATAGGTCATCCAGATAGGACAGCTTAGGGCTAGATGAATACATCTCTGTTACTATCTGTGGCCTGGTCAAACCCAGTTCATAAGTCATCCAGATAGTAACATATGTATTTATCTAGCTCTAAGGTGTCCTATCTATGGCCTGGTCAAACCCAGTTCACAAGTCATCCAGATAGGACAGTTTAGGGATGTTTCAGCTGTTTGTGGGGGGAGGGGATGCTGCACAGTACAGAAGTAGCTCATCCTCGGGTAGCGTGTTCATTTTGAGAACCCACAGCTTAAACCCCGGCATTGCTGCTTGCAGCTTTTATTATTATTATTTATTTTCTTCCATAAGGCAAAAATAATAATGCAAATTCCAATTATATGGTAAGGCCTAGGAGGTTGCAACCTTGCATGATGGTCAAGGGCCACATGGTGGCGCTATAACAAGCGATTGAAAATGCACATTTTGAAAGCTCACGCCCCTCACCCGCTGTGAGCTCCAGTCCTAGAAATTGGTACATAGGTCCCTCTCCTCACAAGTAATACATTTGCCTCAAGAACCCATACAGTCCGCCATGATGGATTTTCCGCCATTTTGAATTTTTTGAAAAACATTCAAAACGCTACTCCTCTGGCACTGAATGATCAATCTGCACAAAACTTGGTACATGTAATTTATGGACCAATGTCTCCCAATGCAACATTTTCTAGGCTACTACTGACCAATAAACATTCACGTGGGTGTGGTTTGACACATCAATTCATATAGATCAGACACGGATATTCGTATTGTTACAAAACTTGGTGCACACGTTCCAAACACTGTCAAGACTCAACATATGAAAGCAGATTCTGATCAACCACACGGTGGCACTATAACAGCACATGTTTATATCTCTTGGCCGCATGGTGGCGGCCATGTTGTTTTAGCTAGACTCTTGGACATTTGTGTTTAAAGATGTGCATCCATAAATGCTATATACCAAAATTGGTGTCGATCGGTATAGCCATTCAGGAGAAGATGATGTTTAAAGTAGTCAATTTCATTAAAAAAATACACCAAAAGCATATTGCATGATCTGGTTGATTTTGAGTTCTGATATTTGGCAAGCGTGGTAAGGAGTACAGAAGTAGCTCATCCTAGGGCGATGTGTCCTATTTGTCCTGATGGTGGCACAGTCGGCCCGCAGCTTGAACCCCGGCAATGTTGTGTTGTGTTCATAGTATTCTCCTTTGTCTTCAAATCAATACCTTTTGTGTAATGACAGAGCAGTAGTGACTGTTCATAGTGAGTCCGGTTAGAGGAAACATTTACATGGGATGCTTCAACAAAACAGACTCATCATTGGTGAGATGCATTGGTTTTGCTCCAAATGGTACCCTATTCCCTATGTAGAGCACTACTTTTGACCAGAGCCCAAGTAGTGCACTACAGTGAGGGGAAAAAAGTATTTGATCCCCTGCTGATTTTGTACGTTTGCCCACTGAGAAAGACATGATCAGTCTATAATTTTAAATGGTAGGTTTATTTGAACAGTGAGAGACAGAATAACAACAACAAAATCCAGAAAAACGCATGTCAAAAATGTTATAAATTGATTTGCATTTTAATGAGGGAAATAGGTATTTGACCCCTCTGCAAAACATGACTTAGTACTTGGTGGCAAAACCCTTGTTGGCAATCAGAGGTGTTTCTTGTAGTTGGCCACCAGGTTTGCACACATCTCAGGAGGGATTTTGTCCCACTCCTCTTTGCAGATCTTCTCCAAGTCATTAAGGTTTCGAGGCTGACGTGTTGCAACTCAAACCTTCAGCTCCCTCCACAGATTTTCTATGGGATTAAGGTCTGGAGACTGGCTAGGCGGGCGCTGCAGGATTTCAGTCCTTCACGGCGTAGTGTGTTACCAATTGTTTTCTTGGTGACTATGGTCCCAGCTGCCTTGAGATCATTGACAAGATCCTCCCGTGTAGTTCTGTTCTCCTCACCGTTCTCATGATCATTGCAACTCCACGAGGTGAGATCTTGCATGGAGACCCAGGCCGAAGGAGTTATTTTGTATTTATTTTGTGATTGTGATGTAGTTGTCCCTGATTACACTGACTTTGCTCACAGCTGCTTGTTAGAAGAAGTGTACTTACTGTGATCAAGATGTGGTTGTCCCACTGGCTATCCTAAGTTGAATGCACCAATTTGTAAGTCGCTCTGGATAAGAGCGTCTGCTAAATGACTTAAATGTTTTTTCCATTTGCGAATAATCGCACCAACTGTTGTCACCTTCTCACCAAGCTGCTTGGCGATGGTCTTGTAGCCCATTCCAGCCTTGTGTAGGTCTACAATCTTGTCCCTGACATCCTTGGAGAGCTCTTTGGTCTTGGCCATGGTGGAGAGTTTGGAATCTGATTGATTGATTGCTTCTGTGGACAGGTGTCTTTTATACAGGTAACAAGCTGAGATTAGGAGCACTCCTTTAAGAGTGTGCTCCTAATCTCAGCTCGTTACCTGTATAAAAGATACCTGGGAGCCAGAAATCTTTCTGATTGAGAGGGGGTCAAATACTTATTTCCCTCATTAAAATGCAAATGAATGTATAACATTTTTGACATGCGTTTTTCTGGATTTTTTTGTTGTTATTCGGTCTCTCACTGTTCAAATAAACCTACCATTAAAATTATAGACTGATCACTTCTTTGTCAGTGGGCAAACGTACAAAATCAGCAGGGGATCAAATGCTTTTTTCGCCTCACTGTATATAGAGAATAGGATGCCATTTGGAACACAAATGTTGAGTTATAAGGGAACTGAAAGTGTAGGCTACAGTTCTTCCAGGGTAATTCGGCTAATCTGCTACAGCAATTACAGGGCATGTCTTGGCATGGTGAGCTAAGGCACAGTAATTACTTATCAAGAAGGATATCATTTGAGGAACCAGTGTTGAGTTTGTATGTGTGAGTGTTTTTTAAAGTTCAAATATGCTATATATGTATATTGGGAAAAGGCAATACATCCCAGTTGTGTAAGTATTTAGAAAAGTATGTTCATGTAAATCTAGAAGATTCCAGTAACACTTGCTGTTCGCTTTTGGAGGGAGCATTTTTATTTAAGTAGAAAGGCTATAAGTATCAGCACCATACTGGAAAAGAGGATGTTGTTGCATGATGATAATGGTCATTATTATGTATTAATACAATAGCCTTGTGGAGTTATTGGACAACACAATATTGCAATATCTTGTTTGTTTACGAGACAGAAAACACATTCCTTTGTCTGCTACACCCCTACCCATTAAAGAGATTTCCTTAGAAATATGCTACTATGGGGAGGAGGTCAGGGGGCGGGGCATATGTAGATAATGTACCTTATCCCCGCCTTTTATCCAAACGGGTCCATAGAAGGAAACTTTGTCGAGTGTGGGGGGCGCTTCTGAGTTACCAACCCTGGCTGTGCCAAACAGTATTATTCAATGGTCAAGACAGCGTTTGGAGTATCGGTAAGGAACTGAAGCCATGGAAGACTTCACAGCAGTTTATTCGAACAGAGAATTAACTTATTTAATATATGCGCAATGACCCAGTGGTAGATGTGGATATCCTGAAGCCTTTAATTCCGACGGCGCAGACCGTGCGCGTGTAGCCTACAGGACAGGAATCGTTTTAGGAGAGTTTACCTCGAAAGGTACGTTTGCCTATCTGTGTACATATTCTATTTACGTTATATTTGATTGGATGGTATTGTAACGAAGGACATTTGATTGACATAAAACTCCTGCAATAACCTGCTCACTTTACAATGGTAGGCTATCATAATCAAATACAATTGACAAAATGTACTGAGGTTTCTGTGTAGTTAATGGGTAGTTCAAATCACCGTATAACTCAAGGAAGCTGAGTTTGTCTGACTGCAAAATGATGGCATTGTGGGAACCAATGCGCACCTATATTTTGTTGACCGTGACTGAATAAACGAATTAAATTCTGCGCTACTGAAAATCAATTAAATAATGCCCTTTTTCCAAACAGGGAGATTCTCTTCGAAACGCCCTCAGTCCGAGGGAGGGGGATAGAGAAGTAACATTCTGGTGACAGAGGCCTATACACGGCGATCGAGGTTGAGGATTGAGGTGGATCAGGGCCAGCGCCAGGCGGCTTGTTTGTGATTAACTGCTGCTGGGACTGGGGTATGGAGATGTTGCGTCGCTCCTCAGTATTCGCGGCTGAAGTGATGGAAGTATTTGACCGATCCCCCACAGACAAGGAGCTGGTGTCACAGGCGAAGGCGCTATGCAGGGACTACATCCATTCCAGGCTGAACCGAACCGGGATAGGGTGGTCCAAACCCGAGCATCAGCTCTCGGCATCAGGTGGGATGCTTGGAGAGGTATCCTCTGTCCTCATGTGGTTAGGTAAGAGGGCGCCAGTGCGCAATTTCTACATTGGTGGGCTAGTGTCTGTGAATGACAGGCTGCGTACCTATTGGTTCTGTATTCAGCAGCATATCCTATATGACCATTTTACAAAGGCACACGGTAATCGATTGTCTACAATGTCCAAATAATATTGTATTTATTTATATGATAGGTTCAGTTTATAGATACAGCTATTATAGGCTATAGACAAGCTTAGTTAGTCACATCAGCCTTGGTGTTGGAATTTTGCTCTCTGCTCAGACTCCTATCTAGACATTCAAATGATGTCATGAGGTTGTGGAAGTTACCTAGGCTACTTCCTCTGTAGCCTGCTATACCTCCTCCTCCTCCTCCTCTGTATTATTCTGATAAAGAGAAGTGGACACTCCTGAAAGATAGACACACTGATGAATCACTGTCTGAAGCCCACACAGTGCATCACACGAACATCCTGTTACTAAGCAACGGGGAATACCTCTAGTCTAAATAAATACCTTCTAACCATGGAGCAGATGTTTAGTCATGTCTGCGTCCCAAAATGGCACCCTATTCCCTATTTAGTGCACTACTTTTGACCAGAGCCCTGAAATAGGGTGCGTGCACACAGGTCTACCTCAGGATCAGAGGCAACTGACCTGCAGCTAATAGCAGAAATGATACCAGTGAAACGCGGAGAGTAAAGGGAGATAACTTATTTAAAGATTTTGTGGCTGAGATAATACCTACAGCACTGGTGAAAAGGGAAGTCACTAGCATGGTCCCGGATCTGCGCTGTCTTGTCCACTTCCATGGTTGACAATGACAATAGGAGTGGTCTAGACGTACAGATCCAATACATTTGTATTCTAATTCCTAATTCTATGGGGTTATACAGCCAGGACTGTGCACAGACCTTTCATGGGGCAGGTGCTCAAAATGAAAAAAAAATCCCACAAATTGTAAGCAATTTGATGATTGATGTAAATCTGCTAGTTAGCTGGCTCCATTTCTTTTACTGGTTTGTGATTTATCATCAGAGTTTATTGGTTGTGTACACAGATTTGCAGATGCTGTCGCAGGTGTAGCGAAATTCTTGTGTTTATATCTCCAACAGTGCAGTAATACCTAGCAATACAAAACAATACACACATAATCCAAAAAGTTAAAAGAAATAAATTAAGAATTGTCAGAATTAATTCAATTAACAAAACTAAACAGTAATCCAAATGTTCATATCAAATAACTTCATAATATTAATAATCTTCTAACTCATGATATATGGCTGGCTGGCTGGATGGCTGGCTGGCTGGCTAGTGGATGGCTGGCTGGCTGGCTAGTGGATGGCTGGCTGGCTGGCTAGTGGATGGCTGGCTGGCTGGCTAGTGGCTGGCTGGCTGGTGGCTGGCTGGCTGGCTGGCTAGTGGCTGGCTGGCTGGCTAGTGGCTGGCTGGCTGGCTAGTGGCTGGCTGGCTGGCTAGTGGCTGGCTGGCTAGTGGCTGGCTGGCTGGCTAGTGGCTGGCTGGCTGGCTAGTGGCTGGCTGGCTGGCTAGTGGCTGGCTGGCTAGTGGATGGCTGGCTGGCTAGTGGCTGGCTGGCTAGTGGATGGCTGGCTGGCTAGTGGCTGGCTGGCTAGTGGATGGCTGGCTGGCTAGTGGCTGGCTGGCTGGCTAGTGGCTGGCTGGCTAGTGGATGGCTGGCTGGCTAGTGGCTGGCTGGCTAGTGGATGGCTGGCTGGCTAGTGGCTGGCTGGTTGGCTGGCTAGTGGATGGCTGGCTGGCTGGCTAGTGGATGGCTGGCTGGCTAGTGGATGGCTAGTGGATGGCTGGCTGGCTGGCTGGCTAGTGGCTTGTGTGGATATGTTTAGTATAGGTGGTTAGCTTGACTGTAGACTAGGCCTACCTGTGTTGCTGCTGCCCTGAAAACAACCGACTGAAGAAGGGGTGGAGTTGGGTCGGAGAGTCGTCAACTACCGACTGAAGGTGGGGTGGAATTGGGTCGGAGGTCGTCAACATCCGACTGAAGGTGGGGTGGAGTTGGGTCGGAGGGTCGTCAACAACCGACTGAAGGTGGGGTGGAGTTGGGTCGGAGGGTCGTCAACAACCGACTGAAGAAGGGGTGGAGTTGGGTCGGAGAGGTCGTCAACAACCGACTGAAGAAGGGGTGGAGTTGGGTCGGAGGGTCGTCAACTACCGACTGAAGGTGGGGTGGAGTTGGGTCGTAGTTATAGATCTGTCATTGAAATCAAGTCTAAGACGCGGTAGATCTGTTCTATGTGGTGTACAAAAACATTAGGTTTTGTACACCATATTGTAAAATACAATATTTTTGGTTGTAGGAAATATATTTCACAGCGGTTTAGATGCTACAATGATTCTCTACTTGCTTGTTTTGTCACATTAACTGAAATTAGGCGAACTATTAGAATTTTAGCAACCAGGAAATAGTGGAGCGATTTCTGCATATTGCAGGTAGCTCGCTACACACACACACATGACCGCATCTCTCAAACCTGCATGTTTGGATACCGGGTGCGTGCAATCTCTGTACAGGGAAGGCTGGGAAACTTCGAACTTGACAATGACTTGGGGCAGTGGGTTCCGAACAACAATGACACTTTATTTTATTTTATACAGAACAGTTTTTTTGGGGGGGGGGAAATTCTACCACCACCCAATAGGGCACTTTGGAGACTGGAAGGGCAAAGGGGCATGTGCTCTGTCAGGTAGAGACCTGTCTGTGCCTGTTTACAGAAACAAACATATCTCTGACCAGGCTGGGAAACCAAACCACCTCACTGGCTCACTACCTGTCCTGTTGTTCCCTAGGTGATGAGTTGGACTGCCTGATTGGCTCACTACCTGGGGATGTATTTATTACGTCTTGCAACGGAAACCGTTTACCGTTTTTAAGAACCAAATGGAACGAAAAGGGGAGGGACCTGGTTGAATTAGTTCAATAGAAACTCTCGTTTTCGTTGCAAAACGTTTTCCATTTGGAGTAACGGTTTCTGTTCCAAAAAACAACCGTTTCTGTTGTTCCCTAGGTGATGAGTTGGAGAACCTGATTGGCTCACTACCTGTTCTGTTGTTCCCTAGGTGACGAGTTGGAGTACCTGCGACCCAACATCTACCGTAATGTAGCTCGTCAGCTGAACATCACCGTTGCGTCTGAGAGCGTGGTGTCCGATGCCTTCCTGGCTGTGGCTGCAGAGATCTTCTCCACCGGTAGGGCAATGCCTATTCACTACTACACCAGTAGGACTATACCTATTCACTACTACACCACTAGGACTATACCTATTCACTACTACACCACTAGGACTATACCTATTCACTACTACACCAGTAGGACTATACCTATTCACTACTACACCAGTAGGACTATACCTATTCACTACTACACCAGTAGGACAATGCCTATTCACTACTACACCACTAGGACTATACCTATTCACTACTACACCGGTAGGGCAATGCCTATTCACTACTACACCGGTAGGACTATACCTATTCACTACTACACCACTAGGACTATACCTATTCACTACTACACCGGTAGGGCAATGCCTATTCACTACTACACCGGTAGGACTATACCTATTCACTACTACACCGGTAGGGCAATGCCTATTCACTACTACACCACTAGGACTATACCTATTCACTACTACACCGGTAGGGCAATGCCTATTCACTACTACACCACTAGGACTATACCTATTCACTACTACACCAGTAGGACTATACCTATTCACTACTACACCAGTAGGACTATACCTATTCACTACTACACCAGTAGGACTATACCTATTCACTACTACACCAGTAGGGCAATGCCTATTCACTACTACACCAGTAGGACAATACCTATTCACTACTACACCGGTAGGGCAATGCCTATTCACTACTACACCAGTAGGACGACCAGCCTGGGGCAAACAAACAATTACCCCTTTATAGGATCTTTCCCACCTTAACCAAACTGTGCTGACTCAGATAGTATATTGTAAGCAGCATGGTTCCATCTACTATCTATGGTGGATTCAGAACCAGGCCAGCTCGGCTTGGCTTGGCTTGGCTCGGTTCGGCTTATTTTTTTAAATGTATTTTTATTTAACCTTTAATTAACGAGGCAAGTCAGTTAAGAATAAATTATTATTTACAATGGCGGCCTACACCGGCCAAACCCGGACGACGCTGGGCCAATTGTGCGCCGCCTTATGGGACTCCCAATCACGGCCGGCTTGTGATACAGCCTGGAATCGAACCAGGGTCTGTAGTGACGCCTCTAGCACTGAGATGCAGTGCCTTAGACCTTAGTAGTATGAAAAGCCCTGAAATGGATGGACAACTGATTATAATGTATCTGGGTTGTAACATGATGTCAATGGCAATGTTGGTACAGGGTTATTTTTATGTATTGTGGCAAATATTAGCAAGAATATTCACAAATAAGAGAAGTAAGCATCACAGAGGATGTTGGGGGCCTGTTAGCATTGTGTTTCTATAGAAAAGGAGGAACTAGTTGATTCATTATCAATGAAACACAATGAAGGTATGTAAAGTTAGGGAGAACAAGTTAAACTCACTTTGAAGGAGAATGTCAACAGAGGTAACTGAGACCAGGGTTGCGTCCATAATGACACCCTATTCCCTTTATAGTGGACTAGAAAGTAGTGCACTATATAGGGAATAGGGTGCCTTTTTCAGACACAGACCAGCTCTCAGTATGGTCTGTTACCGCTCTTTACGGGTCTCTTTAAAGTGATTTACTGGCAGGGGTCAAGCATAGTTCTGTGGGAAAGGTAAAAATAGACAATTTCTGTACAGATTCAGTCTTTGCTGTCTTTAGGTTTGCTGTCTCTTAGAGCTTCAGGGAACTGTACAATATAAACACACTCTGGGCAACATGGAGCCTGTAGAGTAGAGAATACGACTCAGCCATGAGCCTGTAGAGTAGAGACTGCGACTCAGCCATGAGCCTGTAGAGTAGAGAATACGACTCAGCCATGAGCCTGTAGAGTAGAGAATACGACTCAGCCATGAGCCTGTAGAGTAGAGAATACGACTCAGCCATGAGCCTGTAGAGTAGAGAATACGACTCAGCCATGAGCCTGTAGAGTAGAGAATACGACTCAGCCATGAGCCTGTAGAGTAGAGAATACGACTCAGCCATGAGCCTGTAGAGTAGAGACTGCGACTCAGCCATGAGCCTGTAGAGTAGAGACTGCGACTCAGCCATGAGCCTGTAGAGTAGAGACTGCGACTCAGCCATGAGCCTGTAGAGTAGAGACTGCGACTCAGCCATGAGCCTGTAGAGTAGAGACTGCGACTCAGCCATGAGCCTGTAGAGTAGAGACTGCGACTCAGCCATGAGCCTGTAGAGTAGAGACTGCGACTCAGCCATGAGCCTGTAGAGTAGAGACTGCGACTCAGCCATGAGCCTGTAGAGTAGAGACTGCGACTCAGCCATGAGTAGAGGACTGAACACTAATTCCTCCAGGAGCCTGGAGACTGAACATGTATTATTGCTGCTGCTCTGGCCTACAAGAGTAGGATAAAAAGCTGAAAACATTAAGAATGCAACCATTTGCCATTAGTGAGAAGAGCGAAAATCTGTGTTTTATTTTTAGAATCTAAAATAATTAGACACAGGAATCTTTTTCCTATATTATTTTCAGAACCATTGCAGAATATATTCCTCACCTTTTCTCTCTGTGATTGGTTCAAATTCCCGATGGAGCCATACAACAAATTATCACCCGCATCTCTCATTTAATTTGACATTTTTACATTTTAGACATTTAGCAGACGCTCTTATCCAGAGCGACTTACAGTTAGTGAGTGCATACATAAACATTTAAAAATAAAATCATACTGGTCCTCCGTGGGAATCGAACTCACAACCCTGGCGTTACAAGCGCCATGCTCTACCAACTGAGCTACACGGGACTAGTAGCCTAGGAAATACAGTAGTGGTCAAACGTTTTGAAAATGACAAGTATTGGTCTCCACAAAGTCTGCTGCCTCAGTGTTGATGATGGCAATTTGCATATACTCCAGAATGTCATGAAGAGTGATCAGATGAATTGAAATTAATTGCAAAGTCCCTCTTTGCCATGAAAATGAACTTAATCCCCCAAAAACATTTCCACTGCATTTCAGCCCTGCCACAAAAGGACCAGCTGACATCATGTCAGTGATTCTCTCGTTAACACAGGTGAGAGTGTTGACGAGGACAAGGCTGGAGATCACTCTGTCATGCTGATTGAGTTAGAATAACAGACTGGAAGCTTTAAAAGGAGGGTGGTGCTTGAAATCATTGTTCTTCCTCTGTCAACCATGGTTACCTGAAAGGAAACACGTGCCGTCATCATTGCTTTGCACAAAAAGGGCTTCACAGGCAAGGATATTGCTGCTAGTAAGATTGCACCTAAATCAACCATTTATCGGATCATCAAGAACTTCAAGGAGAGAGGTTCAATTGTTGTGAAGAAGGCGTCAGGGCGCCCAAGAAAGTCCAGCAAGCGCCAGGACCGTCTCCTAAAGTTGATTCAGCTGCGGGATCAGGGCACCACCAGTGCAGAGCTTGCTCAGGAATGGCAGCAGGCAGGTGTGAGTGCATCTGCACGCACAGTGAGGCGAAGACTTTTGGAGGATGGCCTGGTGTCAAGAAGGGCAGCAAAGAAGCCACTTCTCTCCAGGAAAAACATCAGGGACAGACTGATATTCTGCAAAAGATACAGGGATTGGATTGCTGAGGACTGGGGAAAAGTCATTTTCTCTGATGAATCCCCTTTCCGATTGTTTGGGCCATCCGGAAAACACCTTGTCCGGAGAAGACAAGGTGAGCGCTACCATCAGTCCTGTGTCATGCCAATCCTGAGACCATTCATGTGTGGGGTTGCTTCTCACCCAAGGGAGTGGGCTCACTCACAATTTTGCCTAAGAACACAACCATGAATAAAGAATGGTACCAACACATCCTCCGAGAGCAACTTCTCCCAACCATCCAAGAACAGTTTGGTGACGACCAATGCCTTTCCCAGCATGATGGAGCACCTTGCCATAAGGCAAAAGTGATAACTAAGTGGCTTGGGGAACAAAACATAGACATTTTGGGTCCATGGCCAGGAAACTCCCCAGACCTTAATCCCATTGAGAACTTGTGGTCGATCCTCAAGAGGCGGGTGGACAAACAAAACCCCACAACTTCTGACAAACTCCAAGCATTGATTATGCAAGAATGGGCTGCCATCAGTCAGGATGTGGCCCAGAAGTTAATTGACAGCATGCCAGGGCGGATTGCAGAGGTCTTGAAAAAGAACGGTCAACACTGCAAATATTGACTCTTTGCATAAACTGAATGTCATTGTCAATGAAAGCCTTTGACACTTATGGAATGCTTGTAATTATATTTCAGTATACCATAGTAACATCTGACATAAAGATCTAAGAACACTGAAGCAGCAAACTTTGTGGAGACCAATACTTGTGCCATTCTCAACTTTTGACCACTACTGTAAATATGCTATATGTATTTCAAGTTTTGCAATGGAATCGAACCCACAACCCTGGCGTTGCAAACGCCATGCTCTATCAACTGAGCTACATCCCTGCCGGCCATTCCCTCCCCTACCCTGGACGACACTGGGCCAATTGTGCGCCGCCCATGAGTCTCCCGGTCGCGGCCGGCTGCGACTGGATTCGAACCAGGATCTCTAGTGGCACAGTTAGCACTGCGATGCGGCGCCTTAGACCACTGCGCCACTCAGGAGATACCACCCTCATGGAGTCTGTTTCTGACCGTTTGAGCAGACCCATGCACATTTGTGGCCTGCTGGAGGGCCTCCATGCTCTGGACACTACGCTGACAGACACAGCAAACCTTCTTGCCACAGCTCGCATTGATGTGCCATCCTGGATGAGCTGCACTACCTGAGCCACTTGTGTGGGTTGTAGACTCCGTCTCATGCTACCACTAGAGTGAAAGCACCGCCAGCATTCAAAAGTGACCAAAACATCAGCCAGGAAGCATAGGAACTGAGAAGTGGTCTGTGGTCACCACCTGCAAAACCAGTCCTTTATTGGCGGTGTCTTGCTAATTGCCTATAATTTCCACCTGTTGTCTATTCCATTTGCACAACAGCATGTGACATGTATTGTCAATCAGTGTTGCTTCCTAAGTGGATCGTTTGATTTCACAGAAGTGTGATTGACTTGGAGTTACATTGTGTTGTTTAAGTGTTCCCTTTATTTTTTTGAGCAGTGTATTTGACAGTATGGGTAGGCTACAGTATTGCTGTGTGATAGGAGCATTACATCATTGACTATTTCATCTCAGAGCCCTATACCAAGGCAGGACCCATAAACCCAATAATCTAATGCCAATACTTCCAAATTATACAGCAAATAAAGGGTATTATTGTCACCATAAAAGGTGAATGGAGGCGTTTTCCAGGTGGAGTTTTAATGCTTGTTCACGTGCACAATTTTACAACCGGTCTGATTTATAATGGGAAACATACGTACAGTTGAAGTCGGAAGTTTACATACACTTAGGTTGGAGTCATTAAAACTAGTTAGGACATATACTTTGTTCATGACACAAGTAATTTTTCCAACAATTGTTTACAGACAGATTATTTCACTTATAATTCACTGCATCACAATTCCAGTGGGTCAGAAGTTTACAAACACTAAGTTGACTGTGCCTTTTAAACAGCTTGGAAAATTCCAGAAAATTATGTCATGGCTTTAGAAGCTTCTGATACGCTAATTGACATCATTTGAGTCAATTGGAGGTGTACCTGTGGATGTATTTCAAGGCCTACCTTCAAACTCAGGCCTCTTTGCTTGACATCGTGGGAAAATCAAAAGAAAT